GCCCTTGAATTAAAGTGCCCGAGAATGAGGTCATGGTGAGCAATCCCCCCAGACTCGCGGCGGCTAAATGAGTTGAAGTTCAAAGACCGACGAGGGTTCTAATATTAAACCAGTGCGTGTTCTCGTGTCATGACTCAAAAGAACGTCGCAAGCTACTAAAAGACGGACTCAAATGGATCGGGTTCGACGTCTTTCATCGGCCGGCTGAATCAGCTGGACTATCAACTGGATCCAAATATAAATCTTTCACCTGAAATTTCAGTCTTTGCGAACCGATTTCTTTCTATTCCAGTCCGTACTTGCGGGACCGCCCGAGCTGAGAACAGATGCTCCATGACTCCGAAGATCAAACATGGAAAGAAGGACGTCGTGCGCAGCCCGTGGCTATCGCGGGCTATGTCGTCCTGCTGAATCCATCTTCAAGGCCCCGAACGGTCTCGAACGCGCCAGGTGACCATAATCTCGTAGCATCTACCCTGGAAGCACAAATGAGTCGTACTGGAGCTCTCAATTCGGAGTCAAGAGTGTCAACTTTTCTGCCAAGTATGTGTGTCTCGGCGAAATTGAGCTCGGATCCAAACAGCTGAGATTAGCCCAGATTCAAACTTCCCCGTGTAGAAAATTTCACGTTATTTACCCTTCTCCTGAGTCATCGTATCTGAGTAGTGTCCTGACGAATTGAACGAACATTGTTGGAGTAGGCCTGAACAAGTGTTTCTCCACGACGCAATGAGCACAGCATGGAACGTTGGCACGCACCCTCTTTCTTGCATTGCGCACTCTTCCAGCGCATGGAGACACATTTGGTTATAGTTCCCCTTGAGGAAGAGAGAAAGGTGACTGTTATGGCGAGGCGCGGGGGGTTGATCAGGTTTGTAAGTTCGGTGAGTCCAGAGGCCACAACACCGACGATGGGACTGATGTCGCCCTCGACCAAGTTGACTAATATACTTCCAGATGCGAGTCTTTCCAGAGAAGAAAGTGCAGTGATGAGGCGAGATTTGCCTATAGCCAGGTGGGCTAAGTCGGAGACCTAACGCATTAGAGGGAGAACGACGGCAGCTCGACCTCAATGTCTCAGGCCGTCCAAGCAGACAATCCCGCATCTAGACTTACAGTCTTGCGAGAAGAGAAATAAAGGAATCGCGGGACTTTGTACAAAACTCAGTCAGCAAGCTGCGGATTGAAGGTCACACCGGACAGGGGTAATGAAATCCCGACAGCCCGTAAGCCCGTATTATTGGATCATCAACATGCCACTCCATTCCATGCTGAAGATGACGACACGTGAGCTTAAAAGCTCGAACGCAGCCGTCAGCGTCGGCTTCCTCCTCGGATTCCAACCGACTCCGTCAACCTCGAGCCCCTGATCTTTCTCTGCCTTTGAAACACCCCATTTTTGGGCACTCCGGAGACTGAACATGACACTGCCTTTCACTTCGTATCGCAAGCTCGCGCTTGGCTGCCTCGTCGCCTTCGCTGCCTTTACCCTCGGCGAATCGGCCCCCGCGTCGTCCAACGAGCCCCGCGATGCCGTCATCTCAAATGCAGCCACACAGGCCGGCAAACCGGGCCCGAACCCGCTCAACAAGCTAGCTGTCACGCTGCGGCAAACCGGCTCGTCGCCCCCGACCGTGCGCGCCACCGTCACCAACAAGAACTACTTCCCCGTTACAATCGTAGCCTACCAGTCGCCCCTGGATCAGCTGGCCCTGCAACTCGGTATGCTGTCCATCACACCCGCCGGCTCCAAGACGCCGCTCGAGCTGCGGGTCGTCAAGGTCAAGCGGGTGTGGCCTCCCCCCGAAGGGTCGCTCATCGTCATCCAGCCGGGAGCGAGCGCCACCAATGACATGGTAATTCAGGAACCAACGGTCCCGATGGATAAGCTCGACAGGAAAGCCACCGTCGTCTTCAGCGGCGACTGGATCGCAGTCTGGCCCCGACCGAGGAATCAAATCAGCAAATCCGAGATTGAGAACGCGAGCGAGAGCGCCTTTCAGGCCCCTCTCAACACGCGCCCTTGAGATTAGGGTTAAATAGTCACATGTACCATGCCCCACCCCCTTTCGGTAACACCCACCTTTCGGTAGCGCAATTGAAAAATTCTCCACCAAAAGTCTACCATTTGAACTACATGAAATATGATCAGAACTTAACATTATAAACACAAAAATATCATTCCGTAGAGAAATGGACGCTCTTATATGTACCGGCGCTTTTTACCATTCGCCCGGATCTGGTGGTGACTGGAAGGGCTTCGGTGCCACCTTGACTTCGATCACTGAAGCTGTCTCCACCTCTGAGACCGCCTCCTCCTCTGTGTCAGAATTCAGCACAACGGCTATCTCTTGGCTTTTAATTTGGGAATGGCTTCCTCAGCCACCAAAGCTTCACTGAGAGTCATGAACCGTCTGTTCGGGTTCGGAATTGCTCTCCTCTTCTTGCCTCTCTGCAGCCGGGCCACTTCTTCCTCTAGCTTCGCGATTCTGTTGCTGTGCTCGGCAAGCGTCTGTTCTTGGGCTTCAAAGCCTCTAGCTATCACGGCGTATCGTCTCCGGGTGCCAGGAGTCTTGTTCTTTCCGAAATCGCGAATCTGGCGGCTGTTTCTTGGCGTATCATCAGAACCCAAAATGGCGCGGACTTTGGAGACGTCTCTACAATGTCCGCGTGAATTTCTGGATGCCGCAATGCCTTGGATCGTGAGATCGGCCAATTCCCAGTGACCCTCCAGCCGGACAATATATTCTTTGCCGTCATTCCAACCTCGCGCGCTTTAGCATATGCCCGTATAAAATTGACCTTATGAACAGGCGCAGAATCGGTCAAACAGGTCAATTTCTGAAGTTCTTTCCGGTAAGCTGCCTTGGAGGCATTGAATACACCGTTATCTAACGGCTGGAGGCCATGAGAGCAGTGGGCAGGAAGGTAACAGCAATAAACGTTGTTCAAAAGCATGTGGCCATCCATGCATCCTGGTCCCGGTTAACGGTAATTCCTACAGAGGTGGATAAAGAAACGCACCGTTGCATGACTTCCATGTCCATCTAATATGATCAGTCTAGCATCTGAGGCATCGGCTGGTCGCGTCTGGGGCAAATAGATCCTCTCAAGCCACTCAATAGCGATATGGTTGTCCGTCCATCCGTTGGGCGACGTTATGTAATGCCAGTCGGCTATTTTGCCGAATTCCGTCAAGAACCACTGTTTCTGAAGTTCTTTGCCCTTAAAGATAATGCCAGGGTAAGGACACGGCCGTCCGCGGTGATAGCTTCAATAAATGAGGTCCAGTTGCGGGACTGTGGCCCTTTCAGAAGGGCCTTCCGTTTTGGGTCTGCACTCCCAACCACAAGACTATCCAAACCTGGCAAAAAGAGTCTGGTTAGTAAAAGTAATGAAAGACAAGCCAAATACTCACCAAAGCCAGACATAATACCGCCTTCGTCAACATTCACGGTATTTTCTGGTTTAATCCATCCATACTCCTTTTCCCTGATATCGAAGAACCAGTGAACCGCACGAGGCGTAAAAGCATTAAATCGGTTAGCTTCCTGACGTCTCCCACGCTTGTTCTTGATGTCCGGATGGCGATTGATGAATTTAGAGACCCAGTTGCGCCCCACTGTCCGCTCGTTGTTCAGTTGCTTCATAAGAGCCTCCACACATGCGCGGATCTGACTGTGGAGGGAGCATAGCCGAGAGACTCTTGGCGGAGGATCCAAGAAACCAAGCGAGCTTCCTGAGACTTACTCAAGAGTTGACGAGGCTGGATCTGATCAGCCAGGGCTACCTGGCCTTTGAGTCTGTCGGAAATAGACTGCTGAGGTATGTCATACTTTTGGGCGGCGCGGTACTGCGACAAGCCGTTTTTTGTGACATCAATTATCGCATTAGCCATAATATCCTCCGTATAAATACCCGAGGCCGCTTTAAGGTCATTTTGGTCATGTGGTGGAGGAATAACGAGAAGAATCATCGTCAGGAGGCGGAAGGAGATTAGGGGTTGGATGGTAATTTCACGTGCAAGGTACGCACAGGCCACAGACCCTGTACAAACATTCAACCATCGAAAAGTAGAATTCAATCAATCCTCTATCTACTCCAAGTGACGGCTTGTGAATATCTTCAAAGCTGGCTGGAATCGGTGTAAGTGAAATTGATGGGTTTTGGTGGGGATATTTCCTAATGCGCTACCGAAAGGTGGGTGTTACCGAAAGGGGGGTGGGGCATGGGTATGATGCATTTTGCATATGGATGAGATGAAGTCGGATGGTTGTCTCTCCAAATAAGCTAGGACTGCCTCATCCTTATGTAGGAGGCAGCCAGGTCGGACTATCTAGGTGATCCGGCCGGTTTACCAGGCAGCCACATACCGATGCCTGTTCACACGGCTGCCTGTTTCACACGGCTGCCTGTCTCACACGGCTGCCTGTTCACACGGCTGCCTGTCTCACACGGCTGCCTGTTCACACGGCTGTGCGTTCGGCAGCCGGTGTCCTTGATGCTTGGTGCCGTGCCCAACGCCCCAGTGTGCGTAGGGACACGCAAAAACGCATCAGGATAATATTGCCGTTGATCCTGAACTCTTTCTCTTTGTGGTCAGTCTCGTTAGCAAGGACAATAACGTATCCGAGTTGCGAGGATAGGTCCTTGTTGTTTGCAAACGATCCGTCGGTAAAGATCAAAAGCTTTGCGGTGGCGAGATCAATAGGTTTGTACATAAGGCCTCGTTCTTGGTGATATATTTGCCATTGCAAGCGCTTGTTCAAAGCTTTGCAGTCGTTGTCATCAGGGTCCGGGCTTGTGCTGCGATAGAAACGTCAAAGGAGGCTTCGGGTTGACAGATTGAGGCAATGTACGATCCGCGCGCTCGTTGCTCGACGTAGCGTTGGCTATGATCAAATGCTTTGGGGTCAATGGTGGCGATTTTGGTGGCTTGTCCTTTCTGCTGAAGCGATAGGGATCCTATGTCCAGCAGGGTAAGTTTTGCACCATTGAAGTCAACCGTTGTTCCTGGGGTCATCGATGTCTTTGGTTTGGCTCGAAATTGTGCTTCCTCGAGCTTCTTCTTCACGGGCGGAAAAGCTGTCTGTTCCAAGCATAAGGGTATCATCTGTCTGCATTCCAACAATGCCAAACGTGTTAGGGCCTGTGTTTGTGATCAAAAGGCAGGAATCATAGGTTGAAGTAGACATATCAAGGTTCTTGAGGTGATGTTGTTGATATGTACGATACCAATGGACTCCAGCTTCTGCAATTCCGTATAGGGGCTTGATAACACGAATGATCGTTCCATGGGGGTATTTTCCTTGCAATTCGGTGGGCAAATAGGTCAGAATTGTCCGGAATAGCTCGGTTTGGGATTGTGGGTATGCTTGAGTGATGTCGCGAAGGGAAAGGGTCATGCCGTTGCCTTGAAGAAGTCCGGGGGCAATAGCTAAAATGAGTCTTTGACTAACGCGTTGAATTGTCGGAGATTGCGTTAGTAGGGTGGTCTTCTCAAAGTCGCCATGTCCTTGAACAACAAGTCGTGATTTCTCGTACGGTTTGGTGTCTTTGCCTTTGACTTCACGAACCATTCGGGAGCGAAAGATGTGATGATTACCGTGAATCATTCGATCTATCGTTCAAAGCTGAATACACCTCGTCCTACGAGGTCAGTGATCTCGATGTTATCGGATTCTTCAAATGGGGCGCCGGGAGCAGTGATGATGCCTTCATTCCTGAGTTTGATGGATAAAGCGTATGCATCTTCTTCCTTCTGAGTCAGGAAACTTTGGCCTGGAGGAGCGGTCATCATGATCAAATCCTTTGGCTTGTTCTTGGATCCGGTGGGCGTCCTCTCTTGCGGGGTGCCGGGGTCAGGTCGGGCAGGGTTTCTTCTTCGTCCTGGGCAGGGGCAGGAACTTGAGGGATTGTGGAGTCATCACGCAGGTACGGCTGTACGTGCGTGGAACGAAAGACTTGGGGGCCATTGACTGTATCAATCGTGACGTTATGTCCGTCAATCGAAGCAATCTTGAAAGGTCCTTGCCAGCCGTCTTTTTCTCTCCAAACACGAACTTCACTTTGCAGTGGGAGGGATAAAACGTCGGCGGTGGACGGTCCGTTGCGCGTGCGAAGGGCATCTTTAACTTGTCTTTCCGCTGAGAGTTGGCGGAGCGTCTTCATCGCTTTCTGCATCGCGGCCGACCTTTTCAGGGTAGAAGCAGAAGGGGGCGATTCCGCAGTTAAACGAGGGTAGGCGCCAAAGACAAGCAAAGTTGGAACAATCCCGTCAGGTCCAGCTGTGTCGTTAATAGCTTTTACAGCCATTTGGAGCACTGCTTCGGCGGAGGTGACGTTGCTTAGTTCCGCGTTTAGGATGTCATACGCGCGTCGGAGGGGGGCGTGATATCTTTCAATTTTTCCGATGGACCAATGCGTCTCAACAGGCACTTGAGAGCATTTGATCCCCATGAGTTTTGCTTCTTGGCGGAACTCCATTGAAGCAAAGTTGGTCCCTGCGTCGTGTCGAATGGTGTCAGGGGGTCCAAGGTACGTGTCGATCCAGGCGGTCCGAAGGGTCTCCCATGTATCCTTAGCTGACATTGAGGGTAGGAATCTTGCTCCTGGAAAGCAGTGGCTGCGTCCACAACGTGCAAAACAGGGCGTTGTGGGCTTCCTAGGTACATCACATCAACGATGATTTCGTAATTGAACTCTTGGTCATCCTTGAGGTGAATTTGAAGCGTCTCGGGGCTTGCGAGTGCATTTGACAGTGATGGCAGAACTTAGAGACAGTCTCTAATGTGCCTATCGAGACGTCGCTGTGGCCGGCTTGCTTCAGAAGGTGATATAGCCTAGGGACTGCTGGGTGTCCAAATCGTCGGTGAAGTGTACGAATCTCAGCCTCTGTGAGAAACGTGATGGAGTCTTCGGCCTTAGAGAGAAAGAACCAGGGTGTCCCCATTTACGGGTGACAGGGATGCTCATTTGGCGATTAGTACAATGATTAGTACATTCGATGGTGTCTTTGATGTTGTTAAAATATATTCCAAGACGGTCCATATCGGCCAAAGAAAGCAGGAAAGGGTAGGAGTCTGAAGGATATGGAACGTGATCCGTCCGACTGGTGTTTTGAGGGCGATGGAGCCAACCGAGTGAATGGCTTCGCCATTCCCGAATTTGATGGTAGCCTGGCCGGACTTGGAGCTGTCTAGGGCTACAGAGGGATCTTCTCGTTGTAAAGCAATGTACTGAGAGTGACCGGCTGTAGAGACTTTGGCTGCACCTGTGTCAATCATGATGCCTTGGAATTTGTCTTTTGAATAGCGGTCTTCAATAACAAATTGTGAGGCGGGAACAGTGTTTTGATCTGTACGGTAAGCGTCTTCACCAGTGATCAAATGGTTGAACGCTTGCTGGCAGAGCATTTGACTTGCTTGCCACTGTTTCGGGTTAGCATCGTCATCCTGATTCTCATCCCAGTCGCCGTCATCGTCAGCGGGTCGTCTTCAATGCCTTCGTAGTCCGTCACATAGGCCGCGAGTTCCACGGGCGTGCCCGTGAAGTGACAGTGGGCTACATATTGACTCTTGGCCTTCTGACGTTCTTCGGCCGTGTGTTTGATGGACCAGCAGCCTTCTTTGTTGCACACGAAGCACTTCCTAGTCCAGGGGCGGTTGTTGTTGCCTTGAGGGCGTTGGTTGAATCTACCGCGGTTGTGGCTCTGGCATCTGAAGTCTCTGCTTCCTCTGTATCCACTACCTCTTTCGCGGTTGTTGTTGTATCGACGATCAAGGTAGTACTGCTGGTTATCATCCTGGGCGTATTGGGGGGTTGTGCCGCGTGCGAGATGTGTTTCAATGGAAGAACGAAGATCTGCAAACAACGCCTCTATCTTGTTTGATGGCTTGAAGAGGGCGTGCTCCAATTCTGGCACGCCGCGGCAGGCGTTGATAAGGGTTGTTCGAAGGTGAACTTCATCAGCAAATTCCCTGCCGAGGGCACGCTGACACCGTTGCAACTTGTCGAAGAGTAGCTGGAGCACTTCCTGGAGTGACTTCGTCGCGTTGGCATTATCCATACGAAGCTTAGTGAATGTAGTTGTAGTCCAAATCCATTTCCTGGATCATCTGCTGTTGCTTGGATATGATCTCGTTTTGCGCATCTATCGCTCGGCTGAGCTTTGCGTTTCTTGACGTGACTCGCTCAAGAGTTCGAGAACTTTCTGGAGCATGGCTCGGCCTTCGTTCGCGCCACCGCTGCTGCTGGCAACTTTGCGCCGCTCAGTCGCGTCACTGATGGCGACATCGTCCGAGGCAATGCGCGTTGCAAGCCTAGTTGCGCGTGTTGTCTTCTCCGCCAGATCGTCGGGCTGTCGCGCGGCTTCTCGAATTTTGGTGCTTGGCCTCACGACGCGTGTCGATCTTTTCGCGGGTGTCGACGCAGGCGACGCGCTTCGCCCCACCATATTCACGGCCTCAGCCGGCGTCTCCATGATGAGGCCCTCAATGCCTAGCTGGCGTTCGCTTCAGGCTTCTTGTCGAGTTCGTCGGATCCCCGGTTTCCGCCAACAAGGAGGTGTTCCCACTGTTTCTTGAGGAGGTAGTAGTAGTAGTAGTAGTAGTATTGATTACCGTCTGGGACATCCCTATAAGGGCAAAAGACGTGCTAGGCTAGAGAAGACTAGATACATAGAATATCCCGAGTACCTGGACTAAGGACCGTGTGTAGCACCTAACCACTCCATCTAGCAATTCTGAGGCTCTGAGGCCGGTCGGAAATTCGGGCCCTTCCCCGTCAGCGGGTTCCAGGCACGGCAGTGAAGCCGTAATAGTAGTCAGTCTTTGGCCGAGGCCGGGTGACTGAGAAAGCCCACGAAGTCATGGGCCGGCCGCAAGCCCTCGAGGAGGGCCTACGGGGCAGAAAGAAAAAGAAAAGAAAAAGGGAGCAGAGAGTGTAGCAATGTTAGTCGGGGGTTCGCCCCGATGGCGATTGTCTTCTCCCGCAGGAGCGTTCGATCCGGGACCACTTCGTGGTCATGACAGTCGGCGAAGTCCCCGTGCCTGCTCCTCGTAGCAAGCAGGTGGTGGAGGTGTTGTCGATTGGTGTGCAGCTCCGGGGGACACCCGGGTGAGGCCTTGAGCTCTAGGCTCTTGTAGCTCCTCGGGGCCCCCGCGGCCCACCAGTCCAGAGGAAGTCGTGGCCGCTAGGCGGCAGAGGTCGGGGCCGCGAGACGGCAGAAGGAGTCAGGGCCGCAAGGCGGCAGAAGGCGAGGCCAGCCAGTAAAGGCGGCAGAGGGTGCAAGGCAGCGCGAGGCGTGCCAGAGAGGGCGAGAAGAAGTCGGGCCGCGGGGCGGCAGAAGAGGTCGGGGCCGCGAGGTGGCAGCAGAAGTCAGGGCCGCGAGGCGGCAGAAGTCGAGGCCAGCCAGTAAAGGCGGCAGAAGAAGGCGATGCCGCGAGGCGGCAGAAGGCGAGGCAGCGCGAGGCGTGCCGTTATTCGAGACCAGCTTCCCAAGAGGAGACGAACTCTCCAAAGTCTGCCTTTGGTGCCTGCTAGAGCCCCGTTAGGGCTAGAGAGGCAGAAGCATGGTCGGGTGGCCTGAAAATTTCTTCATCACTAACAGGCTGCTAACAGCCCGCAGAAGAGAAGAATTTTTACAGGGGAGAGTTGCAGCTTTAGCTGGTAGTAGTAGTAGTAGTAGTATTGATTACCGTCTGGGACATCCCTATAAGGGCAAAAGACGTGCTAGGCTAGAGAAGACTAGATACATAGAATATCCCGAGTACCTGGACTAAGGACCGTGTGTAGCACCTAACCACTCCATCTAGCAATTCTGAGGCTCTGAGGCCGGTCGGAAATTCGGGGCCCTTCCCCCGTCAGCGGGTTCCAGGCACGGCAGTGAAGCCGTAATAGTAGTCAGTCTTTGGCCGAGGCCGGGTGACTGAGAAAGCCCACGAAGTCATGGGTCGGCCGCAAGCCCCTCGAGGAGGGCCTACGGGGCAGAAAGAAAAGAAAGAAAAAGGAAGCAGAGAGTGTAGCAATGTTAGTCGGGGATTCGCCCCGATGGCGATTGTCTTCTCCCGCAGGAGCGTTCGATCCGGGGCCACGTCGGAGCCGCGAGACGGCAGAAGGAGGCAGAGCCGCAAGGCGGCAGAAGGCGAGGCCAGCCAGTAAAGGCGGCAGAGGGTGCGAGGCAGCGCGAGGCGTGCCAGGAAGGGCGAGAAGAAGTCGGGCCGCGAGGCGGCAGAAGAGGTCGGGGCCGCGAGGCGGCAGAAGTCGAGGCCAGCCAGTAAAGGCGGCAGAAGAAGGCGATGCCGCGAGGCGGCAGAAGGCGAGGCAGCGCGAGGCATGCCGTTATTCGAGACCAGCTTCCCAAGAGGAGACGAACTCTCCAAAGTCTGCCTTTTGGTGCTTGCTAGAGCCCCGTTAGGGCTAGAGAGGCAGAAGCATGGTCGGGTGACCTGAAAATAATTATCCACTAACAGGCTGCTAACAGCCCGCAGAAGAGAAGAATTTTTACAGGGGAGAGTTGCAGCTTTAGCTGGTGCGAGTTTTTCGAGGGCCAATAAAGTGGGGCGTGGCACAGGTAAACTAAACTAAACTAAAAGACTGAAAAATGGCACTTGTGCCCGTTCAGGTTGTAGTCAAGGCGCGATGGCTTTTGACCCATGCTTAGCGCGATAATCCCTGCAATATGTCTGTCCGAACCTGTCTGTCCGGAGCCATCCCGGGTCTCAGATGGAGACAGCGTCAGTGATCGAAGTCAAGGTGGCACATGAGGCCCATTCTGTCACCACTAGGTCTGGAAGAATTATAAAACAGCGCCGGAATATGTAGGAATGGTCATTCCTCTACAGAATTATATAATTCTTATATTTTTAGTCTTAGGTTCTGGTCACATTTCATGTAGTTCAAATGGTAGACTTTTGGTGGGAATTTTTTTGTTGGCGCTACCCAAAGGGGGATGTTACGTGCGGCCAAGTCACACGCACTGAATGAGCAGTTTGAGGGGTCCAAACGCACTGGCCTCACTATTAGGAGCACTGTGTCTGACACAGGGCGCATTGCCCGCTGGTGGGGCATGTCACTCGGCAGAATTTTTGGGCCAATCAAAACTCGCGGCCCGTGTAAGGAGCACCAGTGTAGTAAAGTGGTTGGGCCCGTATATCAATTGCCATCAAGTATATCAATTCAATTCAAGTTAATCAAGGAGACGATTTTATTTCAAGTAATCAAGTTACACCTGCAAACTTGACTTACTTGAATTGAAGTCAGCACTGGTGTGCCCTCGCACCCGTCAAATTGCGTTACGAACCGATATACTATTATGTCGTAGACAACTAAATAGGCTATTAATTGCATGCCTAGCGAGTAATGTGATGGTTCTAAACGTGTATAAGGATTGATTATATTAATCTGTAATATGTTATTCCTAGCATTCCATCTAGAGTTTTAGACGATAACAGTCTACTATCTACTAATTGGCATTCCGCGCCTTGGCTATTAATGCAGAATGCGGCACCAACATTATGTAGAACCCAGGCTTGTAGCTTGTATGCTAATAAGGCAGGGCAATTTTCTTCCTAAACCTATCCTAGCATTACGTACAGACCTTCTCCATGATTAATCGCACTAGTTCCAAGCACGTAAGACGTCCCTAGCTACATTTATGCCCGATACGGTTACGACTTGCACCTTGTGTACGTACTCATAGTATGTTTAAGCAGAAGATTCTAGCGGAATGGACCAGAACGTTGTTAGTATCTAAGTATCTAATTCGTATCCGTCCTTTATACCTCGATTAAAAAAGTACGAAGGAAGTGTAGGATTATTCTATAGGCAAACTATTTACATATAAAAGCTGCAGAACACCTTCGGATTTAAGGATGAATAGTAACTCCTCTCTATTACTTATCGGGCACTGGTCTCTTACGCTAATCTTACACAGACTATCGATTCCTCTTAAGTTTACGATCTAGTAGTCTATCACTATGAAGCTATTCACATCTTTGATTTTCGCAGTCGCTGCTACGATTGCAGTTGCTGATAGCAACTCTCTAGCTGTCAGAACCTTGATGAGGTTCTCGTCGGATAGGTCACGGACACAGCAAGAATGGTACGATCGGATGAAGTGAGGTATGATGTGTGTGTCTGTCTGTGTCCCCCATTTGGGGGTGCTCTGCCCAAGCCCTATATCAAAGGGCGATGGCCTCAATCCCTATGACATGCCATCACGTCATATCTCTGTAACTGTCTCATAGATGTCCTCGTGGCCTCATCAGCTGCGCTACCTGGTGCGCTATCGTCTGCGCTACCGTTGGCGCTGCCACTAGTAGCCTGACGCTATCGTAGCTGCATCTACCCGGATTCTACCGGATCTAACACACCCTCCCAGCTGAGCTCGCATCGCGAGGGAAGCTGCCAATGATCCGCCCAAATCGTCCAAAGCCATTGTGTATGTGAATTGTTCTTTCGGGCCGGAACATCATCTCTCCCGGGGCGAGTATCGTGCCTGTAGATGCGCTCGCGGCTCATTGCGCCTTCTTCGTGATTTCGTCGCTGGTCATTCCTTATCTTCCTTGTGCCACACCTCATATATCTGTTCTTGGAGTTCTTCGTCATCTGTTTCGGGAGCGACCGGCCGGCGAGGAGGCTGGTGACGTCTTCGAGGCCCATTTGCTTGACGAATGCTTCAAAGTGAGGTCCTTGGAGCGCCTTTGTCAAACCATCGGCCATCAGCTCGGCGCTGGGTGTATACGTGACTTCGATCGTGCCGTTGGCTACTTCTTGACGAAGCCAATGGTTGTGGATGTTGACGTGACGAACCTTTGTCTTCAGCGCTGCGATCTCTGCGTTGACGAGCCGGATTGTTTGGTTATTGTCGCATTGAATCCGAATGTGTGAGGCATCCAGCTTGACACCCAGCTCGTCGATCAGCCTGCTCATGTATATTGACTCCTTGGCGGTTTGTGACAATGCCAAAAGCTCTGCCTCAGTTGTCGAGGTTGTGACGGTATCTTGCTTGTTTGCCCGCCACCCGATGAGACCTCCAAACAGCTTCATGGCGTAGGCCTGCGAGCTTTTCCGGTCGGTCGAGTTGTCAGCAAATGATGAGTCGCTTGCCACTTCAAAATCATCGCCACCTCCCAGCCTGAGGGCCAAATTCTTTCTCTCGACCAAGTAGCAAATTGCTCGGTCAGCAGCGTCTTGGTGTTGAGGGCTGGGGTTGGACATGAAGTTTGCCAGTTTTGAGGCGACAAAGGCTACATCTGGCCTTGTGATGACTGCTGCATACAAGAGAGATCCGCTTTCACCTGGTAGGAGTTTACTTCTCCGTTCGTGGCGATGCCTTCAAATGGGAGTAGCTCTTCAGTCCCCATTGGTGTGTTAAAAATTCTGCGTTTGTTTGCTAGGCGGCCGATCTTCTCAATGTATGAAGCTTGTGACAGCCAAATCAGGCGTCGATCACGGTTGCGAATGATTTCGATTCCTAAGAACCATTGGAGGTCGTTTCCTCCGGTCAGTTCATATTTTGAACGCAGTTGGTCGGTTAGAGCTTTTGCCCTCAGTCCGTCTTCCTTCCGAAACGCAAACACAATGTCATCAACGTAAAAGAAGACGAATATGCCGTCGAGGGTTAGGCAACAGGGCTCATGAGGAACCGTCTTGAAGCCAATTTTCTTGAGCGTATTGGTCAGCTCGCGATGCCACAACAGAGGCGACTTTCGCAGCCCGTAGAGTGCTTTCAACAATTTCAAGATTATGCCGTGTTTCCTGTGACCCGGCGGCATACGCATGTAAATCCCGTCGTCCAAGTTGGCATTCACAAATGCATTGACGGCGTCGTATTGGATCAGTTCGAGGTCGAATCTTGCCGCAATTGCCATCAGTGATCTGAAGCTTCTTCCAGCCAACGTAGCTGCATATGTGTCTTGGGTGTTTCGACGTTCTTGGTCGCCTCGGACCACAAGGCGAGCTTTGCATTTCACCAGCCTGCCTCGCTTGGTGTACTTGTAGACGTAAATCCACATGCAGTCAAGAATTTGTGTTCCATTTGAGATTGTGTTGAGGGCCACCTCCTTCCAAGAACCCATTTTCTGGTGGCTCTGGAGGTGGTCTCGTTCGGCTTGCTCGAACATGTAGCGGAAAGTGTGTGTCTTGAGATCGTGGTGACTCTTTGGGAGAGGCGGTAGGTCTTTTCGATCGATTTGTTTCTTGAAGATGAGTCTTTCTAGGTAGGCCTTGTCTCGAGGCTTCCCACTTGTCTTGTCTTTTGAAATGGGGTTTGCAACAGTCCCTGCTAGGAAAGCTGACGCCCAAGTCTGTCTTGCAGAGTTTTTCTTTGACGATGTGGTTCTGGCTCACAGGAGGGTGACAGCCCGTCCTGGTGCCCATCTGTCAAGCTCTGTGATGTTTCAGGCATTGTGAGGTCATCATGACTCTCTTGCCACCAGGGTCTGTCCTGGATTTTTCTTTCCACAAAGGGGTCTTGTATCATTTGTATTGAGGCTGCAAGGAGAGCAGCCGGAGGAGTCTGCGGAGGCGTTGGCAGGAGTTCAAAGCGTGCCTCAGTGTATTTTTCATTGAATTGTTCCTCGTTTGGTGGATCGACCATTTGTTCGTCGTCGTCGTTGAAATCGAAGACGGGCTCATCTGGAGCCTGCGTTGTCATTAGCGAGAAATTTCATCATTCTTTGGGAGGCCAATCTGGGTGAGAGTGTCTGCCAGTTTGTCAAGGTCGGCTTCCCTGACTGATTCAGCGAGGCTTTGGAGCGTTCCATCGAACACTTGATCCTCATCGAAAACGACGTCTCGTGTGAGTATCACCTCGCCTGTCGAAGGTATCCAGACCCTGTAGATGTTTGAGGAGGAATACCCGACGAGATGGCCAATCCAAGCCCTTGGGTTGAGCTTTTTGAGTCGTTGTTCTTTCTTTTGGGCCACCCTTGTCATGGCGAAAACCTTGCACCCGTAGGCGCGGAGGTGTTCGAGGGGTGGTTTCTTGCCTGTGAGCACTTTGTAAGGTGATCTCCATTTCTTCCCGTATCTTGGGGTGCGGTTGTTGAGATACACCGCGGCCCTGTAAATCTCTGTCCACAGCTGAGTTGGAAGCATTCCCTTCATCGCTCGAGCCTTGTCTTTGATCGTCCCGGCTGAGCGTTCGGACAATCCATTTTGACATTGGGTGTTTGGGGCCGATGGCTCGACCTTGAGGAACTTCTCGTGGACGAGGTAGTTGAGAATTTCTGGTTTCCCCGTAGTCAGCTCATTGTCGCACTCGACGATTTTTGTGATAAATTCGTATTGATGTTTCAGGTTGCTCAGAAGGTATTCAATCGAAGCCTTGACAGTCTCTGTTTTGCGGTCTTGCAGGTAGAAATCCCAGGCAAACCCGCTTGCTCTGTCTGTCACCAGCATCAGCGAGTTATATCCCTTCTTGTCAGGCTCGAAGTCGTGAAATCGATTCCGAGTCTTTCTCCAGGTTTGCAGTCTTCGCGGGTTCTCTTCGTATCTGTTTTCTCAACTTGCCCATTACGCAGTTATCACAGTCAACGGAGGATTCCTTTGATCTTCACTCCTCGTGAGCAGTTCACGAGGTGCTCCATGGCTCTGGGGCCTGGGTGCCCGAGCCGCAGGTGCCAGAGCTTTGCAGATACCTTCTGAGGGCTTCGTTGTGTTATCGAAGTGTACTTGTTTCGTCTGTTGAAGAATGCCCTTCGAGTGACGTCGCTGGGGATGTGTTCCAGCACAAACTGGTCGTGTTCCTGGCTGACCAGGCCGATGATGCTCCAATCTGAAGCTCGAAGGCACGACTGTTGGCCTGGACTTTCGTCCCACCAGATGCCGTGTCTCTTCAGGGTTTTGTAGGAGACTAGGTTGCACGCAAAATTTTCGCAAAACGCGACATCAGTCAGCCGTAGACAGCGTGGGCCTTGAGGGCCTTCGATCCTGATGTCGACATCACCATAGCCTTGAATAGGCACTTGGCTCTCCCCTGCCCAGAGGAAGTCGCCTTTGTCGCTCTCCTGAAGTTGAGAAATCGTGAAATTTGGTTGAAGATGTGGATGGTCGAAGCAGAGTCAAGCAGGGCCGAGTTGCACAGCGGATATGACTCGACAGAGAAAGCTGCTTGGCCAGGTTGATGAGCGATGGCGAATGAAGCGGAGCACTTCCCCATCGCTCTTCCAAGTCAGGCTGGAGTTAGATCTTGAGCAGGAGCTGGGGTTGAAGCTGGCTCCCGCTTCGTGCTTGGCATGAATTCCTTTCTTGCCTCTTTCCACGGTATCTGTCCATTTGTCTTTTCACTTCTTCAAGCTTCGAGTTTCTCTCGACCGCTTCGTTTGGAGCCCACCACTTTGGGGCTATATCTGGGTTGATTGCGTAGCAATTCGAGAATGTATGGCCTGGTTGTTCGCAAAGGTTGCAGAATCTTCTGCTTGGCTCGTCATCTCGAGGCCTCTTGTATGTATCTCTGTCTCTTGTATCTCTGTTGTCCCGGCCTCGATCTCGGCCTCTTCCTCTTCCTCTTCCTCTATTTCCTCTCGTCTCGTCAAGTGTTGGGCCGAAGGAGCCAGGCTTAATCGTAGAAGGAATCATTTCGGAATCGATATAGTTTGTGAAATGGTTCGTCATGGTGTGTATATCAAAATCATCGTCAGTATCTTTTCGGAGAGGTAGAATTGGGTTACCCAGCCGGAACATTGAGGTTTCACAGCCTCCAAGAAGTCTCTGATCCATATAGCTGGGTGTGTCGCTTCCGCGAGCTTCTCTCTGATGCCCTCGTGCATCACGTTCTTCCATGACTGGATCCAGCTTTCCCAGTCTTGCGGTGGTTTGGTGAGAGGTGTAACCGCCTTTCGATACCTATTTTGCAAGGCCCGAGTCATCTCTTTCTTGTTGCCTTTGGCCTGCTTCTTCAGGCTGGCGTACCAGTCTTTGAGGGACTTGGCTGGAAGACAACAGGTCTGAAAATATGGATCATCAACGGTCTTTGCCACCCAGGCTCGCAGATCTTTGATGCTTTCCTCTTGTTTTTCGTGCTTTCGAACCTTGAACTGGAACATACGCCAGTCGTTGGTGGTGTCCCTGAGAGTAGCGTCAGCTGCTCGAGTGGTTACTCCCGTTTGATTAGCAGTTGGCTGTGGTTCTTCGAGAAGGCTTGCTCCTTCGACTCCAGAAACCCAGTTCCAGAGCTTGTAATCGATGGCAAGTGCCTGGAATTTGGTGTCCCATAGAGACCAGTCCTTGGGCTGGCGGAGGAAGGCTTCAGAAGTCGGAGTCTTTGCGAATGAAGTCATCGCCAAAATTAATAAAAAAAAAATTGAATTGCTTAGTTTTTCAGATGCGGGTTCTTCCACTCAATTGGTAGAATTGAGACTCTTAATTGTCAGAACCTTGATGAGGTTCTCGTCGGATAGGTCACGGACACAGCAAGAATGGTACGATCGGATGAAGTGAGGTATGATGTGTGTGTCTGTCTGTGTCCCCCATTTGGGGGTGCTCTGCCCAAGCCCTATATCAAAGGGCGATGGCCTCAATCCCTATGACATGCCATCACGTCATATCTCTGTAACTGTCTCATAGATGTCCTCGTGGCCTCATCAGCTGCGCTACCTGGTGCGCTATCGTCTGCGCTACCGTTGGCGCTGCCACTAGTAGCCTGACGCTATCGTAGCTGCATCTACCCGGATTCTACCGGATCTAACACTAGCCGGCAATCGTCAAAGGTGCTCGCGAACTATAGGCCCATGCGAGACTGCGGGCCATTTTTGCTGCAAAGGATTTTATTGTTATAATCAAGAGGTAATATCTTTACGAAGGAGTGGTTATCTTATATAGAGTAATATACTGACTAAGCCCTAGTGCTTTGATAAAGAGATTGAGGTAAGACTTTTATTTAACGTTCTTTACTAGATATTAACCGAATGCTACTAAGTGTTCCCACTTGCATGACCCTTGCAGGGTCGCAGGCTATAAGGGCGCGAAGTGCTGCCTTGACCTTACTTGTAAGCCTAAGGGACACGAAGGCTGGGGAACGGTATGTAAAGAACAGAAGGTTCGCTCGATTAACTTTCCCATACTGACGTTTATCGTTAGTGCGAGCGTCGCATTGATAAACTCGGTTATACGGCTTAAGTACTAGCACTAAGAAATAAGGGCTCTATTTATTACAGTCGCTACAGTAGATAGATACAAATCAATATATTCTGTCACACTGTAACGGGCTAGGCCCTGCTGGACAAGGGGAGCCAATGCAATGCAATGCAATTTATTCCGCCCGGAGGGACCAACCCTAGAGGGCCGCGACACTAAGCTATTTACAGATCCTCCACTTTCGACTGCAACACCCAGAAGCCCCACATTTTGCTCCTATCCGTACATTTCAGCCTCCAATTTCGCCGTTGACAGGCCTGCTTGAAGGCCCATTTCTCCAAGTGTTCAGCATCCTATTCTCAGCAGCTGAAGCCCGGTCTGTCAATGAGAGGCTGTATGGTGCTAGTACTGTGCACTCTGGTTTGCTAGTACTGTCATCGTTGGTCCTAGGGGTGATATACGAAGGTGAATTTTTTGAAGATTTTCAATGAAGGATGAATCAAATGAATTGAATTTTTGGGATCTCGATTCAAAATCTTCAAGCTCCAATTTTCGCGATTCAAGTTGGGTTTGGGCCAATTCAGGCCATTCATGAATGGTTTGAAGGGATCCCCTAAACGAAGTGAATTTGGTGTGTACCTAAGCGATTGCAAAAATACCTCAAAACTCCAATACCCGTTGGCGGGGCCTCTGGCAGCCAACTAAGGGGCCCCTTCCCCTTAGTTGGGCCCAAAATTCCCGGACAGCCCCAAAACTCCCGGACGCGCGCCTGGTGGGCAAATCCGGGCAAACAGCCGCCACAGCGTCCTATGAGTGTCTAAATAAATTTTCTAGGAATGCAAATTGTAGACCCAATCGCCCTTATTATTTGAGGCTATTGACGATGCAGAAAACACGAGTTATGCGGCGTTGCGCGGCGTTGAGGCGTGCACCTATTAATGTTGAAGTGTGTAGCCCATATTCGGCTCTTCCCAATTTATATACCTTCTTGATCCTAATTCGGTGCCTGAGAAGCTCGGAAGTATTGTACGATCCCTTGAAGCCTCTTCCACCCCGGAATGAGTGGTGTTGGGGTGACCGGCGGCGACGATGGCGGCGTGGCTCCCGACGGCGGCGATGACCCCAATATACTGTCAACCTCGTCAAAGAAGGCAGTGTATAGTGTAGAATCGAGTGGGGCTTCTTGTGTGTTCTCGTCGGGCGCGGGCTCGTTCGGTTCGCTCGTTTCGTGGGGCTCAGGTTGAGGCTTCTTTTCTGACGACATGATGATCTCAATAGACTGCTCTCTTTGAAGGTGAGGCCATTGAATTGACTGCAGAGGCCGCGCCGAGGCGCAAGCCCTATCAACGGCTTCTTTCTCGGCAGCTGTGCGCTGCGTGCGTGTTGTATCGATCGTGAACCGGTCTCGTGGTCTGAGGAGTCTGTTGTAGACCTCTTCGCTGCTCTCTAGGGCAAGGAATCCCTCGCTCTTCCCGACGAAGTCAAGCCATTGTTTGATAGTCAGTCTCTTCATCTTTCCGTTCACGAGCTGCACCTTGTTTTTACGGTATTCGTCAAGGAGCTGCTGTCGCTCGCGCCGTATAATGCCACGCATCGAGAGGAGCTGTTGGCGTTGATTTTTCTCTTCTTCGAGCCGAAGCGTGCGTTCACGAGATTTACGGATATCTTCTAGGCTGACGCTAGTGATGCATTTTGCATATGAATGAGATGAAGTGGGATGGTTGTCTCTCCAACTAAGCTATGACTGCTTCATCCTTATGTAGGAGGCAGCCAGGTCGGACTATCTAGGTGATCCGGCCGGTTTACAAGGCAGCCACATACCGATGCCTGCTCACACGGCTGCCTGTTTCACACGGCTGCCTGTTCACACGGCTGCCTGTTCACATGGCTGCGCGTGCGGCAGCCGGTGTCCTTGATGCTTGGTGCCGTGCCCAACGCCCCAGTGTGCGTAGGGACACGCAAAACGCATCATAATGCCGGCCTCAAAAAGAAAACTCCACTGTCCTCAGTGACTGCCTCAACAGAGGCTACATGTCAGAACTTTCCGATCGTCCCTTTGCTTTGCTGTTGCGAACCACTCGCGGTCCCGTCGTCTGCCCGTGGAACTCATCCAGGGCCTTTGACGATATCTCTTCCTTCCTGACCCACTGATCATGCATGCTGCCCCATCCTTTCCAGTGGACCAAGTACTCCGTGACGGGCTTCCTGTTTCTTCCAATTTTCCTGACCCGTACGTCAAGAAGCTTGTCAACTTCGTAGAATTCGCCTTCCTGGTCCGTAAAGTCCCTTGTGACTTCTACTGGTCCGGGTGAGCTTCTTCAAAGCAGCCTTCGTGAGCTGGCTTGAGGTGGTGTATTGAGATCACTGGGTGGACCTTAATTTGCTCTGGAAGGTCCAATTCACAGGCCAGGTCTCCAACCATCCTTCTGATCACAAAGGGCCTTCCCGCTGTTGTGACCACTTCTTGGGCGGCCTGCCTGGCTGGTGATATCCTGATGAAGCTTGAGATATACCTTGTCTCCAGCCTTGAGATGGATAGGTCGGTGTTTGGCATCGTACCAACGCTTGGCCTTCATCGCTGCAAGGTCCATAGCTAGGCTGGCCTGCTTACGCAAGGCTTCCTTGATGTAGGGCAATTCGTCTGCCTCTGCGCTGGCTGTGCGATCAACAGCCTCCAGGGCCCTTTCAGAGGGAATCCGTACATTAGTTCATGGGCTGAGGTCTTCGTGCTGGTGTTGTAGGCTGTGTTTAGATGCCACTGCAGCGAAGGAATAAGGGTCTTCCAGTCAAGGTTGGGGTCCTCAATATAGGCCAGTCGCAACGCTGTTTCCACTGTTTGATTGCGCCGCTCGGCCAAGCCGTCCGCCTGCGGATGATATGCCGTTGTCATGCTGATTCTGGTGCCAAAGGCCTTCCAGAGCCCTTGCCAGAAAGCAGAGGTGAATTTGCGGTCTCTGTCACTGACTATCGTGCGCGGCATGCCCCAATCACATAGCATGAGCTGCCTAGCTAGGGAGGCTGCCCAGTCCTTGGCGCTATACTTTGCATTGCCTGGAATCAGTAGGCATCGCTTGCTAGCTAAGCAAGTGACTGTAAGTAATTGATTAAAGGCATTAAAGCCTTCAATATGCCAGGGTGAGCCCATAGCTGAGACGGCAGGCATGTCTGTGATGAAGTCCATTGCAATTGACTGCATTGGAAGCATCGGGGGTCGATTGGGCAGATAGCTTCCAGCAAGCTGTTGTCGATCAGTCTGTCCAAGGCAGCAAGCTTTGCACTTGGCGATGTGCTTTTCGCTTGCCAAGATACGTTCCTGATCGAATAGGTTTCCAACTCCTTGAGCATTCTCACAACGCCAAAGTGGTGCTTGTCGTCGTGTGCCATTTGCATCAATTCGTGCGTGAGGCTTGCGGGCACGCAGAGACGAACATATCCATCTTTTCCTTCGTGATATAACAGACCCTGGTCCACGAAAAAGGGAATTCCTCTGCGCTTGATTTTCGCGATTTCTGGGGCCCTAGAAGCTTTGACAGTGTTCTCACTGTCCTGGATCATTTGAAGGATCTTGCGATAATGGGTATCAGCCTGATAGCCTTCTTTGAATTTGATGCGGTATGCTGGATCCATGATGGCCTCAGACGCAAGGAGCACATCGTCAAGCGCTGTGTAGTCAGGTCGTTGCCGCTCGATCAATTGGTCGGTCTCAGGGCTGACAGCCTGCTTAAGGCATCAGGGATGAAATTGATTTTCCTGGAAGATGATCAACCTGCAATTCGTACTGAGAGAGATAGATGGAGGCTACTACTAGCCGTCTGTTGGCTCTGTCCGTGCTTGAAGTGTCGAGGGAGGTCTTATTGACGATCTGCTGTGTGGCTGAATGGTCCGTAAGTACGATTAAGGGCTTCGTTGACGATTGGACCACTGTGCGCATCTTTTTGATAGACCAGACTAGGCAGGCCACTTCTAATTCCGACGGACCATATGATCTCTCTGCGTTGGTGAGGGTGCGGCTGAGAAAAGCTATAGGTTGCATCGCTGTTGAGGAAATAGCTTGGCCAGGCTTCCATTCGTAACCTTCTTTAAGGTGGAAGTAGGTACAGGCAAATCCTCGTTGCAAGGACCCGTCAACTTGACAGAACAGTTGCCTGCTTGGGTCCATGTGGTGGATCATCCTGCCGGAGGCTACTTCCTTTTGGATAGCTTCAAATGCCAACCGCTCCTTTTCACTAGGCTCGAATTTGGTGTTCCTCGCAAAGGCACGGCGTTTGTTGATGTTACCTTGCTGAATTTTGCCAATTTCTCGTCCTTGGGCTAGTAATTGAGTTTTCCGGTGCTGCAATGGCTCAATGAGGGCTCCATAATACGGTAAGAGATGCCGTAGGTAGCCTGTTGCTCCAATGTAGCTTTCCAACGCAGATAGCTGGTCTGGAAATTCCAGCTTTGCAAAGGCTGCCAGCCTGTGTTCCGTTGTGCTCATTCCAAAGGCATCAACGCGGAAGCCAAGGAGCTGCACAGAGGGATACCCAATCCAGCTTTTCTTTGGCGACATCGTGAGGTTAAAACGCTCGAATAGCTGGAAGATTTTGCTAAGGTGCTGTAAGTGCTCTTTTTCCGTTTTCGAATAGATCACAACGTCGTCAATAAACGCTCTGCAAAACCCTTATATGGTCGAAGCACTCGATCCATATAGCGCTGGGCGTAGGCCGGGCTATTGCAGAAGCCAATTGGTGCAACAGTCAGTCTTTCCAGTCCTCTATGGCTCGTGAGGGTAAAACGATCACGATGTTCGAGTTTGACTCGGAATTGGTGGTAAAAAGACGATGCGTCGATTGCTGTGATGTACTGTGCGCCTCGAAGCTCTTGGATGATGTCTTCTTGCAATGGCAAGGGATAGCTGTCTGGCATGGTGACCTTATTAAGAGCTCGCAAATCGATGACGACCCTGCCCTTGGTTTCTCCTCGGGCTGTTCGCCACACAACGAAGACGGGGGCTGCAAAAGGGGTTGGCCCGTGCACGTATTCCATGCGTCCTTGTGCGTGGAGCTTGTCATGGGTTTCATCAATGACCTGTTTGTCTCGTAATCCCTGAGGATAGGGGCGTTGAGCCACCTTGTGCGTGTGCCAATCCTTGATAAGGGAACTGTGAGCTCGTGGCCTGCTTCGACTTGAGCTGTGCCCGAGTCTTTCCATAGTTTGGCGTGTTTTTCAACGAGGGCTTTGATCTTGGTCACGAAGCTGCCTTTTGCGCATAGATGTGAATTCCGTCGTCAGTGCACACCTCTGGGAGCTCTGGCGTGCGTTGAACGTGCGGGGGGCAAGGTCAGGAGTATCGGCTGTTGCTGCTGCACTAAGCTGGGTGCTTGTGACGTTGAGCTCCTTTCTTGTTGTTGACCAGGGCTGGCTGTCGTTGCTGGCTGCTGTTGTGTACGCGTACACAGCTTCTGATAAGCTTGAAATTGATTCTGCGGTTGCTGCTAGAACAGGGCTTCCTCCGGGGTGAAGGTCCCGTCAGCTATTGCGATAACATCGTCTGAGAGGTGGAAGGTGCTGTTGATAGCAAGATCATACGATGCATGGCTCTGGGGAGCACTTTCAATCGTCATTGCAGAAGTTGCTGGGGCCAAGGCCGCTGTTGGAGCTGCTCTTGCCGCTGTGGCCATTGTCAAAGCTGTCAGAGCTGATTTCCATGAGGCTGCAGCGAAGTAGCCCGATTCCTCGCATTCTCTGATCTGCCCTAGGCGCTGTTTGCGGTTCACGATGATATCTTGGTTCGTAGTGTTCGTGAACATGACCGCCGGGACAGTGTTTCGGTCAACGAGAGCATGAGCGGCCAAGGGATGATTGGAATGAAAAGCGAAGGAACGGCCTTTAGGGACTTCCTTCCAGCTAGCTGGGACTAGCATTGTCTTGCCTGCCGGGACCACGGTTTTTCTGACGGCCTGAACGCGTCGGACTACCCCTTTATGAGGCTTATAGATGTTAAAAGGGATACCGAAGTCGTCGAGGAGGCCTATTTGAACGACTTCCTTGTCGTAGTGGATGTTTCCAACATACGGCTTGAGGAAGGCATTGCCTAGCAAGGCTCCTGGTTCCACGGTAGTCACCCAAGCGGAACTGGTGAATTTAGCTATGCCGGCGCTGCTGCCGTCAGCCCTCTTTCCTTCTGCATAGAAGGAGAACGTGGCCCAGTCTGTGCAGCGGACACTGCCGCTGATGCCTGCAATTGGCGTTGGAGGCTTCTTCTCAATGGTGTGCTCGAAGCTCTTGAGAAGCTTTCTGTCAATCAGGGGGTTGCCACATCCGGAATCCGCACAGACCTCGGTCTCTGGTCCTGTGGGAGCTGCCTTGATCTTGATGCGAAGATATGAGTAGCCGAAAGGGGCATTGTGCGATGGCGGCTCGAGCGGCTGTGGCTCGAGGATTTCCTGCGATAGCGCTCGCGACTGTTCCCAAAGATACTGGGCTTTCTGGGGAGGAATTGGATTGTGCTGCTCTACGGCTTTATATGCCTCTCATTTGCGTGGGCCTTGGGCTGTGACACGCAACCAGGAAGGTGCCTGAAGAGTGCATTGCGTGAGGGAAATCGGGCGTAGCATTTCCCACACAACGAAGGTCTTGCTGGGGTCGCCTCCTGCTGGAGCTGTTGAGCAGACACACAGCAGCGTGCTTGTGTGTGCTCAAATAACACACTGCGGGAGGGGAACTTGCGGTTACACTTCCGGCATTGGTGGTTTCCTTGTTGGCCAAGATTCTCAGGAGTTGAGGTCATACAGACGTAGTATTCCTCGATAGAAGCGTCTGATCCTACATCACTGGCTTCATCGTTGTCGGAAATGGCGGTTTTCTTGTCGTCTGGAGCATCTTGCTTGTTTTCATCCTCGCTGGCAAGGTAATTTTTCTCAAAGCGGACCTTTTTCTCATAGCCGCCGCTTCGCTCATTGCGCTGAGGATCTTTGGGGCGGCTCTCTCGCCTTTCCTTGGCCCGTAAGTCGCTGCTGGGGTTGCTGCGGTCTCTGCGGTCAAGGCCTCGATCGCGTTGGTAGTGATCTCGCTGATAGCTGCGGTCGCGGTCGCGGCTATCGTTCCTAAAGCTGCGATCACGATCACTACTACGATCACGACTTTGGTAGTTGCGGTCACGGTCACGGCCTTGGGGCGTTCATCGTATCTGCCGCGAAATTCCAATGCCGCGGAGATCAGGGGTCGGCGTTCCTCGATTTCTCGTACCCACTTGTCAATTGGCGTGCGTTTAGTGGGCACAGAGAGGTGAGTAGCGATTTGGACCGCAATCAAGGGTGGATGCTTTGGATGATTTGGTAGTCCTTTTCGATGTTGATTTGCCTTGCTAGGAGACTTTCCGTTGAATCCATTGAGGCAAGGAGACTTCACCAGCATTCCACATTGACACGGTATACGGAATGCCGTGTAATTCCTTGAGACCTCTGCTGCTGGGCGTTGGAATCGCTTGATGAGCATTTTACAGAAACGCTCTACTGATGACTTCATAAGGCGATCCTTCTGCTCGATGGAAAGTTCATTCATGAACCACTGTAGAGCTCCGCCGGCAAGGAAAGACATATAGTGCTGCGACAAGGCGTAGGAGTCGAGATCCTTGTACATTCGCAGGCGCTCGCAGAAGAGGTATACATCCGTGTACACATTGCTGCCGCTTGAGAGGGACACAAGGCCTTGTTTATGAGGATCCTTGTGATTGGGGTTGAAAACACCCATGTTGTCACGTTTGAGCCTCTTGGCAACAGCTTCCACATCACTGGAGGTTTGAAAGGTCTGTGTGGTAGGGAGAGAGGCGCCCGGCGGCTGTGAGCGTATCCAATGCCAATGCTGCTTCCAGAGCTGCTGCTGCTGGAAGAAGAAGATTCCGAGTCGCTTGAATCATCTAGTCGTAGGTATCTGCGATGCTTGTGGTGACTGCGGCGGTCGCGGCGGCTGTGGTGGCTATGCCGGCTTCCTTTCTGCTTCCTCACGCCTGAAGGTGATTGTGACTGAGTTGGCGCCTTTGGGGGTTCCGTTGACTGCAACATAGCTTGAGAATTTATACCTCGCTGTTCCGTGGGAAGTTGTTGGTCGGCATCCGGAAGATATACCAAATTGGATGTCATTGACCTCGAATCAACTTCCTTGGGCGTGATCTTCGAGATCAATTTCATCATGTTGTCCTCTGTGGGTTCCGGCACAATATAGGCTTTTTCCACCACTGCTCTCCATGCAGGCACATGTTCGAGGTCCGAGATGCCGGCTTGTGGTACAGCCAATACTTCGCGTAGGCTGATTTGATGAGCACAGACGTGGAAAGGAGATCTTCCAAGGCTTCACATGCTTCCTTGTCACGGACTGTGAAGGTATCGAGAGCTTCCTTAGATTTGTCTCGCATCAGCTTGAGGAATCGGATGGACCATTTCCACGCGTTGAGAGCTTCTGGGAGCTGCTGTAATTGGTCTGCCAATTGCGAATGATTGTCCTTGGGGTTGAGAGAGACTCTGTTGCGCTTCGGGCGGCGTTGCTGGACTGCGTCCGGTAGCCGGGGTGCATCATCTTCTTCAGCCGGGCGTGGCGAGCTTCTATCGTCAGCTTGCTTGACCGAGCTTCCTTCGTTGGTCGGTTTGGCCATTGTGTGGTCGGTTTGCTTGCCAGCTGACACTTGCGATAGTGATATACGATTACACGGGCTTTCGCAAAACTTACTATCACCAAAGTCGTCACGAGCGAAAGACACCTTAATGCAACGGTATTGACCCTATAGCGTTATCACGAGGGTGAAGAAATGTTGGCTGCTAGCTGTCAAGGGTGTCGGTCGCACCACAAGGTTAGCTGGTTAGCAAGCCAAAGGATTGATGAGCTTTGGGATAAGCTCGTGGGGGGTGGGAGCCAATAGAGGCGCGGGGGTCCGCGCCTTTAAAGTCGGCGCGGACGTCCGCGCCTGTTATGTAAGCCCGGCTGGCCATTGTGGGCGCCGCGAACAGCGCCCGCCGCGACCGCGCTGGCGCGCCAGTTTTACTGCACATATCTCCCCGCACATCGGCAAAAGTACTCAACGGCCACAGCGTCAATTTGAGTGTCAATCGACTCAAATTTTTTTTAATCTAGAATTGCTGTGGTTTCCAACTGTGGCGCACTTATACAGACCGGTCCTAGCAGACGACTTATATGCGGGAATAGTTTGCCTGCTGTTCCTCCGAGTCTCTCTCGCAGTCAGCCCATAATAGCGCTCCTAATAGTGTGGACCATTAAGAGGACTATTAGTGCACACTGTGGTTTACACTATTAGTGCCGCACTATTAGTGTAGTGTGCGTTTCTCACACCACACTGGTGGTTCAGTGTAGCTTGCCCAAACTGAACGGGTAGTTCAGTGCAAGGGTCCAGACTAATAGTTGCACTATTAGTGCGCCCCATGATTACCAGCAACCCGGATTTTACTACCTTGAAATAGGGTTTCGGATTGATTTCCAACGAAAACATGTATAACCTGTAAGACGAAGTGCGTATTATCCAAGTGGCGGAACCCCGGTCGGGGAGTTATGATATACCCGTTATGTCACCGTACAAAGGCGGGGTGCCAGGTAGCCTCTGTTACGGCCAGGCACATACGAGCCTTGACGGCTATAAAGATGTATTGGCACTATGAACAAAGACTCAAAGCTAAGGAGCAAGAAAGGAAGACTAGACTACACGACCGAGCGGGCCCTATATAGACACGAGGTCGCGCGTGGGCACGTGATGCTGCTTGGGCACGTGACACTGGTGAGGTGCTGCGCTGGCGGCTCTACGCTGGCGCCCAGGGTCGTGACAGCCTCTAACCTATCTGTCATCTCTAGGGTAGGAGGCAGGCTGGCTCGTCAATATTTATGCGAAGCAGTTGAGATGCCAATACATTCGCTTCTTTCCGTTGTAATTAAGCATACTGGTAAGCGTCTAAACACAAGCTTTGCTAAGAGCTTCCGCCTGTTATTGACTTTATTATGCTATCAAAACATGTTGCTAAGTTATCGTTTCTGGTCGAGAAAACCCATTATACCGGATGTTGCCCTGCCAATTTGTTCAAGTTTGTCAGTCGGGTTACAGTCCAAAGCGCAGATTGAGCCTCGGCCACACTTCTACGGCCCCAGCTACACCAATCATTAGCTTCATAGGTCGATGCACCGCAAGCCTTCTGATGCTCTTCTCGTCGAGGCTCAACTGAGGATCTCCACCGCCGTTGCGTACGCAAATTGGATGCCGACGTTAGGAACACTGGGGCGTGTCGCTTGGCTGGCACGAGATGAGCGCGAGACGAGCGCGAAGCGAGCACGTACGGAACAATTCGCGACGATGTAAAGTTTCGTCGTGCGCCGACGCTAAAGGGATATGACCGATCATTGGCCGGCAAACTCAAATTAATTGGATTCTGTGGTCCAAACCAAATCACTAGGACTTCCTAGGGTGGTCAAAAGAGGAAGTTGTCCACCACAGAATGATCTGACCGGAGCTGCCACAAACAATCCGGTTTATCCCACCAATCCTGCTCTCCGCCAGATTCCCATGATCGCCACTCTTATGGTCTAGTGCATTCCCTAGAGGATCATGTCCTCCATCGTGGATCACCCGAGGCTGGCACCTATATAGATGATTCTGACCTTATTAGTGGGACAGCGGCTTCCCCGTCACCGGCACCATCCTCTTCGCCTGTCCTTAGCGTCTACCGCCGAAAGACGTCTCCTATTTGGCAGTATTGTCGAAGAGAAGAAGGTAGGAGTATTCCGGCAGCTTGGGTTGATTCCAATGGAACGAAATGGTGGCATTGCCAGCCCTGCTTCGACAAGAAAAGAGCGAAGAAATACAATTACTGTGGTGGGTCGTCCGCCATCGTCAATCATTTGCGAAAGGAGCACAATATCATTATTTCTGGGCGGCAGGAGACCAGGCGGGAAGTGACGCAAAGTCGCCTCGGAGACATCACCGCATTCCTGGCCAATGGAACTTTGGTCTCCACCAAGAAACGCAAGGCGACCGCAGAGGTAGATGCCCTAGACCAAGCGACTCTCCGCGAACTGTACTGCCGTTATACAGTAGCCTGCAGCCTCTCATTTGCTCATGTTGAGCAGCCGGCCTTTCGCGACTTTATCCGGTATATCCGTCCGGCCGCCGATGATCTCCTCCCGAGTGTCAAGCGATATTCCGCCCCAGCCGAGGAGGCGTCCCAACCTACAGGGGCACCATTCTTGTGTATATAACTGGGACCTTTGTCCCCTTGACTTGGGCAGTGGTCAAGGCCAATTTGACTCAAAATAACCCTCACATGCATGGCATCTTTCCAGTTACTTGTGACACCGAGGTCCGGCGACACGGTTAAAAATGACTTACAATGGGGCTACGACAACAAAAAGGAGTTTGTAAAGCGAGCTCTGCAGAATGCTCTCTCGTCAATCCACATTGTTCCAGACAATTGGACATCGCCGAATTGTTTGGGCGTAATAGGGTTTACAGTTCAATTCGTTACCGAAGATCATGGTCTGCAGTCCCTGGTGGTGAGGATAAAAGAATTGGAAGGACAGCACAGCGGCGAGAACATGGCAGAAGCCATCATGGAGTTCATACGAGAATATGGAATAGCGACAAAAGTTGGATACTTTATGATGGATAATGCCACCAACATGAATACCATGATCGACAAAGTCTCCGACGACTTGGAGCACGAGTTCGAAGTTTTCTACGATCCTCTTCCTCACCGACTTCGCTGTTTCGGCCACATCATTAACCTGGCCGTGATGGAGTTCCTCATGGAAAGCGACCACCCACAGCAGATTCCTACCACGGACCGTCCGACGACGAAGTTAAGCAATGGAGAAAGCGAGGGCGATAGGCAAATTGCATAATATCGTGGTCTACATCACCTGGACTCCCCAGCGACTTCAGACATTCACTGGTCTCACTGACGGTCTACGGCTACGGCGCGACAATGACACTCGTTGGAATTCGTGGCATAGCATGGTTGAGTGGGCCCTTAGAACAAAAGTCCGTCAAGGCATCACCATATTTTGTGCTCAAGAGCCTGCCCTGCAAGACGATGCTCTGACTTCCTCTGACTGGGTTACTCTGGCTGAAATTCACAAATTTCTCGAACCTTTTCACGACGCTACAATGGCCAACGAAGGCACCGGCAATTCCATCTCTGACGTTCTGCCAACCATGGACTATCTCTTGCATCACATTGAAGCGGCCAAGGAGGCCACTACCATCCCCCACTTGGCTACAATGATGGAGACGACATGGGCCAAATTAGCCGACTACTACGAATTGACGGAAGATTCGCCAGTCTATTCAGCAGCGACGGTATTAAATCCTTCCCTCAAGTGGGCATATATGGAGAAGACTTGGGACGACAAGAATGAATGGATTGAGAGAGCTAAAGCTCGGGTAGGGGAGCTCTGGAGGGAGGCATACAAATCTACCACTCCTGCCCTGTTCTTCGACCAGCTTCCGCACAAGAGCCAAGTGCAAGACGACCAAATGGGTACAAAATGTGGATGAAAGAGCAAAGGCTACGATTTTCAACATGGATGACGACGAGTACGAAGTGTATTGCCGCGAGCCTGTGGTGATGGTATCGGATCCGTTGAAATGGTGGTTAGAGTCAGCGCAGCGGCGACGGTTCCCCTAACTTATCTTTGATGGCCATTGACCTTCTATCGATTGCGCCTATGTCTACTGAGACAGAGCGGCTCTTCTCCAAAGCCAAACTTTCGGTAACCGACCAGCGAGGATCTATGAACATTGAAACTTTAAATCTCTTGAATGCCTACGATCCTGGGACCGGAGCGCTCTGATACTCCCATCCGAGGTAAGATTTCTGTTTCGTCAGATGAAGATTGTCTAATTATGGATTCCAGTGTCGCTATATCGATCCGGAAGCCACCGGTACCGGGTCTGAGCCTCTGATTCAGGAAAGGGGCGAGGAAAGCTGCAGGTAAGGCAGGCAATTCGGTGAGGGCGCTGGAAAACTTGAAGGCAACCTTGCAGGTGCGACGGGTGCAATGCCAAATGTCAGACTATATGTTCACACTAATAGTGTAGACCACAGTTTGCACTGTAGTTCAGTTTGGCCGTGACGAACAGACTAATAGTTCAGTTTGAACATCTCAGGCACACTGGTAGTGTAGTGCGGCCAAGTCACACGCACTGAATGAGCAGTTTGAGGGGTCCAAACGCACTGGCCACACTATTAGGAGCATTGGCCCATATACCTGCAGTACCTCTTTCTCGTGAGAAAGGCTGCGCTTGCATTTCCTCGGCCACCCGGGCATCTAACCGCTCTTCTTCTGCCTTATCCCAATCAAGGTATGCCATCATCTCTTCCTTGGTCCATTTCCTCGAGCCGCAGCTCCTTGACATTTGCTTCCAGTCGAGGCACCAGTCATATTCAGTCTTGCTGTAGCGCAATGGCAAGCCCATTGCCTTTCGGTATGCCTGGTTGGTCTTGAGATTGCCGCGAGGCTGTGCTCTATACCAAGAGTCTCTTGCCCTGACATACCTCTGATAGATGGCTCGTGGGTCATCATATCGTAGATTCTCCGTAGTCTCTGTAGCTTCTGCAATTCCTGTCGAGACTGCAGCAATTGTAGACACCGTAGAGACTGTAGTGACTGCAACCGTGATTGTCTCCATGACTGCTGCAGTCTGTGCAGTCTCTGAAATTGCTACTGCTTGTGCAGTCTGTGCAGTCTGTGCAGTCGCTGCAATTGCTGCCGTCTCTGCAGTCTCTGCCGCCCGTGCCTCTGCCCGCTGCAGTATGTCGCTATAGCGTAAAGGACAATTGCGAGATGTCATGATGTGCCCTTTCTGGTGGCATTTGCTGCATGTAGGTGGCGCCTTTGGCCGTAGAACTGGCTCTATGGCTTCAAATGCACTTGGCTCGCGCTGTGTGGATGACTGTGTTATCCTCGATGTGGCGACAAGTTGGTCCAATCGCCGACGAGGCTCTATGAGGACCTGACCAATCTCTTTGGTATCCCGTCGAAGGCGCCAATGCGTATGAAAATGTTGTGGCCGGAGTGGCAGATCTTCCTCTATGAGCGGCTGTAATGTGTGCGCACAAGGGAGACCGTGAGACTTGGTGAAGCTGCCTGTGCAAGCAGGGATGTCTTTCTCGTTGAGGCGCTTGTGTTGCTTTGCAACCTGTCGCAAGGCTTCGTGTGATACCCAGCCACGTACCGTGCTATATACGGTTCCAGAGAGCTCAATTGGCATCCGTATATGCTGCCTGGCTTGGTTGGCTTGTAGCTCGGCCAGTTGGTTGAGAAGAGCTTGCTTGATTGCCCTCGTTGCTTCGAAGAGGTCTAGTGTTGACTTCTTAAGGTGGCTCTTCAATAATGCGTGGATGCCTTCCACCCGGAAGTAGCCACATTGCCGAAATGAGCATATTGATCAACCCAGGCCTTGACGAGCTTTTCCTTATACGGGTCCAACCAGGTTTCCGTATGTAGCTAACCTCCTTGACGTATCGTGGTACAAAGCGCTTCTCCAGCTCTTCAACTTGTTGATCGAATGTCTCCTCATCTCTCGAGCTCACGATTGAGTGCCAATACCCAAAGAACTCAACCCATTTCTCATCACTGTTAGAGTTCTCATCCTCACGGTCGAATGCTGGTTTGCAATAGCTAAGCACCGCCTTGTTCGCATGCCAGATGCAGAGCAGAGACCTTGACGCAGGAAAGCACCGGGAAATTGCGTTCATGCAGGCAAGGCAACGATCTGTAAGGATAACGGATGGCTGGCGAATGTCATATAACTCGTATATCGATTGGAGTTGGTCCAGTGCCCAGATGTAGTCATCTTCATCTTCACCACTGAGAAAGGCAAAGGCAATACAGAATGACCGTTGGCAGGCATCAACGCCGATCATATCGAGCAGTGGCATCTTATATTTGTTCGTCTTGTATGTGCAGTCTAGAAGTAGTAATTCTGGGTATGCGTTGAGGTATTCTAGTGACGCCGGGTGTGCGAATAAGACCGCTGTGACTCGGCCGTCATGGTCAAGCTGTATGCGGGTTTGGAACCCTCGTTGTCAAGCTCATTGGCAAGGGCATGCATTGTGCTCTGCCCAGCAAGAAGCTCTCGTCTGCGCTGTGCGATACAGTTATATATGTCTTGCTGTGTCGCTCCTTGAGCAGTCTGAGAGCTCTGGCGCATATATGTCCGGATATCCTTTGGTGCTATGCCGGCGCTTGCGAGGTTCCCAATAGCTGACTGGTCAGTTGAGGAGAGGCACGATGAGCTGGATGTGCTGTAATGTGCAGACTGGGCTCATGGTTGTGGACCGACTTCTCCTCGCCTGGGCGATGCCTGATATACCAGTACGACTTATCAAGGCTCTCTTTCGCATTGATGGAAAACTGGCATCCAGTGATACGGGAGCTTGTAGACCGTTGCCGTTCAGCTGGCTTCTGGTCCTTGCTTGTATGAGCCCTGGTCTACCTCCACGATCACAGGCAAATGTGACTGTGCGTCTTCCGGACCGCGGGTCTCTCGTGGACTTGCCTGTGGTGAAGGCATAGCCTCTTGGAGCTGCCCACGCATTAATTGAGACAAGAAGGGACTCTCGCGAGTCGAATTGACCCTCAGGAGGAAGGCAATCGTCAGGGAATTCAGTAAGCTCCATATTGGCCTACTCTGCGTAAGGGGCGGCGGATAAATTGGGCCGCAATGGCGGCGCGCTGACCCTCCGTGGATATGGTCGTGATATGCTTGCCACAGTACGGAGGGCGAGAGAAAGGAGAGGACAGGTCGGGGCCGGAGGCGGGCCCGACTATCTTCCGGCTGGGCTTACAAAACAGGCGCGGACGTCCGCGCCGACTTTAAAGGCGCGGACCCCCGCGCCTCTATTGGCTCCCAGGATTCCGCCAGACCAGACAGCTCGTGCCCAACGACCTTCTCTAGCTGTTGAGAGTGATCGGGAGATGGTAGTGGCATATCGGAGCTCGGGACGCCCGCAGCGGAATAGCAAGCGACCACAGTGGCTTAAGGACTGTGAAACAGGATGATGTATATATTACAATTGCATTTTCGTCGCATTTTAAATTTGGGAAAATCGAGCCCCGTTGCTGTGGAGTTATTGTGGATTGATGTCGAGCTCGTGGCGGCGTGTAAGTCCGGCGGGTCACGGGATCCGGCAGATCACCGGTAAATCCCTTAAGGGATTTCCCGGTGATCTGCCGGATCGGGCGATTCGCCGGATTCACCGCCAGTTCACGTCTCCACTTCAATCCTGAATTTCTCCACCACCATGGCCCCGATTGATGAAGCGCTTGAGTTTCTGAAGCTGTGTGACACTGTTAACTATGCCAAGACTGCGCGTCAGTTCAATTGCGACGAGACTACCCTGCGACGGCGACACCAAGGCAAACAGAGGTCAAGACGGGATGCCGACAGTTTGTATAAGTCACGTCTCTCAAAACAGCAAGAAAGGGATCTTGTTGCGTATATTCGCAAGCTTTCATCACGTGGATTCCGCCTACGCTGCCGATGATCAAAAGTTTTGCCCAGGATATCGCCAAAATTGAGGTCGGAAAGGACTGGCCGTATAGCTTCGTCCGACGTAACAGCGATGAGCTCGGTTGCACTTGGTTCGACGGTTTTGATATCGCAAGAAAGAGAGCAGACAATGCTTCTAGATACAGAGCCTACTATGAGCTTGTAAGTAGGTGCCCAAGTCCATCCCTTCATTGCTGATCGTACAAGATTGGCGAGAAAATCGAGAAATACGACATCCTGCCTTGCAACACGTATAATGTGGACGAAAAGGGCTTTCTCCTCGGCGTCATCAATCGTACCAAGAGAGTATTCTCTGTTCGTGCCAAGAAGCAAGGAAAATTGATCGGTGCTGCGCAGGATGGCAACAGATCATGGATCACGTTCCTGGCATGTGTCTGTCAAGACCTGACCGCGCTACCCCCGTTTCTCATCTACCAAGGCAAGCCAGGGCAAGTTCAGGACTCCTGGCTCACGGAGTTTGATCCGGAGCACCAAGCGGCGTTTTTCACAACCTCAGAAACGGGTTGGACGAACCATGAACTTGGAAAGGAATGGCTCATTGGTGTTTTCGACCGGTTCACGAAAGAAAAGGCGCGAAACGGCCGGGATTACCGCCTCCTGATTACCGACGGACACTCTAGTCATGTCAATATGGACTTCCTGGAGTGGTGTGACCAGCATCGGATAATCGTTGCCGTGTTTCCGCCGCATTCCACGCACAGGCTGCAGCCCCTTGATGTGTCCCTTTGGCCCTCTTCGACCGCATACACCAACCAGCTCATCCAGTGGACTGCAAAGACACAGGGACTCATCGGGCTATCGAAACGCGAGTTCTGGTCGTTATTTTGGAACGCATTCGGGTCATCTTTCTCGGCGGAGAACATCGCAAGTGGTTGGAAACGGACCGGACTCCTCCCATTTGACCCTGAAGTCGTTTTGTCGCAGATCGCGGAGAAAACAGAAGATGAGTCTGAGTCTGGCGACAGCTCCGTTGACTCGCTCGCCCTGCAGCAGCCCACTGCTCGGGATTTGCGCCGACTTGTCGACAAGGTAGTCGATGGATCCTCAAAAAACGCTAGCCGAGACAGTCGGAAGCTCAAAGTACTCTCGAAAGTCTCCAATCTCAGAACGAATTGCTTCGATATGAGAATCAGGGACTTCGGAGACTATCTTTCACGAAAAGCAGCGCAGAATGCGCGGTAAAGCTCTGAAGGATTACCTTTTCGATCGTGTAGATCCTAACTCGGCGCAGGTATTTAGCCCTGCAAAAGTGGCCCAAGCGCGCTTGAAGAAAGCAGCCATGGAGACTCAGAAGCAAGAAGAGGCCTTGGAGAAAGAACGACAAAGGTTTGAGCGACAGCAAAGGCGGCAAACCTCAAAGTTCTCGCTCTGGAGAAGAGAAGGCAGCGGGAGGCAAAACTGAGCAAAGACGTCAGGCAAAGGAAGCCAGACAACAAGAGCGGGAGAAAACAGGCAGATACGGAAAGAGCTCAAGCGAAAGAACCAGAAAAAAATGTCGGAAATGGGATCCGGACCCTCTGTTGCTCCACAGACTCGCGAGAAGAGTCCGGGCGTTCGAGACGAGATTGTCGTCGCCATTTCGGCTCCACCAGAACCGACGACAGCTCCGGAACACTCAAAATCGCCAAACATTAAGTTGCGTAAAGATCCAAAGCCGGCATTGACCACTTCCTCACGTCCCAAAAAGCCATCATTGGCTGTCGAGCGCGACCAGGAGATGGTAGTCGCAATGCGGGACTTGCGCGATCGGGACGCCACAGGAAGCGGCCACGGTGGCTTGATGACTGCGAAGTAGATTGAATGGAATTGCTAGGCATCTTTCTTGCTTCTGCTTTAATGTGAGATTGTTTCATATTATTTTCGTGGAGTTTCACTCAAATCTTCACCGGAATGCAAGGGAACCAAAATCCGGCGAATCATCCGATCCGGCAGATCACCGGGAAATCCCTTAGCACTCTGCCCATTCTCCACGCCTTGTAGATCCGCTCCTGCAGAAGCACTAAGGGATTTTCCGGTGATCTGCCGGATCTGGCGATTCGCCGGATTTTGGGCTCATTGCATTCCAGCAAAGAACTGAGAATAACTTCACGAATACTATTTGAATTGTTCTAAAATTTTATAAGAGCAGTTAATAATGCTCAAAGATGTCACTCAATTTTTTTGAAGTCATCCAGCCATCGAGGTCGTCTTCTGTTACTCTCCGATCGCGCAAGTCCCCGAAATGCACCCATTGCCTCCCGATCACTATCAACAGCTAAAGAGGGCCTTTGAGGACAGGATATGTCGTTTGAAGTTATCATTGCCTTGTTATTTGCGTTATTATATAGTCTGTTTGGTACCTGCAATGCTATGGCCCGCTCTGGTGTGAACGGAAGAGTGACAATTTTTGCAGCGTGAACATCCTGACTCCTCTCGCGACCCTCAGAAGCCACCCGTCGGTCATTCTGCATTTTCTGTGGCTTTTCCACTTTCAAAATCTTCAGCTCTTGTTAATAATGCCAATTTACCTCCTTATTTTGCTTCACGGCCTCCGTCATCCGTCGTTTTCTCCCAATTTCCGCCTCTCATTGCTTCCTCTTCTCTAGAGCGAGCTTTTGCTCCGCTGCCTTCTGCTGTCGCTGAAGCTTTCGGGCCTCCTTCTTCAGAGCCTCCTCTTTCTTTGGAGTCCTTTCACTGTCATTTTTTGGCGAGCTTGAGCCACATTTTTAAAGCTAAACACCTCGTCTGCACTAGAATCTGTACAGCAGAAGAGATCATCTTTTGAAGCCTTACCGGTCTGCCTGCGCTGGTTCTTGTGACTACTTGTTCTCTGCATACTTTAACTCTCATATCAAGCACTTAAAACTCATATTGAGGGCTCCCGAGGGTGCTGCTCAGCCTTCGGCTGTTGCGGCCAGCATCAACAGAGGACTTCTCGACTACTTCCTGAAAGCGTTCCAAACACAGTCTAGATCTTCGATTTCAGCAATCCAATGAAACTTTTGATTTGTCTGTGTACTGGATAAGATCATGCGTATACGCTGTTGAGAGAGGCTGAATAACGATACATCAAGGGTTGCAGCCGATGAATGGATTGAGGGGAAACACCACAACGATCAGTCGGTGCCGGTCACACCACTCCATAAATTCGATACTAAAATGGTTAAGTGGCCATCGGGAACCAAAGGCGATAAGCACAACCGTTTCGAGCTTTCGCCCTGGTAAACCGGTCGAACGTACCGGTGAGCTGCTCATTTCTATATTGTGATTCGTCCACCTCGTTTTTGACGTGTTAAAAATATTTATTGACGACTTGATTCACGTTTCACGAACCAAAAGTCCAGAGTTTGTGCTGGCTTGTCTTGGTGGATGAGAAATGGGGGCAGCGATGCCATCTCTTGACTGACGCACATCTTGAACGTAATGGAGGATGGGTTGCCATTTTTTAATACGCCGAGCAATTTTGCCTTGTTTTTTATAATAAGAGGAATACCCTGTTCGTTCAAATGCTCATAAGGAATAGAAAGCCCATTTCATCCATGTTATACGTGTTTTAGGGTAGGGTGTCGAATTTCTCAATTTTCGTGCACGTCTTTCCTTGTCAGGTGTGAAAGCGGAGCCTCGCGCACTGAATTTCAAGCTAAAAATAAACCTTACATTCAGATGCATAGATAGGTTCTTTTCAGAAGATGCTTGTACCGTCGAATCACGTTCAATCTGGCTCATTACGGGTGCGTAGAATGAAGTTATCCAGCTCGCCCTTCCAACCCCCATTTTTGGCAGTATCCTGAGCCAAGTTCTGCACTATGGATAGAATGGGGATAATCCCACATGATTAAAGCCTACGATGAAAGCCAATAATGTTCTGTTTTTGCTGTGTTGGCTGAAATGACTTACACAATCTGTCGGCATCCTATTTTGGCCGTTGCTTGGTTTGATGTCAGCACCGCAGCGCATCGCCGCCTAGATAAAAGTTCTAAATATATGCCAGACTTTCACTGCTTCTCATGATTCAGGAAATCAAAGGATACGTCAATTGGCACCGTTGTTGTTGAGCTATTGTCGATTGATGTTGAGCGTGCGAAGTCGCCGCAATCCGGCAGATCACCAGATCCGGCAGATCATCGGAAAATCCCTTATCTAGCAGCAGTTTACTGCCTAAACAGGCAACAAACCTTTCATTTGTGTATAAAGAACTGCGCATCTTCCGCTTGTCAACCTCGGGGATTCTCTGCGGAAGATCTTGTGTCGCCAGATTCCTCAATGGCCCCCGCCGCCTGCGGTAAGCACGGGCTTTGCTTGCTTTTGGGGATACATGCAGCAAACCAGAGCGAGAGCCGACAGCGGACCAAAGCACGTAAGATTTTCGACGAGCCGGGGGGGCACATGAGACACGGCACGCTCGTGCTTCTTTTCCCAGGCCGCCCCGGTTCCATTGGCGGAGCGTCAGTTCCGTGGCTCGCATCATGGTCCGTGAGGTTTTCAAGAACTCCGCGGCCAGACGATGAACTGACCATCTCGTATTGAATCATGTTGGCAAGTACGGACCGAGCGAGATCTACTCAGCACTGTCAGCAGCAATGTATGAAATTACAACAGTATAGGAGGGCGGATAGAGCAAATCAAAAGAGTCCTCCTGGGCGAGCCAATGGCAACGCCAGAACGGCTCCTCCTGCTTATAATGTACGTCCCGGGCGCAGGAGCTATTTTAATCTTTCCAGCCGTCATGATATGTGACGAGGCGTGAAGAAAAACTAAACATGAGTGACGCGCGCTGACTGCAGCCCTGTGGCCCCGTTGTCGGCTTAAGCTTAATCCTGCTCAGGGGAGCCAGACGGTCTGGGCTCTGGACGACCCAGCATTGATGCCGGTGTCAGCAAAAACGGGTATCCAATGGGGTTTCTGGCCCTGAGCCTTACGGACGGCTCCTGCGACACTGGATCTTGCTTATTTTCACCTCTCACCATTTCTTGGCAGCCCGTTAGTGTTTAAGTCTGGCACCAGGCACTCGCCGCCAGACAGACGAGGTTTGCTGAACATCTATTCGCCTTGTCAGCCTCAGCCGCGGCGACTATTGCCACGATGCAGCTTGGCAGCTGAAATGCTTCTATTCTGGGTATTCCCATCAAGACATGCCGGCAGGCGAGAGTTCCCCTGCTCTCGCTAATGACGATGCAAGTGATCAAGTTTCTGTCCTTAGGTCCTTCCACCTCTTTAATTAAAGTGACTTCCTATGTATTTAAGCCGCTGGCCGTCGTCCTTGTTGTCAATCCCCAAGCCTACCAGCTCGACCCAAGATTTCATCTCAAATCCCAACAGCTTCCTTTGCCGTCAAGTCCACTTTTCGAAAGAAACCACCATGCTCTTCACCAAGTTCGCCCTCGCCTTCGCCGCCCTGGTGGCCGCCAATCCCGGCGAGCCCGAGGAGCACCAGCACGTGGCCCGGGCCCCGTACCTGGGCATCCTCTACAGCCAACCCAACTACCGCGGAGCCAGGCAGACCATCAGCGACCGGGAATCAGGCCGATGCATCAACCTCCACGGCTCTCTGTAAGCCGCCCCTCGATTAGGGCATCCTTCCTCTTTCCGGTCTCGACGGCGCTGACAGTGTCAAAACCAGCCGCGAGGACGTCCAGTCGATCAACATTGACCGCCGCGAGCGCGACTCTTGCACTCTGTACGAGTATGTTCCCCACTCCCCTCTGAAGACGCATCTGCGCCGCCAAAGTTCGTCTGGATGCTAACTCAGGCTTCGCAGTCGTCGTGGCTGCCAAGGCTCGTCTCGGAGGTACACTTCCGACAACCGCAACATCGCCCGCCGCCGAGTCAGCTCCGTCCGCTGCCGCCGCGGCCACTAAACGCCTACGCAAGCTCAGCAGCTTCGGGGCCGGCGTCGCCACTGATGGGGAAACACGCTGGGCTTGGGCATGGCGACATGTAGTCGTTACCCGTCGTGCAGGACTGATGGAACTCGGATGCATGTTCTGAGATGGATCTCGCTCCTTGAATATATAATATAGTCAATATTCCATCCACCACAGGCATTCCCTTTCGATAAAGCCAAATCTGCATTGAGTCCATCAGGTGGGTTTCTTTCGACTGGATTCGGAAAATCGGCTTACTGCCATCTTTTTGCAAGGAGCACAATCACGACGAAACAGAGTGAAGAACGGGCAAGACACAACTTGCCTATTTAGACAAAACTCGCGTCATTGATCTCGTCGCTCGCTAGCTTGCTGAAATCAAGCTCCAACAGGTTTCCGATACACCTGGAAATGAACTCTGTTGTAGGCATGCACGTTGCTTCTCCTGCGAATCCTTGGATGCGAGTCGAGCATCCACTCCAAAAATGTCATGATAATTTCCTTGGTCGATTCTGCAAGATCAAGCGGATTGACTGACAGGCGTACACAGATCTCTGCGAGCCTCAATGGCTTCGCCCTGCCCGATTTGACTGCCATATTGCTATTCGCTGTAACCTTCCTATTCGGGCATCATCTAGAACCCTGGGTTGTGACACCTCCCCCGCATATCAGACGAGTACTCGTACAATAGTTTACTAGCCAAGTGCGTACTTTTCCCGGTCAGTGACACTTTTGCTAGTGTACTCCGTAGTGTTGATTCAAACACCCCCGTTATTCAAAACAAGTCACAAGACCACGCGTGCACTAAAACGTGCCAAGACAATATCTAGCTGGCCATGGCACTCAATCACAGTTTCCCGTGCAAGACATAGGCTGATTGCACGCCTCCCCTAGCCTTGGACCCGGTCTGGGCCAAGGTCCCAGACCATCGACGAGTCTTGGCGTCAAGATCTTGTCCTTCCCAATCAGTTCCTCTCACTCTGTGGCGTGGCTGTTCCTCCATAGCCATGTCCAGTCCCAACCTGCGCCTCCTGATGATGGGGTCTCCTCGCCAGGTAGACGAAACGTTTTCAGTTGGTTTTCAGCAGGTACACTATCTGCACTTTGTGGCCCGTTATTCGGCATGGCTGCGAGGACCAACCTGTCATGACAAGTTCCTTTGTTTAGCTCCTTGGTGTTGGCTCTACTTGTGTGCTTGTCTCCTTGACTTCGACAATCCAGCAACATCGAAGGGCCTTTTCTTCTTCATATGAATGCTGTTGCTCCTCGAAAGACCGTAGTCGCCACCGACCTAGCCGCCAGGTTACATTCCAGTGGCATGCTCTCTCGGCGCCTGGACCATCCGCTTGGCCGTCGAGGCGCGTTAGTCTGCCCACAACTCTCGCCTTGGCAGCATGGCCTCGTGTGTGTACTAAGAAGCATCTTTGTCCATCGCCGATTGTCCATTGGAGAAGAGTGTCCATTCAGCCAGTCCACTCGAAGCCACCCCGGCCGCCCTCAAAGTTCCCGTCGTTGCATGAGGGAGCATGGCCGCTCGCCACCTTCCGAAAGCCGCCCACCCGACGTCTGGGACAAGGATTGCCAAGTTGAGAAGCTGGTCATGGTTCGTGTTGGTTGCACAGTATCGTAGCTCACATGTAAAAGGCGACGCATCGCTGCCTTTGTCTTACCCACGTTATTCTGTCAGGGCGCCATCAGAGCCTTCGAGTCTGCTCCTCACACAGCTTCGACACTGCACGACATGGAAGCAGCCATGTCAAATGACCCCAGGTCTGGCGGAGACGCCCAGTCCCAAGACGAGGGCGTCTTCAAAAGGGGTCACGATGAAACTGTCGTGGAGAAGGTTGTCAGTGTTGACCTCCAAGCGTATTGATGACTTCACTTACAGAAGCATAGTATGGACAAGATATTGAAACGGAACACGCCCACGCCCTCGAGTCGTATGTAGTTTCTTGACGCTGTGACTGCCAAAGACTAACTCAAGTCGATAGACACCTCAATGCCACCGAGGATGATGTCCTCGAAGCCAAAGAGCTGGCTGCCTCCATGAGCCTCGAGAGTGTCCGCGCGGTAAGCGCCCTCATCTCAACACGTCCATTCCAATATCATTAACATGAAAGTCAGTTGATGACCAACGTACTGGCAATTCACGATGGTGATCCCAACTTTCCTTACCTGACAATCCAAAACATTAAAGAGTTTCTTGGTAAGACAGCATAGTCGATCGATCTACTTGATATCCTCCTAATCTCGACCAGCCAACGACGATATCATGGCACACCCCGAAAAGCACGAGCAGCTTGTCGAGGAAATGAAGCTCGAGGCGGCCATCATTACGCACAACAGCCCCTATGCCGAGGTCCGCGCCGTCGTCGACAACCACGACGACCCTAGCATGCCCGTGTCGACGATTCGTGCCTGGACCCTGGGCTGCATGTTCAGCGTATTCTTGTCCTTTGTCAACCAGCTTTTCTCCATCCGCCAGCCGGCCATCAAGTTTGACACAAACATTGCCCAGCTTCTCGCCTTTCCTCGGCAAGGCCTGGGAGCGCTGGATGCCCCGGTACGAGTTTGCCCTTCCGTTTACGGGCACCAAGATCAACATAAACCCGGGCCCCTTCAACAAAAAGGAACACATGCTCATTGCAATCATGGCCAACACGTCCAGGAGCCTGCCGTATACAAACTACATCATCTGGACCCAGGTGCTGCCGCAGTATTTCAACCAGCAGTACGCGCGCAACTTTGGCTACATGTTCACCAATGCCTTTGCGACCAACTTCCTGGGCTACGGTCTTGCTGGCTTGACAAGAAAGTTTCTCGTCTACCCGTCATACTGCGTGTGGCCCATGTCCCTCGTCACCATTGCCCTCAACACGGCGCTGCACAAGGAATCCAACCAGCCCGTTCTGGGCCCTTTTAACAAGACATGGTCCATGTCGCGCTATCGCTTTTTCCTCGTTACCTTTGCGGCCATGTTTGTCTACTTCTGGTTCCCCAATTACATCTTCCAGGCCTTGTCGTACTTTACTTGGATGACTTGGATCGCGCCGGACAATATCAAACTGAATATCCTGACTGGCATGCAAAACGGACTTGGAGTAAGGATTTCTTCTTGGACAGCGGCCCGCTGAAAATGCTGACGCTGGTAGTTGTTCAACCCCATCCCGACCTTGGACTGGAACGTCATCTGCTTCAACACCGACCCTCTGGTAAGTCAATTCAAGAAATCAAGTCGATACGCATTCATTCTGACGCAGAATCAGATGGTACCGTCATTCACGACCTTCAACGCCGTGGCCGGCATGTTCATCACCGGCCTCTTTGTCCTGGCCGTGTGGTTTACAAATGTCTGGAACACGGGTTACCTGCCCATCAACACCAACCGTGTGTACGACCACTTTGGCAAAATGTACAACGTCTCGCGCGCCCTCGACGAGCACGGCATGTTTGACCTAAAAAAGTACACGAACTACTCGGCCCCCTACATGGGCGCCGCCAACGCGCTTCTCTACGGCTGGTTCTTTGCCATTTACACGGCCATCCTGACGCACGTCATCCTGCACCAGCGGTACGAGATCAAAATGGGCTTCCGAACCTCTTCCGCGGCCTTCGCTTCCGCAAGAAGAAGGCGACGACCGAGACGGCCAACGAGCAGAGATCCGAGGGGGCGTATTCGGATGTGCACAACCGCTTGATGGCGGCGTATCCCGAAGGTACTGTTGCCCGCGACTGCTCACCCTTGCACAATTGCTCAAGCTTGTTCAGTTTCCGAGTGGTGGTACTTTGGCATCTTGGTCATCTCGGTCGTCTTTGGCGTCCTCGGCATCGCCCTGTGGCCTACGTACACCTCGCCAGCCGTGGTCCTGTACGGCATCGCCCTGTGCCTCATCTTTGTCATCCCCATTGGCGTGACGGTCAGCATGACGGGCATCGAGATTACCCTCAACGTCCTGGCCGAGTTTATCGGCGGCGTGATTGTGGAGGGGAATGCGCTGGCCATGAACTTTTTCAAGTCGTATGGGTGCGTCTCCCATCGCTGCAAACGATGAGCTGAAAATCTGACGTTGGGCCCCAGCTACGTGACCTGTGCCCACGCCATTTCCTTTGCCAACGACTTGAAGCTTGCTCACTACGTCAAGGTAAGGCCGGAAGCCATGGTGCCGGAAGCCGTGGTGCTGGAAGCCATGCCGAGGAACTGATGATTGGCAGATCCCTCCCCGTGTCACCTTTGTCGGACAAATGCTTGCCACGCTCATTTCGACTCTCATCTGTACGGGAGTCATGAAATTCCAGGTACGTTGCCACCCAAACAAGCCGCCGGTCACGGGCACTCAGATTTGCGCAGATGGACATCAAGAACGTCTGCACAACGGCTGCGCCCATGAGGTTCCTGTGTCCCGGCCCCAACACATTCATGACGGCCTCTGTCCTCTGGGGAACCATTGGCCCCGTCAAGGTATTTGGCATCAACGGGCAGTACAAGTGGCTGCTGATGGGGTTCCCGGTTGGCATCGTCCTCGTCACGGCCGTATGGGGGCTCAAGAAGATGTGGCCCAACTCGCGGGCGCTGCGGCAGATCCATGTCGTGGCCGCCATTGCCGGGTCGCTGCAGTGGGCGCCCTACAGCTTCTCGTACGCGTGGCCGGCCGTGCCCGTCGCGTGGTTCTCGTGGATCTACATCCGCGGGCGGTACCTGGCGCTGTGGTCCAAGTACAACTTCGTGCTGTCGGCGTCGTTTTCGGCGGGCGTAGCCATCTCGGCCATCATCATGCTCTTCTCGGTCCAGTGGGCCGGCATCAAGATCGAGTGGTGGGGGAACACGCAGCCGTTTCAGGGCTGCGAGGAGACGGCCTGCACCGTCTATGCTCTGGCCGAGGGCGAGCGCTTCTTTCCCTGGTGGGACCGCACCAAGACTCCTGCCCCGTAGATGCCACGCAGCAACCATGTTGGACTTTGATGCCCCAGGCAAATAAATGCATGATAAATTACCGCATCCCAACGTTACCATTCGTCACCCCCCTTTGGGTAACACCCATTTGAACTACATGCCCCACCCCCCTTTCGGTAACACCCACCTTTCGGTAGCGCATTTGAAAAATTCTCCACCAAAAGTCTACCATTTGAACTACATGAAATATGATCAGAACTTAACATTATAAACACAAAAAAATATCATTCCGTAGAGAAATGGACGCTCTTATATGTACCGGCGCTTTTTTACCATTCGCCCGGATCTGGTGGTGACTGGAAGGGCTTCGGGTGCCACCTTGACTTCGATCATTGAAGCTGTCTCCACCTCTGAGACCGCCTCCTCCTCTGTGTCAGAATTCAGCACAACGGCTATCTCTTGGCTTTTAATTTGGGGAATGGCTTCCTCAGCCACCAAAGCTGCACTGAGAGTCATGAACCGTCTGTTCGGGTTCGGAATTGCTCTCCTCTTCTTGCCTCTCTGCAGCCGGGCCACTTCTTCCTCTAGCTTCGCGATTCTGTTGCTGTGCTCGGCAAGCGTCTGTTCTTGGGCTTCAAAGCCTCTAGCTATCACGGCGTATCGTCTCCGGGTGCCAGGAGTCTTGTTCTTTCCGAAATCGCGAATCTGGCGGCTGTTTCTTGGCGTATCATCAGAACCCAAAAATGGCGCGGACTTTGGAGACGTCTCTACAATGTCCGCGTGAATTTCTGGATGCCGCAATGCCTTGGATCGTGAGATCGGCCAATTCCCAGTGACCCTCCAGCCGGACAATATATTCTTTGCCGTCATTCCAACCTCGCGCGCTTTAGCATATGCCCGTATAAAATTGACCTTATGAACAGGCGCAGAATCGGTCAAGCAGGTCAATTTCTGAAGTTCTTTCCGGTAAGCTGCCCTGGAGGCATTGAATACACCGTTATCTAACGGCTGGAGGCCATGAGAGCAGTGGGCAGGAAGGTAACAGCAATAAACGTTGTTCAAAAAGCATGTGGCCATCCATGCATCCTGGTCCCGGTTAACAGTAATTCCTACAGAGGTGGATAAAGAAACGCACCGTTGCATGACTTCCATGTCCATCTAATATGATCAGTCTAGCATCTGAGGCATCGGCTGGTCGCGTCTGGGGCAAATAGACCCTCTCAAGCCACTCAATAGCGATATGGTTGTCCGTCCATCCGTTGGGCGACGTTATGTAATGCCAGTCGGCTATTTTGCCGAATTCCGTCAAGAACCACTGTTTCTGAAGTTCTTTGCCCTTAAAGATAATGCCAGGGTAAGGACACGGCCGTCCGCGGTGATAGCTTCAATAAATGAGGTCCAGTTGCGGGACTGTGGCCCTTTCAGAAGGGCCTTCCGTTTTGGGTCTGCACTCCCAACCACAAGACTATCCAAACCTGGCAAAAGAGTCTGGTTAGTAAAAGTAATGAAAGACAAGCCAAATACTCACCAAAGCCAGACATAATACCGCCTTCGTCAACATTCACGGTATTTTCTGGTTTAATCCATCCATACTCCTTTTCCCTGATATCGAAGAACCAGTGAACCGCCCGAGGCGTAAAAGCATTAAATCGATTAGCTTCCTGACGTCTCCCACGCTTGTTCTTGATGTCCGGATGGCGATTGATGAATTTAGAGACCCAGTTGCGCCCCACTGTCCGCTCGTTGTTCAGTTGCTTCATAACAGCCTCCACACATGCGCGGATCTGACTGTGGGAGGGAGCATAGCCGAGAGACTCTTGGCGGAGGATCCAAGAAACCAAGCGAGCTTCCTGAGACTTACTCAAGAGTTGACGAGGCTGGATCTGATCAGCCAGGGCTACCTGGCCTTTGAGTCTGTCGGAAATAGACTGCTGAGGTATGTCATACTTTTGGGCGGCGCGGTACTGCGACAAGCCGTTTTTTGTGACATCAGTTATCGCATTAGCCATAATATCCTCCGTATAAATACTCCGAGGCCGCTTTAAGGTCATTTTGGTCATGTGGTGGAGGAATAACGAGAAGAATCATCGTCAGGAGGCGGAAGGAGATTAGGGGGTTGGATGGTAATTTCGCGTGCAAGGTACGCACAGGCCACAGATCCCTGTACAAACATTCAACCATCGAAAAGTAGAATTCAATCAATCCTCTATCTACTCCAAGTGACGGCTTGTGAATATCTTCAAAGCTGGTTGGAATCGGTGTAAGTGAAATTGATGGTTTTTGGTGGGGATATTTTCTAATGCGCTACCGAAAGGTGGGTGTTACCGAAAGGGGGGTGGGGCATGGTATCGTTCATATTGACGGCGAGGACTATGTTGAGTATCGTGTTCTGACCAAGCCATTCTGACGGTGTGGCTAACAGACAGACCGACCGGCCGGAGCAGTCGGTCGGTTTGGGTGGTCTGAGATTATCTGACTGGACTGGTGTTCCTGTGATGCCATTGGTCCGTTCCACTCCTCGTCGAGGTGCCGTAGCGCGCTGGCTAGGTCCTCGGCCTGCAGCTCCCTCCGTCTTGGCATCTTTTCACCCACCCTGGCGCGTTTCCGCCCGGCCTGCCCACTACCAAGATGGCGTTTCCTCTTCTGCTCTTCTCTCGCCTGCCGTCTTATCACCGCTCTGCCTGCGTCCTGTTAGCTATCGCCGCCATGGACCTTCACCTCGCTCTACGGCCGTACCTGCCGATGCGCTATCTCTGCCGCTAACAGGCGGCCCGGCTGCGGCGGGAGTTGTGGTAGAAGCCTCGGCCCTGCTGGCCGGCCGGGACTGGATGGCTCGCGGCGAGTGCTGGCTTCCGGCCGAGACTACGGCCGGGCTAGTCCCGCTCGACGGCGGCGAAGGGCCGGCAGCCCTCCATGTCGGCTGGGGCCGGATATCCTGCGGAGACATCCGGTTTCCGGCCAAGGCTGAACCTAAACCTATCCTGCTCGACGGCGGTGAAGGGCCGGCGGCCTTCCATGTCGGCTGTGGCCGAATGTTCCGCGGAACGTCCGAACTTCTCGTCGCCGGCGGCGAAGACCCGGCGGCCCTCCATATCGGTTGGGACCGGATATCCTGCGGAGCCCCCGGGCTTCCGGCCAAGGCTGAAACAAGCGGCCCGGCTGCAGCGGGAGTTGTGGCAGAAGCCTCGGCCCTACTGGCCGGCCGGGACTGGATGGCTCGGGGCGACGGGCCTCAAATGGCTTCGGGCAACCTGTCAATTTCAAGCCGCTCGTCACGTCGACCGTTAACAGCACCACTGATGATTCGTGCCATCGTGGCGTGGTGGGAATAACTTCACGCGACTACGCTTCTGCTTGCTATGTCTCAGATGCCTGCGGCCAACGGCACCAACCAGTACAGGTATAAATTTCCGACCACGGTCACTCATTAGATAGAAGGAATCAAGCATTCTTTTGCCTACGGTTTTCCTCCCAAGTGTGTGACACCATTGCTACCATATTGATCGTGGCCAACGCGCGTTGTCCAACGGATCTGTCAGAGGGAGCAGACTGACAGTCAAATCCACGCACATGTAAACCCTAGTGAAAGAGGCAGGTCAGACACAGGGACTTGAGTCAGGTATCGATACAGTAGAGGAACATTGCCCTAACAGACCAGGTGGACGAGCTGCTCAGTACCTTCTTTCCACCCTTGCCTGCGAGAATCGAGGATGAGGGGGTGCGACCACAGCGGAAAGCGGTACCCATGCCCGAGTTGACTTTGGGAGAGGTCGAGGAAAAGGTCATGACAGCGAAACCGTGGAAAGCACCCGGAGGAGATGAACTTCCGACAGCGGTATGGAGGCAACTTTGGCCGGTGGCAAAGGATCGGATATTTGCTCTCTTCGATGCATCTCTCCGAGACGGCGTGGTACCTCGCCAATGGAAAAACGCGAAAATTGTCCCACTGAAGAAGCCAGACAAAGACGAGTTCGTACGAGGTGAAATGCCAGTCAAATAAGCTATCTCAGCCGACGATTTGCCGCTGCAAGGCGCCTTTCACGTCATAATTAATGCCCGGGTTGCAATATCGGTCTTCATTTTGGTAAAATAGAATCGATTGAGGACGATTGAGGTCAATTTCATGTACGGGTTCTTCCTTTTCTTTTGCGTACAGGGTTCTTTTAGCGTCAGCAAGAACTTTTGAAATGTTCCTCCGTAGTGAAGATGTGTTTTCCATGCGAATTAGAGCACTATATTTGTCGCGAAGACCATTGCGCCACGCAGGCAAAAGTGGAACGCGCTCCGACAGGTGCGCTGCAATTAACACATATATCTGACAACCGCGTTTTTCCGACAATATTAGCCTAATGTGCGTGCCTAGATGTATGCCATGCGTGGTCTGCAGTGACTTAGGGAGGTCATCCTGGTACCCAGGGATACATATACAAATTAGGTGGCGGGGCCTGGCGTTGGACCGACGCTAAGGGGAAAGGTGCGAATAGGTTTTTGGTTTGTGCGAATAGCAGCACTCCAGAGAAAACCCAGGAAAGGGGCGGGAGCTCCTGATGTCGAGAAGAAGGTCCGAACGAGTTGAGGTCTCTAGGTCTCTCTAGGTAATACAGCTTGAAACCAGGTAAGAAGGGAAGTCTGCAAACTGTTGTTTCTTCTTCCTAGACCACTGAGGGGTCCGGAGGATCTCCTATTCGAACGGGGACCCTTTGAGGAGTCCGGCATAACTATTACTGGCTCGGGGACCTCGAGAGACTGAACTATCGATCTCATAGCTAGAAGAGCTATTCGATCGGGGAGATGGAGCTGACGTTGCTGACGTAGATGACTTACGTGGTGCCTTGAGGAACGAGGAACGAGTGACGAAAGGTTCTTAGGGTTCCTCCCCGGGGAGAAACAAAATTCGCCATGCCTTGCCTTGAGGAACGAGGAACGAGTGCCTTGCCTTGAGGAACGAGGAACGAGTGACGAAAGGTTCTTAGGGTTCCTCCCCGGGGAGAAACAAAATTCGCCATGCCTTGAGGAACGTTAGTGACGAAAAGGTTCTTCTGGTTCCTCCCCGGGGAGAAAGAAAAAAAAACACCGCCATCAATGCCTTGAGGAACGAGGAACGAGTGACGAAAGGTTCTTAGGGTGCCTTGAGGAACGAAAGGCCTCTTCTTATCGCGCGACCACCCAACCCTATTTTTTTCCCCCCAAAACTCCCGTCCTCTGATTGGTCGGGTTCCTCCCTTTTGATTGGTCGGAAAGGAAATTATCATGGTTTGAAAGCTTCCCCGCAACCTCGACTGCTTACCGCTCCTTCCTCCGGCCTCCTTTTTTTCTGATGGAACGGCCCTGTTTCGTCCGCCCTCTCGGCCGCCTATCACTCCTAGCCGGGCCCTTTGCCTTTCTTTTGGGGTGTCTTGGAAGAAGACGTATAGAACTTGCCCCCGCCGAGGTTTTGTGAGAACGGTGGTTCTGCGGCTCGGGCCTAATGAGGAAATAGTTGGGCGTTCTATCTATTTATCCCCCCCCAGTCTCGTCTTGTCCCTCCCCGCGGCCCCGGGAGGTCATCGCCGAGCCAGCGTAGCGCCTCCCCGACGGTCCTCTCACTGAGCCTCTCTAGCCGTGCCTGCGCCGCCGTCATCTCCTCGGGCACCCTGTTCCCTACCAGGTCCCTCTCCGCACCTCCGACACGAGCATGATGCCGTCGAGCGTCGGGCACCGCGATAGCTGCACGTATAGGCTATACGGGTCGCACGGCGACGGTACCGCGCGCCCGTCGACGGTCGTCGTCCTCGCCCCCCGGAGCTCCAGCGCCACGCGCTCCAGCGTCCCGCCCTGCACCTTGTAGTCGGTGCAGGCGAAGGCCGCGGCGCACGGCAGGCCCCTCCGGCTAACGTCGTTCCGCTGCCACGGCCGCTTCCGCTGGGCCTGGATCTTGACGCTGATGGGCGTCAGCAGGATCGTCCCGGACGGCATCCCCACGAAGTGGAAATCCTTGGTCGTCTCCGAGGCCAGCACCATGCCGACCGGCGGCCCGAAGTGCATTGTCAGCTCCGCCGAGACCCGGTGGCCGGGGAAGGCCCGGTCGGGTATGACGTCGACCGCCGTGTACCCGGCCCCGTTCACTAGCTTCAGCCCCTGGTGCGTGTTCTGGTTCACGACGACCGGCATGCCGGGCACGAAGAGGAAGACGGCCGGCACCGGAGTCGCGCTGTCGTCGCCCTGGCCTAGCATCAGCACCGCCTCCTCCTCCGTCGGCGTGCCGTCCCTCCACTTATGCTCGGAGACGAAGATGCGCGCCGCCGTCCGTTGCCGGGCCCGGAACGCGAGGGCCGCCTCTAGGTTGAGGTTCCAGCGATTCCTGTTAAGCGGCGTCACCACCGTCACCCCAGTCTCCCACGGTATCCGCCTGCCCGCCCGGTAGCACCTCGAGTTGAGGAGGTCTAGGTCCGACCGGTCCTGCTCCCCCCGCCGGATCCGCCCGAGCAGCCGCCGTAGCTCCGGTCGCCGGCGGCGCGCATCTGCTCGTCGAGCATGACGACCGTCGTAAACTTCCTCCATAGCGCGTGCGCCTTATCGTGCTGCCGCCGCCGCTCGGCCGCGAACGCGCCGTCCGCGTCCCACGGCACCGCCGCGCTCGGCAGCAGGATCGACCGCTCCTGCACCGGCCGGAACTGATGGAAGTCGCCGCAGAGGATCACTACCGGGATGCCGCCGAAGTCCCGCGGCGAGCCCCGCAGCCGGCAGAGCTGCTCGTTCGCCGCGTGCAGCGTGCGCGCCCGAGCATGCTGACCTCGTCGATCACCAGCACCTCCTTCTCCTGCCAGTCCATCCGCGACCGGCCGTCGACGAAGCGTTCGCCCTGTCCCGGCAGCCGCACCCCGTCTACCTCCCTCGCCGACCCCCCCGCCTGGCCGCCCTGGCCGACCAAGAGGCCGCAGGCCGAGTGCAGGGTGATGCCGTTGATCCGCGCCGCCGCCGTCCCCGATGTCGCCGTGATTAGTAGCTGGCTCGATAGGTCCTCTGGGCGAACAGCTCGACGAGCGCCTCAATGACGCGCGACTTGCCGGTACCGCCCTCGCCGCCGACGAATAGACAGAGCTGGCCGGCGTCGCCGCTGTCGCCGGCGTCGCCGCCCTGCCGGGCCTGATCGAGCTGGCGGCATATGATGAGGAGGGCGATCGACTGCTTCTCGTTAAGCGTTAGCCGGCCCGCTAGCTCCGCCGGCGGCGACAAACGAGCTCGACGGGCCGAGCCGCACACGCATCCCCGCGTCGGCGTCCGCTGCCGTCACCTCGACGTCGTCCTCGCCGAAGCCGCCCATCACCCCGCGTAGCGCCGCACTCGGTCGGCCCCGGGCGCCGACGCCGCCGCGCCGCCCTGGATTCCTTGGATCGCCCGCTCCGCTCCGCGCGGCGCTCCTCTGCTGCGACTTGATGGCTCTTACCTGCTCTTGCCGCGGCAGCGCCGCCCCGGAGAGGGTCGACCCCGCGAGGATTACCCGCCTCGGCCCCGCCTCGCCCGCCACCACCGTCGCATCGAGCTCGGCCGCCGACGAGAGCGCCGACTGCTGAAACCGGCAGAGCTGCTGCGTCATCGCCAGCAGCTCCGCCGACCGCGCCGTTACCTGGCCCGCGCCGGCGGCGTTCCGGAAAACGTCGATGAGCCGCGCCGCGTCGCCTGCGCCGCCGGCGCGGTACACCTGCCCGCCCCCCTCGGCCGCCTCCTCCGCGCCCTCGTTGGCGCGTGCCGCCGCCGCCGGCTCGCCCTCCTCGGTCGTAGCGGCCCATTGCCTGGCGTCGCGCTTGGCGTCCTCCGCCGACCGCCGGAGCAGCTGTACGTTGTCCGCGAGCCGCGCGATCCTCGGCGCCAGCGCCGCCCGCTCCCGCGCCCAGATATCGTTGATGTCGCCCGTCTCCTCGCAGACGAATGCCTCCCACGGCACGAACAGCGCTAGATGCTGCACCGCCGCCCTTTGCACCGTTAGCCGGGCCACGGGCCGCGTCGCCGTCCGACGGTACGCCCTCGGCTTTGCTATACGTACCTCCGATGACATGACTCCTCGTCTTCCTCGCCGAACTCCTTACTGAGGTACCCGTCTAGGCGTACGCTCGCCCCTTACCCGGCCGTCTGAGCACTTGCGCCCAGTCCTTCCCGGAGCCCAGCTCTCGTTAAAGGGTATCTCGCCCCAGGCCGCGCAGCCCTCGGCGCCTCCGCCATTCCGTTTCAGCCTTACGAGCGACGCGTAGTCGTAGAGACAGAGGCCCTGTAGGAGCCCGCCTCTATGCCGGTAGGCCTCGATGAAGGAGATCCTCGGCCCCGCCTCCTCGACGACGACCGTCTCGTCCGGCGCGTCGCTCGCCGTCGCCTCTACCCCGCTCGCCAGTCGGAGGTGCCGCCACTGGCGGAAGACGGCCCAGTAGAGCTGGTTCGTGTTCACGTACGCCCACGCCGCGCCGCTGCAAAACTCCGCGGATACCCCAGGAGGTCGGCGATCACCTCGACCTGGGATAGCGGGCGCTCCGTGAAGATTCGGTTCGCCGCCTTTAGTAGGAATACCCTCGTCTTGTTCCCCCTTATAGGGTCCGCCGCGGCCTCCTCTCCGGCTCCGTTCCCCCCGCTATCGTTGCGGTCGGCGCTGGGGATACTGCTCTCTGCTGTCGGCTCTAAGGTCGGGAGTAACTCGGCCGCGGCGGCCACCCGCTTCCACGTAGGGTCCTCTACCTTAGTCGCATAGTTGGTGATGTAGTAGATCAGGGCCATGGTCTTGCGCTGCGTCGCGATGAACGAGATGTCGTGGTTGTGCCGCAGCCCTACCGCCATCGCCTTGTTCCACCGGTTCACCATGCTATGTGTCCGCCGGATCTCCAGCACGCCGTCCGCCGTGAGCGCCGTCCTCTCTACTAGCCTCCAGGGCGCCTTAAAACGGCAGAGGTCGCCCTTACGACCGGCCCCCGCGAGCGAGTACTTGACGCAGGTCGCGCTATGCGTATGGACCTGCGTCGCGCCGGCGCAGAAGTTGGCCTCCTCGTCGAACGCGTCCGTAAAGCGCTCGACGTCGTCAAGCCACGACGACATGTGCGCCGTGATCGACCGCTCCGCCTGCACAGCGTGGTGCCCTTCTGCGTCTAGCTCCTACGGCCTAGGGTTAGTTTCGGCCCCTTTATTCTGCGTTCGACGGAGCCGGGAGGCTACGCCTCTAGACGTCGTCCGCCTTACCTCGGAGAAGACGCTGTCTACGTAGCGGATTATTCGCTCCCGGTACGCTGCCTGCTCCTCGCCGCCGGCGCCGGCCAGCGCCTCGCCGAGGCGCGCATTGCCCTTTAGCCAGAGAAGCCCGTGGAGGTGGAGAGCACCTCGTTCGTTCGTCTCTACCGCCCCGTAGTACGCCCCGACGTGCCCGAACACCGACTCGTCCCCGACGTCGACGTAATGCTCGAAGAAGAGCTTTATCTCCCGGTGAAAGAAGACGGCCGCGCTCATCGGGTCCGCTATCGCCAGCCGCACCCGCTTATACGCAGTCCCTAGCTCTCTTAGGAAGGCCTCGGCCGCTTCGGGTCGCGGGCGCGGTACGCCGCCAGCCGTAGCTTTACCGGGTTCGTAATATCGTTCGGGTTTAGCGTGAACCAAATGGCCGGCACCCCGTATCTGACGATGAGAGATAGTATCTTCTTCCGCATACTTAGGCGGCTCTCCCTCGACATCGGCTGCCGGTGGCCAAACACCGATAGGGACCGGAGGAGCTCCTTTACCCCGTCGTCGCCGGTCTTGCCCGTGGCCTCGAGCTCGACCCTCGCCGCCTCGAGCCTCTGCGTCGTTAACGACTTTAGTAGACCCTCGACCTTTGCGAAGTTCTTCCTCGTTACGCCTAGCATACTGGCCTGGCGGTTCCTAGACCGCACCCCATATTAAACACTAGGAAGGCGAAGATGGGATGCGTCGCGAACCGGCCGCCGTGGCGCCGTAGCACGACGTCGGCCCATGCTTGAGGTTCATGTTCCGGGTCGACGTGAGGCCCTCCGCGACCCGCTCCGCCTCGGCAGCCCGGCCCCGCCACCCGGTAGTCTCGCTTCCACGGGTAGCGGCCTCGTCGGCGAGCCTCGGCCCCCCCACGCCAAAGGGAAATAGCGTCGGGAAGGTCTTGGCGAAGAAGGAGGCGTCCGCCGAGTCGGCGAACTCGTTGCCGCGCCGTACCTGGATATAGGGCTCGTACTTGTCGCCATCGCCGCCGCGCGCCGCCCCTCCGGCCGCCGTCCCCACCCACGTCCTAGGCCTGCGCGGGCGCGCGCTCCGTCGGCCCGACGGCGTCGCGGGCGAAGCGAATCTTCTCGGCGTCCGCCACCCCTGGCGGCCCGTCGAGCGGGAACATGCCGGACGACGTCACCTCGTCGATTACTTCCCCGCCCTCTTCGGGCCTAGCGCCGTCCTCTTCGTCGTCGCACGTGGGCCTGACGTCGCGACTCCTCCGCGGGATCCCGCCCTGGCTTAACATGACGAGGATCTCCTCGATCTCGACCGCGCCCTCGTCGTCCATGGCCCGCTCCGTCGGCGGCACCACCTGCGCGGTCCGCGTCCTCTCCCGCGCTGACGGCTCGTTTCGCTCCAGGCGCTCGCATACCACCGACGGCACCCCGTGCGGCGGAGCCCCAGCTCTCCATCTCCGCCACGTCGATCTCGACCTCGCCGTAGAGCGGGTTGTTCTCCTGCCAGACGAGCGCCCTCTCGACCGCCCGCCGCCTTACCGACAGGAGGCCCGACAGGTCGCGTGGCCCCGGCTTCTCGGCCCCTGCCACGAGACATGGATCTCGTCCATAACCCGGACTAGCGGGTGCGGGAGCACCTTGGTCACCAGCCCCTGCACGTCATTCGGGAATACCGTGATATGGCCCTTGACGTGCCTCGGATACCTCACGCTCTGCCTCTGCCCGCCGGGGATGCTATACCTCGTCACGAAGCCGTAGCACGAGTTGAGCGAGATCAGCTTCTCCTCGACCGGCGTGAGGCCCTTGAGCTCGTCGGGGTACGCGTGCTCGCAGCCGAGCCGGCCGTGGAGGTGCATGCCAGGCGAAGCCCTCTCACGCCCGAGGCACCGCGCGCACTCTGCGCATACCGGCACCGCCCGGCCCTCGGGGAAGCAGCTTCGGCACGCGAATAGAGACCGGCCGCCCTCCGTGACGGGGCTCCGCCATGGCCACCTCTCCACGCCATTTCTTAGCTCCTCTCTTGACCGCTTCCGGTAACATACCTTGCAGGTCAAGACCGGTAGCGTGCCGGCGTCGTGGAACGCCCGGTAGAACCTCTGCACCGTTCGCACCTGCCTCGCGCGCGGCACCGGCATGCACCACGTCTGCTCGTCTGCGAGCCTCTCGCCCGCCACGAACTCCTCCTCGAGGTGCTGCAGTACGCTGGCTAGGTCCTCGGCCTGCAGCTCCCTCCGTCTTGGGGTTTTCTGGCCCACCCGGACCCGGAGCATTTCCCTTCGGCCTGCCCGCCGGGGGTGCGGCCCTTCCTCTTCCGCTCTCCCCCGGGCTGCCGATTCATTGTCCTGCCTGCGCCCCGTTAGCCGTCTTCATGCGCCTTGGCCTCGCTCTGCGACCGTACCGGCTTGTTGGCTGTCCGTGCTTCCGACGCTCGGTCCCGCCTCGGTGGGGGGCGCCGCGTGGACTCCCGCCCTCAGAACCGGCCGAGCCCGGATGTGCCGCGGCGCCTGCTGGCCTCTAGGCGGGCCGCCCTCGCTCGGCGGCGGTGTGAGACCGGCTGCGATCGGTGTCGGCCGGGGCTGGATACGCCGCAACGCCTGCTGCCTTGCGTCGGCTTGGAGTCTCTGCTGCCTCGGTGGTCTTCCCCGCCTGCGCTTCGCGCCCTCGTCGACACTCGGCTGCGGCGTGGTGTGGCCGTTCCACCTATTCCCATGTCCGCTTCGCCCTGCCTAGGCTGGGCGATGTCGCCGCCGTTGGCAGTCGCACCTATCGGTCTCCAAGCGTCCCCGCCCGACCGTCCTCGACCGGCGTCTCCAAGGCGCCACGCGGTCCGTGGGCTTCCTGCGCCGGGCTCGCGCCCCCTGCTCCGCGCGGTCCCCTCCAGCAGCTGACTCCATCGCGATACTGGCTGCCACTACCTTTATAAACCTCTCATCTACCTCGTGCTGCTATGCCCTGACGTGGAGCCTCGTGAGTCGGACGTCGACGTATACGTCCTTTCCTGGGCTGCTCGTCTTGCGCTTATGTTGCTACTCGGCATGCAGCTTATGCGTAACGGACACTTTACATTTACAATGACCTATGTACTCTATATAGAGCTCCGTAGTACGTCTATAAGCATGCTGCTGCTCTTCACATTATACCGGCGCCGACTTTCCATTAAGCCTACCGGGAACTGCCTGCTGCTATCGCATGCAACGGCCTAGGCCGGTCTTTACATGTAAGTCGCTACGGCACCTTCCTCTTACTCGTGCTTTACATTCTACGCTCTCCTTGTTATCTGGAGCTATGTCGCTAAGCGCCTTGGTTCGAGGTTAGATGCTTGCATACTGGCTTTTAACCCCATGTCTTAAACGTGTCGCCAATGAAGCTGCCCTATTCTGTGACAATATGGCTTCCCGTATGTCGGTTGTCTTAAAAACCCTCTATCCCTAAGCAGACCGCCTTTTGCCCTTTTCCCTCGCTTCTCATAGCATTCTCTAGACAACGCTCTTTCCATGTTCTCCTAACCGCTAAAAATTTTCCCGTGTTTCCGTTAATATCTATGCTCGTGTTCTGTAAGGCGGCCCTGGCCCTTCACTTCCCGCCGGTTTCTTCCAACGATACAAAAATAGGAAGAGTTCCTGCTCCTATTCTGCCCCGCTTAAACGATTCAAAACGGCAGCGTCGCTCTTACGCTATACAACCTCGCCATGTCTTCGTCCCCGTCTTCGGCCGCCTCTCCGCCGCATCTGAAGAGGCCCCTAGTACTGGCAAGAGCGTCGACGGTGACATGTCTATGATGTTCTTCGCCCAGCCCGACTGCCCCTCGAGGTTCGCCCACTAAGACGAGCACCGCATCAAGAACCTTAACGCCGAAGGCTATCGCCCGTGTCTTCCTGCCCGTCCCCTCGTAGCTGCTCCCGGCCGAGTACGCGCCCCTCCGCTCGGAGCCGGATGCCGCCGACCCGGCTGTCTCTCTCTTCTTTAGCCTAGGTAAACCTCTCGATTTACGGCCAGCCGGTCGTCGACCCCGACCGGTCCGAGCATCGGTTCTTCGTTAACAGCCACGTCCACTCCCATGCCCTCCCCTGGGGGGTTCGAGTGCCGCGACGGTCTCCACGCCGGCCCGGGCGATACCGTCGTCTACAATTCCCACGCTCGTCGTCCGCGACTATGGCTACCATCCATGCCCCCCGCCCTGTATGTGTCTCCTCCCCTGCCGCGTCGCTGACTTCTCCTTGTGGCGTCCTCCCGCGCTCCTTGGCCTCCCGACGGCCACTTCCCCTCGGCCCCTCCCGTCGTCTCCTTCCACGGCGTCGTTGCCGGCGCCGGCCTCTCCCTCTTGCGACGGGACCTCCAGCCCGGTCTCGACGCCGTCCGTCTCCGCTGCCGGCCGGGTAGTCGACCGTGTCTTCGTTCCTCAAGGCTTTTGTGCGCAACCCAGGGGGTTGCCTTACCTCGTTGATTCGTCGGTTGTTCTTTTCTCGCTTTTCATTCGTCGATGTTCTCGCTTTTCATTCGTTAATAAATAAAAATAAATAATGCCCTGCCCCCTTGCTGCCCCTTTTAGTTCCAGCTGCGCAGTTCGCTTCCAACGCCTCCGTAGACCATACGCCGCCGCAGACCACATAGAGGAAGGTGCCCAAGCCGGCCCGGCTTCTAACTCCGCCATAGACCACACGCCTCCACAGACCACCCCCTTCGCCCGTCCTCCTGGCCCTTAACCTACACTCCTTTTACGTCAGAAGTGTGGAAAATGCAGGGCGCCTGCGTTACCTGCGGAGCCAGTCGGCCGCCTCCTGTGTTGTCTGCCTGCTAAGCTCCTCTAGCCGGGCCTGCGCTGCCGTCATCTCCTCAGGCACCCGGTTCCCCACTAGGTCCCGCTCCGCACCTCTGATACGAGCATGATGCCGTCGAGCGTCGGGCACCGCGACAGCTGCACGTATAGGCTATACGGGTCGCACGACGACGGCACCGCCCTCCCTCGACCGTCGTCATCCTCGCCCCCCGCAGCTCCAGCGCCACGCGCTCTAGCGTCCCGCCCTGCACCTTATAGTCGGTGCAGGCGAAGGCCGCGGCGCACGGCAGGCCCCTCCGGCTGACGTCGTTGCGCTGCCATGGCCGCTTCCGCTGCGCTGTGATCTTGACGCTGATGGGCGTTAGCAGGATCGTCCCGGCAGGCATCCCGACGAAGTGGAAGTCCTTGGTCGTCTCCGAGGCCAGCACGATGCCCGCCGGCGGCCCGAAGTGCATGATGAGCTCCGCCGAGACGCGGTGGCCGGGGAAGGCGCGGTCGGGGATGACGTCCACCGCCGTGTACCCGGCCCCGTTCACAAGCTTTAGCCCCTGGTGCGTGTTCTGGTTCACGACGACCGGCATGCCTGGCACGAAGAGGAAGACGGCCGGCACCGGCGTCGCGCTGTCGTCGCCCTGGCCTAGCATTAGCACCGCCTCCTCTTCCGTCGGCACGCCGTCCCTCCACTTATGCTCGGAGAGGAAGACGCGCGCCGCCGTCCGCCGCCTCTCCCGGAACGCGAGCGCCGCCTCTAGGTTGAGGTTCCAGCGGTTCCGGTTGAGCGGCGTCACCACCGTCAGGCCCGTCTCCCACGGGATCCGCCTGCCCGGCCGGTAGCATCTCGAGTTGAGCAGCTCTAGGTCCGACCGGTCCTGCTCGCCCCGGCGGATCCGCCCGAGCAGCCGCCGCAGCTCCGGGTCGCCGGCGGCCCGCATCTGCTCGTCAGCATGACGACCGTCGTGAAGCGCCGCCACAGCGCGTGCGCCTTGTCGTGCTGCCGCCGCTGCTCGGCCGCGAACGCCCCGTCCTCGTCCCACGCCACCGCCGCGCTCGGCAGCAGGATCGACCGTTCCTGCACCGGCCGGAACTGGTGGAAGTCGCCGCAGAGGATCACTACCGGGATGCCGCCGAAGTCCCGCGCCGACCCCCCGCAGCCGGCAGAGCTGCTCGTTGGCGGCGTGCAGCGTCCGCGCCCCGAGCATGCTGACCTCGTCGATCACCAGCACCTCCTTCTCCTGCCAGTCCATCCGCGACCGGCCGTCGACGAAGCGCTCGCCCTGGCCCGGCAGCCGTACGCCGTCAATGTCCCTCGTCGCCCCTCCCGCCCGGCCGCCCTGGCCGACCGTAAGGCCGCAGGCCGAGTGCAGCGTGATGCCGTTGATCCGCGCTGCCGCCGTCCCCGACGTCGCCGTAACCAGTACCCGGCTCGATAGGTCCCTCCGGGCGAGCAGCTCCGCGAGCGCCTCGATGATGCGCGACTTGCCGGCACCGCCCTCGCCGCCGATGAACAGGCAGAGTTGGCCGCCGCCATCGCCGCCTGTGTCATCGCCACGCCGGATTCGGTCGAGCTGCCGGCACACGATTAGGAGGGCGATGGCCTGCTTCTCGTTGAGCGTTAGCTGCCCCGCCAGCTCCCCGGCGGCGCCAACGAACGAGCTCGACGGGCCGAGCCGCACGAGCATCCCCGCCGCCGTGCCTGTGTCTGCGTCGCCGTCGGCCGCCGTTACGTCCATGTCGTCCTCGCCGAAGCCGACGGCCAGCCCGGCTTCCCCTCTCGACTCTATCGTCGCGAGCAACCTCCGACCTTCCTCCCCTCCTCTCTCTTTGCCGGCTTGCCGCCGCACCTCTAGGCTGCGTTTAGCGGGGGACTATAGTTGCGCCTCGGCGAAAGGCGACTCCGCTTCTCGCCTATCAGTCATTGCTCTATACGGAGGATACGGATTTCTACTATATAATCTTATACGCCGTTTCTTAGTTATATAAGCTATAAGGACGAGGCTCGCGGCGATGCTACTACTATCAGACTCTCTATTTAGGGCGGGTGGGTAGACGGTTCTGCATTTGGCTGACGTTCTGCTCTCTTAAGTCGGCGGTAGGTTCTACAAAGGCCGTTGCGGCGTGTGAGGCTGGCCGTAAGCCCGCCTCTACGGCTTGCTTCCTCTCACTAGCTCCCTAGCTTGCCTTTGGCTTGCATCCCTTCTTGTGCACCTTCCAGTCCTCCTTTTGGTCTTGCCTGCTGCAGTACGAGACCGCCAGGCATCGGCTGCACCTCCTCGCCCCGCCATTCTCTCCGCAAACCCGGCAGACCTTCCTCTGTGCTCTGCCGATCCTGCCCTTGCATTTGCTTTGCGCTGCCCCGCCTCTGCCATTGTGTCCTGCATTTCCTGCCTCGCCCTAATTTCGCATCCTTCTTGTCCGCAGAACGACGACACGACCACGAGCACAAACGGTCTCTCTGCGTGTAGCCTGTAGGTACGATATCGGGCTTTGTAGAATGTCCTTTGCGACTCCGCCGCAGCTCTCGCAGCGTGCCCCTGCTGCCTTCCGACACGCTGCCTCGTGCTCCCGTAGGATCGGCCTTATCCACTGTAGGAACCGTGCGCTGGCTTCGTGGTTCGGCCTCGCCTGGCCTACCTGCGTCACAAGCATCTTCGGGATGCTATGCTTGTACTTGAGCCCGTGGCCCCGAATTCGCACCAGAAGTCCACGGAAACGTTGCAAATGGCCATGCTGTAGTTGTTTTCCTAACTGCTCGATCGGTAGCTAGGGTAGACGCTTCTGCTCTTGTTCTCCTATTCGTGCCTTGGTGCCCCTCTTATACTCCCTTCCTCTCGCTTACACCGCAACCGCCGTCCGTCATCACCGCTTTACCTGCCTTCTTGCTTTTTCTGCCTCTTCCCCGCTGCGGGATAGTGTCAGAACCTTGATGAGGTTCTCGTCGGATAGGTCACGGACACAGCAAGAATGGTACGATCGGATGAAGTGAGGTATGATGTGTGTGTCTGTCTGTGTCCCCCATTTGGGGGTGCTCTGCCCCAAGCCCTATATCAAAGGGCGATGGCCTCAATCCCCTATGACATGCCATCACGTCATATCTCTGTAACTGTCTCATAGATGTCCTCGTGGCCTCATCGGCTGCGCTACCTGGTGCGCTATCGTCTGCGCTACCGTTGGCGCTGCCACTAGTAGCCTGACGCTATCGTAGCTGCATCTACCCGGATTCTACCGGATCTAACAGATAGTGCCCGAATGGCCGCTTTCTTTGCCTACCTTCTTGCATGCTTTAGTTCCTAGCGCTACCGCCTGCTTGCGTTTTTTTCTCTCGCCCTGTCTTTGTCTTGATTGTCTCTCCAATCTTCAGTCTTCGTTCCTCAAGGCCCTTTGCGCAACCCGTGAGGGGTTGCCTTACCTGTTCCTCAAGGCATTTTGTTTCTCCCCGGGGAGGAACCCTAAGAACCTTTCGTCACTCGTTCCTCGTTCCTCAAGGCAAAAGGCAGACGCGGCATAGAAATCCTTTCGTTCCTCACAAAGGCAGAAATCCTTTCGTTCCTCAAGGCACAATGGCACGCCCTTCGGGCTGAATTAAAGAGCTGCACAACTCCGTGCGTTCGTTCATTCACTTCTTGTTCTTTAGATAATTCTCATCAATTGCCTGATGCCATCTCTGACCCGTGTGGAGCCAATTGTCTGACAGTATTCGATTGCCGATGCGGATGGGCCATCTCGGCTTTAGGTGGGCGAAGGCTCTAATGACATGGCCTGTAGCTACCTGCTTTACCCCAAGTAAGACTCGTCATCCTAGGTCTCCTTTTATCATACGTTCCTTACTCGTGACCCTTAGTGGCGACATTCTCACAGCCCTTGCCTTTGCAGGGGATAGCCTTTGTTCGGAAGAAAGGTGAGAGCAGCCTAGATGCGGCTACATCGTGACTTGGAGGCCTGCACGCCATTGCATCATGGAGAATAGGGCGCATCCACGTTCGCTACTTGAGGGGCAAGAATCCACGGACAAACTGGGCAGTGCGTCAAAGCCACTTCGTGGCTGTAACTTACATGTAGTGTCTTGTCAGAACAGCGGTTCTGCGGCTCGTCCGAATGAGGAAGGTGGCAACGATAGTGGGCACAAAAAGACGGACCTAATATCGCAGCCCCCGCATTTATAGTGGAGTAAGCAAAAGGGGGTACGGCAGCCTATAGGGGTCATCGTTGGTTGTTGCGTAATAATAGAGTGACGATAGACTGTGGTATTGAGCGTCAAGGGCGGCGACGATAGTGTGCTATCTATCGTTTGACGCGGTCGCGTTGTGGCGGCGCGCGCAAACTGTGTGACTTGTGTTGTAGTAGTAAATTGGCTGTGCAGCAATGTACAGCTGTCGCGCCCGTCGGCGCACTTGCCTAAATAGGACTAAACATCGTGCCCTTAGGCGGGAAGCATCGTGCCCTTAGTGTGGCCCATGTGGCGCCACATTTGCCCCACATTCTGTTGTGCGTTTACCAAAATGTGTTGTACGGATTACCACCTAGGCAACCCAAAAGGTACATGGCACGTGATCGGGTTATCCAGCAGGAGGCTCGGAAGAACCTGGCAGCGGCCTGGTCTTGATGAGGCAGAAGTGGCCGGATCTCTAGCAAATCTCATCCAGCTCAGCCCCTAACCTTAAACAACACCACCGCAGCAGACAACTTGACAGTTGCCTGTTGCCTGCAATCGGCAACGCACGCGTGCAATCGCCCGGAATTTCCATCGCACGACAGTAGTGTCGGTCATGAGCTCGGGAAGAAAGAGACATCGCGCCATCGAAAACAACCGCGCAGAATGCCCCTTCACTGTGGCCACAATCGCGGCGCGGTCCTGTGAGGAGCTGGACCAAGCTCCAAAAGCGTAAGCGTGGCGTTCCAAACAAAAGCAGGTTATATCTCGTCCAGGTGTCGCCATTCGAGCCCATTGGGAAGTTCAAGACGTGTCAGTCGTTGGACACGTTGTATACCGTCAAGCCGTACAAGCGATGGTCCGGTATGACCCGCTACAGAAGTTTTGTTTGTGAGTGCGATCCCAGAACTTCTCACTGCTTCACAGGAAAAAAGTTCGGTATTGAAGTCTTCCCAACAGTAGACAATGTCAAGTACCACAGCGACGATTTCGTGTACATTGCCAATGACAAAAGTGTTGAACGACAAGAGGCTGCTAGCGAGGATCCTCAACATCAACGCGTGCTGGGCCTCGCCGACTGTTGGGTGGCCAAGATCCTCGAGATCAGGGCATCGGACGAGTCTCACGTCTATGCGCGCGTCTGCTGGATGTACTCCCCGGATGAACTTCCTGCGAATATTGTCGATCACGAGAAGCTGGTATCAGAGTTGTCGCCTCATTACAGCCACAATGAGTTGATAGCTTCGAACCACAGTGAGTTGAGACTGTCCTAACATGGGTATTCTCTGTGATTACTAGGACTTACAGATGCCCTAGTGGATGTCATTAACGTTGTCAGTGTTGCTATGCGAGCAACTGTCCACCATTGGATGGGGTCGGGCGATGATCGAATTCCGGATGCGCTTCACTGGCGACAAGCTCTTGACTGTCACACCTTACAGCTTTCTGTAGGTATGCTGCCAAGTTGAAGGTCTCACATGATGAAAACTGACATATTCGGTACGTACAGTCGGTTGAGTCGTCGAGCAAGCACGGCAACAACTATCAGTCAGAAGCATCGACAATGGAACTGTGCACGACAGAGGAGCAAGTGGCCGCACTCGAAACGACTCCTGTACGAGGCAGGAACCAAGGTGCACGACCGCCGCTCAATGACGAAGGGTGCGAAAACGACGATTCCACACAAACGAACCATACCAACAGCAGCACGCCTAGGACGTTGGACCTATTTGCCCGAGCCCCATACGCCCTCACCAGAGATGTATCAAGGTTGGTTGAAAATGGCAATAACCTTCGGGAGGTGAATGGGGATTCGCATGATGTTTCCGTCGAGACGCAGGTCACACAGCTCAAATTGGCGGTCGAGCCGACCGAGCTCCGGGCGCGGTATTCTGCGTCAGATATTTCCCATACGGAACGTACCCTGAAACACGATTATATGATCTTGCAAACCGGTGCAGGCTTGGTCCCGCTGCCGCCTGCCCATGGAGACGTCACTCATCGACCCTACGAGACTGCGACGCCGACCTATCTCCCTTCCAAGACTCAGCACCAGCTTTTGGTGCACTTGCAACATGTTTTGGAAGAGACTTGCTTCGAGTTTGGAAAACGAGTGATGCCTGATACTCTTCACTAACGTGGATGGGATTGCGCGGAGTTAGTTGAGCTAAATCGCTGGATTGGTGAACTTTCAAAGCGCCAGAAAGGCTTCTCGGATATGGAGAGCAATGGAAAGCAGTTGGACAGCCTCTTCCGCTCTGTTGCCAACATTCGGCATAGCGCTGTTCATCGGCGTCAAGTTAACACGAAGGGCATGGAAAAGTTCTTGCTGGATGCTGAGGCATTGGCAACGCTCTTAAGAGATTTCGGGCGCAGTATGGAGATTGCTATGCTCCGACAGAAGACGCAAGCGACTATGAATGAACTGGAGCGTAACAAGCACGTTTTGCGGTCAAGGTCAAAAGAAGCTCTTCGGAAATAGCAGCCCAGAGAACGGAGCTACAAAACAAGGAGAATGCAGTTATTGCCGCGACGGAGAGACTAGATGAAGAGTACAAATTTTTGGCGGGGAAAGCTGTGGAGGATGCGATCGCTTTTGAGCAGCAGGGTGCACGGCGCGGTATTACCTAGTCTCCTGCCGGTTTTCTAGGCAGACATCTCAAATCTGGCCGATAATTGCCTTCTCGTGGGTCAGATTTAGACGACATTTGCCACTAGATCTCAAAAAGCCTGGATGATTTGCCTTCCTCATTCAGCCCGAATTGGCCGAAACGGTCATCACGTAACAGTGCACGAGCTTTCGCCTGCTGCGGCTTAACATTAGAAAGCAACACGCGGTGCAGCTGAGCCTGATGAACGACGAAGATCTCAAGGGCTACCGTGCATTGGCCATCTCTGAACCGTAAGCGAGGAGGATAAAACAACAGGATAATTACGAGCCCAATAAGCCACAGCAGCTGGTGAGAATGATACCGATCAGGACCATGCTCTGGGTCGGAGTGACCTCGAGGCGGAGCAAGCGGCAACGCAGTCAGCGGATTTGACAGCGGCAATCCTTCGGCTACCAGACTGATATCTAATGGTATCGTCGGTGTACGTAGAGGGGAAGAGCGAGGAGGCGCTGTCGAGAGCGGTAAGAGATGTATGGATTAGTAGCGGGCTTCCGCGGTGAACTGGACGGCGAGCAGACTTCGTCGTCGCTGGTGACTTTAATCGCCACGATCTACTCTGGGGAGGCGACGAGGTAACGGCGAGAAGAGAAGGGGAAGCGCAGTCGATCATCGACCTGATTAATGACTGTGGGCTCTGCAGCCTGCTACCGCGAGGCACCAAAACGTGGCAGGGCCGAGACTCGGAAAGCACGATTGATCTAGTGCTTGCGTTGGCCGAACTGGCAGACGAGATGGTGATATGCAACATACACCCCATGGAGCACGGATCAGACCATATAGTTTTTGACGAGGGTGGCGAACCGTGTGTTGACGGAGCGTCCCTGTTGCAGGCCGAGGTCGTCGCTCTTCTAGGATCTCCAGCCGAATTTACCAACAGCAGCGCCTGGGCGTACCTAAACACATACCTGTTGTACTGGCACGTCTTTCGACAGGAAAGTGGCGTAGGGGTCACAGATGATCCCCTGGGTGAGTCGGTTGTCGTCGAAGAAGCAGGCCCCAGGATCTCCCACGTCGAGGCGTATCAGCACCGTGGAGAGCGCCTGCGAGGCCTATGCCTGTACGACTATGTATCGCTCGTCAGGCTCGAATGCAACAACAATGGCGGGAACCTCTTTCTCAGCGGCGGGCAGAGAGTTGGCGACACGGCTGACGCTGAACAAAACGCAGTCTATCGTTTTCTCAATCATATGCCGCCAGCTCGATTTGATACGACAAAACGACGGAGGCGACGTCGGCCAGCTCTGCCAGTTCATCGGCGGCGAGGGCGGGACCGGCAAGTCGCGAATCATCGAGGCACTCGTCGAGTTGTTCAGTAGGAGGAGCCTTTCGAATCGCCGCTGATCATGGCGACGTCAGGGATTGCCGCAGTCCGGATCAACAGTATCACGATCCACTCCACATGCGGGTTCTCCAAAGACCAAGGGGCGGCCGCGAACACGGCGAGAGATCCCGACGAGGTGCGACTGCCAAGCAAGCGGATCGGTTCGTCCATGGCCAGTTTCGGATGAATTGGCAGAAGAAAGACGCGCTGATTATACCATGCGCTATCTTCGTCAGAACGTGTTTCCATGTCATACCGGTGCGCTGGTCTGTGAGCGGGGAAACGTTGCAACCCCGCGGTAGAGTGATGGTGAAGTCAAGACGTTCGTGGAGGGCTGGCATGACCAGATTACCAACTGTTGTAGAGACAAGTTGCGGGGGAACGGGTTGAGCGAGGAAACTCGGGGTGTCGCTCCTAGACCCTTCCGCTGCTGCCTGGTTGGGGGCAGCAATACTACTCGGCGCCAGCTCACTTTCTGGCTGCAGTGAAGACGATATTGCTTATTAAGAAGGGGTTGCAGTCCTTACAGCTCAGTACTACCAAGCAGCGAGAAGTGAAGGTGCTGTCAGTCGCCCAAGACGAGGACTTGCTGCACTGTTGTGAAGCCAGAATCGGCCGCAGGTACGTAACGGGAACCCAGGCACCCATAATGGGCGAAAGGGCCTAGGAGCGACACCCCGCGTTTTTTGTGCCCATCCTTCTCCCCCGAACTTCTCTTGTGCGACAGCTGGTAATTTGACACGTTAAAAGGCTCGTACTGTACTGTATGTACATACCGGGTTCATGCAGAAAGACTGGCATCCATCACAATGGTGGCTGCAGTTTGATGCAGGCAAACATCCGCTAATGCACAGGGAGAGGATGTGACGGGGCTACGATCTGCAGCTGCAGTGCCGTCCAAGATGACTCACACCACCCGGGACAGTCAGAAGCACCCACTTGCAGCAACGCACATCCACCTTGCGGTCACCACCTCGCATTGAGAACCAACTACAGTATTAGGAGCAACACGGAACTATGGGTGACTATGTACATGTACCCAAAAGTAGAGCTGCTGAAATGCATCTCGAAGCGGACGCTGTCTGGCAATGTAGATTCTGGCTCCCGGTCACTTTATCACCAACGACTCCGAGACCCCGCGTCGCCCAGCTTCCCTTCCTTCCTCCTCCTCTCCTGTTGTACTTCATAGTACCTCGATACGATCATATCTACATTGCCTCCCCCACTCTTCCCCTCTGCGTACACCGATACTACCATCAGGTCTCGATCCGGCAGCCGCAGGAGTGGCGCCGTCAAATCCGCTGAATGCGTTGCCACCTGCTCCGCCTGAAGGTCACATCGCATCCAGAGCATGCTCCGGATCGGCCAGCCTGTCTCGTGCGTCGTCGGCGGTAACATTTTCACCTCGTCGCTGTGGCTTATTGGGCTCGTAACAACCTTGGTGTCACAGGTCCCGGGGCCGGCTGACCGGTCATCCGGTAATCGGATTACCGCCCCGCCCCATGCAAAACCATGTCGTTTTCGAAGGCCCGGCCCTGCGGGGCTGGCGTTTTCTTAGTCGGATTACCGCCATCGGACGGCAAAATCGAAGGTCCACGCCCGCGGGGCCCTGCGCGAGACCTTCGATTTCGGTCTCGCTCACGCGCGTTGCGCTCCACCTCCCTCCTCCCACCTCCCTCCACCACCTCCTCCATTGCCACCGTCGCGACGGCGACCGCCTGCACCATGTCAAACGCGATAGAGGATCCCCGGGTCAGGGCGGCCATTGAGCACTACCTGTTAGATCTGGAGAACACCCAGCCGAAGAATACGAAGCGAAATTATCGTCCCAAGCAGGAAGAATGGAAGGCAAGCCCGCATGCGCGCCCTGCAATCTTCATGTAGATCCATGCATTGACTGCCTCACAGGAGTGGTGTCAAGCCAACTGGCCTGCGATCCCGGACGTTTGGCCGGCCTCGGTACCACAGGGCCAACAGCTACCGGGAGACCTGGTCGATGAAGGAAAGCTCTTGCTCTTCATGAAGGAGGTAGTGGCATCACGTCCTCCAAAGAAAGGAAAGAGGGTCGCCGATGAAAGAAAACGACACCTCGAGGCTCAGGAAGCCAAGAGGGCCGTGAAAAGACGCAGAGCACCATCAGGTAACAGATGTTGATCACGGGATGTGGTCGTCGGACTGAGCCAGCCCATCATACTAACACCCAGCTTCCCCAGCAGATACCATCGTTGTAGGCGGCGGAGGTAGCGAATACGAGTCAGACTCCGACTTGGAGTTGTATGAGTCCACGCTCAAACTACAGTATAATACTGTACGGGGCTACGTCTCGGCCATACAGAAGCTTTACGACGAGCAGAAGAGCCGGGAGTCAATCCTGCGGCCCGGCCACAGGAGTGGCACTGAAGGCGCTCAAACGCAGCATTCTTGCAACGACTTGGAGCCGGAAGAGGAAGGAATACATGGACAGGGAGTTGGAACTCTGAGAGATGTGTATGCGCCGGCGCAGATACCCGACCACACCAACGTGGCATGGTCCGAGAGAGAGATCGCCTGCGCCCTGAGGACGCAGGTGGACTTTCTGCTCGGGAACCACATGCTGCTGCGGTCCGGCAACCGCCTGCCGATGGAGTTGGCAGACTGCTTTCCCTGGACTTACCCAACGAGGGCTTCAAGGCCCAGGGTATACCACAAAGGCGCTGGTTGTCGTGATGAACTGTGGGAAGACCAACCAGCACGGCCGCATGGAGTATGGATCTGCTTTGCGGCATCGAGATCCGCGATCTTGTCTCATCGGCGCCCTCGCGTTCTGGCTTTTCTGGCGCTGGCAGGTAGAAAAGGCGGAAAGGTTTCCGTCTTCCAAAGAAGCGAAGACTGGTATGAAACGAAGGTGCTCCGCCGATCGGCGAAGGAGCCTCAAGGTAAGCGTGATGGCATTCACCGGAATCCCATAACTCAGAGGTGCATCGACCTTTCACTCACCGAATATACAGCTCCGTTGTCGGGCCAGACTGCCCGAGAATGGACGTCCAGGTTCTACAAGAAGGCCGGCATCAAGGTCTCCAAGGTCAGCCACGCGCCTAGAGTGGCGGCGACGCAAAACGCCGACATGGCCGGAGTGGATGAAGGCCAGGCATGTCATCTGCCCTAGGCAAGCCGCCAACCCCCTGGCCTGGGCTGACCCGAACTATACAGATCCGCCGAGCCGGTCGTTGGAATAACGGAGACCAAATGACCGGCTGCTATCTGACTTCCCTGCCTTTCGAATTCATGAGGGCCGTGGCCGACTTTGACCCTGAATGGTCGGGGTCTTATTTCGTGCCCCGGGCCACCGTGAGGCCGCCTGTGGTGCTACTCGTGCAGGTCTGGCCTCAACTCGACAAATGGAAAGAGGCCCACAGTAGCCCTTTCTCAGATCTGGGGGTGGAGCAGAACATGGCCGCCGGCGCCTTCTTGGAACTCCTGGAGTGGCTTCGAGAGGTGCTCCTGCAGGACGCTGTCTTCCTTCGCGAGTCCTACCCCGACCATCCTATCTTTCAGGATCCGGTCTTCTCTTGCCCCGAGTTTGAAGCGTTCGCCAGCAAAGTTCAAGACACATGCACACGGGACCACGAAGACAGCCATACCACGGTCATTCAAAAGCGATGCCGGTGGTTGCGGAGAAGCTGCGCACAGTACTGACTCAACAGGTCGCAGCCGAGCAGTTAGCTGAGCGAAGACATCTAGACCTTTGGGGCTTCTTACGAACTATGCACAAAGTTGGATGAGTTTGCGCAGGCCACCTACACCGTCACCTTCAGCCCCGGCCAAGGTGCTGCAGGTCAACATGCGGAGATCGCGGGAGCTCATCAACAGAGGCGCCGCGCTCCACGAGAGACGGTCCTCAGGTCCGAGATAGGCCCTTCGCAAGCGGGCGGTCCGACATACGCTCCGCTCTCTCTAGAGCAGCAGCAGGGAATGGTGCAAGCGGGCCAGGGGCAAGCCCCCAGGAAGAGCGCATGGCGAGCCGCCTGGGCCGCGCGAACCTCCGAGCTTCAAGCTCCCCGTTCTGTCAAATCTGTACAGGAGCTGCTGCGTCTCTGGCGGCAGGGCTGGGGCGAAATGCCTTCTGTGGATTCTCTTGAGCGAGACTGGGGTGCTCGATGGCGGCCATCTGCAGAGAAGAATTACTTTTCCACGCGCAAGATCATCGTCGATGAGGTTCGGAGGCGGGCCCAGTCGGACGGCTTAACTGAAGATATCGTGGCGAGGCAAATGGACGAAGAACGTGGACCCAGCTCTTTGGATAAGTTGTTCAAGGCCATCCGAAAGGACAGGCAAGGCGAAAAAGGGACACAAACGTGCGTCGGGGCAATTCAACGTCGGTGGTAGCGAAAAGTCGATGGCGCAGTGATTTTGAACACCCGTCTGATAGAATGACGAGGACCTTGGCGGCGAAAGTGCCCCAGGCCGTCAGGGCTGCGTCGCTACAGTCAGCGGTAGTGGCCTGTAGACAGGGTATGCATCCGCTAAGCGCCGCTGTAGCTCCAGCGCGTCAAGGCTAGAAAATGCTTCAAATCACCGCAACCTCGCAACCGACAGGATGTAGGACCTTAGACAGGGTGCATTCTGATCGCACAAACGCAGGCTATCCAGTCGAACTGGTTTTGTCGTCGTCGGTCCCGGCTTTCGCGCTTTATGGCGCTCCGAAGATGACATCAACCCGGCAGAGGTGATGTCAAGGGCAAGCGGGTAATCGGCGGTAATCTGCGGGGTAATCCGCTGACCGCCCACCAAAGCCGGACCTGTGACATCCACTTGATGTCAGCAGGCACAGTGAAGTGAACTCAGCATTTCAACACGAGCAGATTTTTCACTTTGGCACTCACCACACTCACTCATACACACACACACACACATCTCGCTGCAACACAACCGCACGTAGCAACACAATTCCATGAGACGAATCACGGCATTCAAGTCAAATCCCTGCAGGTGTATCGAACCCAAATGTCTCCCTCTGTCATCGATATTGATCCCGACGGGGAGCTCATCATTCACCTCGGAGATGAATCCGCAGGGGACAGTCACAGCACGGAGGAGTCTGTCGGCACCGACACTGATGACAAAATTGGTATGCAAAACGAGCCCGCAGCTCTTGGTCTGCTAAGACGGCTTTAAGTCCGTTGCTGATCGCCGCTAGATCAAACTGCAGCGCAAAAGGGGGGCGGTACCTCGGACAGCGCTGTGCAGCTGAGGGTATCTATGAAGCACATCTTGATCGCCTGCCACCGGGCAAAAGCTGTATTCGGGGGAGGGTTCAAGGAATCCAAACCAGAGGCGGATGGCTCCTACCATTGGCGATTGGGACAGTACTTCGACTCAAAAGCTTTCACAACCGTCATGAGTATCATCCACGGCTATACAAGAGAGATCCCTGATCAAGTCTCTCTCTCTATGCTTGCAGCGATATCTGCAGTGACAGATGATTTGCAATGCCATGACGCTGTTTGGTTCATTGCAAAATCATGGCTTCGCAAGCTGCACGGGACGCTGTCAGTAACAACGTCCGATCTTCCCAAATGGATACTGGCCTCTTTTGTGTTCTACGAGCGTGAAATTTTCCGATCTATGACGCGCATGGCTATCCTGTGCAGCAGTGAAGTCATAGCTGCGGGGGATCTCCCTATATACCCCCAAATCATCGGTATGTTAAGGCTCCAGTGTCATCAAGTCTTGTTTTTAACAATATTGATAGCTGCGATGGAAACAAAGAGGCAGGAACTATTCGACAAACTCATGTCATACATTCAATCAATCATAGATGATCTAAGCCGTGGCAAATCCCCCTTTATTCAGACCCAATGCACTGAAAAGGGCAGCTCATGCAGCTCAATTTTACTAGGCTCTCTAATACAACAGTTGTTTTCTTCTGGCCTCTACCCCAAGCCACCAAGGCCTTTCAAAGGACTTAACCTTCATTCGACGCTACAGGCTGTTCGAAAATTTCATTCCCCGGCTATATTCGTGCCACAACCCAGCTCGGGCACTACAGACCTATTCTGGAGACGAGAAAGGCGAAATTACTACTCATCGGTCTCTTCCAGCCAGGCAGAGCCAGACACCCTTATCAAGCACGTTTGCTCCTTGAACGGGCTACTAAAGACAAAGGTGGAAGCGGTGGAAGCAGAACTTGGAGGTCTTGACCTTAAAGATTACACCAGTTAGAGACCAATATAATCCCCCTCAGGGACGGACATCTTACGAATCTATCGAATCGAACGCCAAGACTTGGCGTTCGAATCGAACAGGGCCTTTGCAGATTCGCATCGAATCGAACATGGCACCAGCAGATTCGCATCGAATCGAATGCGTGAAAATTGTTGCCCCTTTGATTCGACCTCGAATCGAACGTGGTCCCAGTAGATTCGCATCGAATCGAACGCGTGTTCCGTAGATTCGATACCTATCGAATGCCAAGGTTCGATCGAATTCGATACGAATTCGATCGAACGTAGGACTTAGCAGAAATTGGGGTACCAAACGTGCGTTGCACCGACATGTCTTTGTCACCATCACGAGGACTCCTACATCCCTCGACTCAAGTGCCAAGGGGTGCAAAGACATCATGGCTGCAGCAGATGAGACATCAAAAGCACGGTCAATTGCTGTCTTTACAAGCTGATTAAGTGTCACTCCGCCCCTTCAGCGACGCAAGAGCACAGTGATCTTGTTGGACTGGACTGGACTGGATTTCGAGGTCGGATCCAGTCCAGTCCAATGCAGAGCCCTGGAGACTCCAGAACCGCCAATGCAGAGCGCTGGGGACTCCAGAACCGCCAATGCAAATCCAGTTCTCAAAGTGGATCAGTTTAAAGTGGTCGAGAATTCGTATTTTCTTGAAGTCATCGCGTATTACCACGGAGTCAGTCCTTGTTCAGTGTGTTGACTTGATATGAGACATGGACCAAGACATGTTTAGGCAGCAGTTACAAGTGGTGAGTCACTGGATAGTGGCACGGACGTGCCACTATGTATATATGTATGTTGAGAGCTGTCAGACAGAATTGAATAGAAGTAAGTTCAATCGCAACAGGTTATGCACCCGGTTGCTTTTATTATGCTTCAACTGCACGATTGAACTCGGCATATGAGAACACTTTTCGTCAAGAATCGACGGTTGACAGCAAAGACCCGGCACTATGGGCAAGAAAGACTACAAAGGAACCATCCTTGATGGAAGAGACTCCTTTGACAGCTGGAAGATGGATCTTGAAGATAACTTGTTGAGTGACGATCTTATGAGCTGCGTCACCGGTAAGGCAACAGCGGAATCGTCAGATTTATCAACGCCAGGAGAGAATGCTGCGGACATTAAAAATGTCTCTCTTGCGAGAATGAAAATACGACAGAGTATTGACCAGATCCACAAGAACTCAGTCAACCATCTCACCGATCCACGAGCAATTTATCAATCCTCGTTAAGCGATATGCGACATCGAACAAAGCGCGCCTTCGACAGCTGATCCGAATGCTATACGACGTTAGTACGCAGACGAATAGAACTGTGCAGGAGAAGGTCGACGACCTAAAGCGACTTCGAGCTCAGATTAATAGCCAAGACAAGGACATTGTTATCCATGAACAGCTATTGATTTGCTTCTTGCAAATGAGCATGGACGACGCTTTTAACACTACGGTCGAGATCTTGAACGCCTCGACAGAGACGTTGACAATGGAAAAGGTGCAGAGCTCTCTGGAAAGCAAAGAGTTGGAACTCGTCGATACTACAATCAAGGGGGAAACCGCACAATTCGCGGGTCGTGGCCGCAGTGCATGGAACAAAGGGAACAACAGGTCCAAAGCACAGGATGGTGGCGATGATAGCAAGGAGGAATATCTGAAGAAGGCAGGGGGGTGCTGGTCTTGTGGCGGTATGCATTTCAAGCATGATTGTGCAATTTGGCACCAAACCAAAGCAGGGAAGACCTGGCTAGCCTCTGAAAAAGCGAAGGCGAGAGAGGCCATGGATAGCAAAGGAAAGGCAAACGCGGTCAGGATCCTTGAAGACAGTGGTAGTCAGGGTGGCGATCAATTCCACCTCCACCTCCACGTCTTCAATAATATTGAAGTGGAAGTCACGTGTTTCAATTCAATCAATTCAATATCACCTGCACATTGAGAGCTTCAATCCACGCCTCCGCCTCGAACGTTGACCACGCGTTGAAGCATGTATGTATGTATGTGTATTTTCCGTCCAGCGGCCGTGAGGCCGCTCAGGTCCCGGTGGGGCACAGGACGTGCTGAGCTAGTAGGCTGTCTACAGTCTCCTCTCGCAAACGTAAACAACCACCATCCAGCATTTCATCGGCTCTGAGGCGCTCCGTGTTGAACCTGGTGCCCGTCAGCGGGTCGTGCAGGCGCGGCGGTGAGATCGCCATTCAGTTTTGGTCTCCAAGGGACCGTTGTCGGAGACTGCAGAGCGCAGCCTCAGTTGGCCCGGCCGGGCAAAGGGTGTTGCAGCACCCTCTGCCTGGCCGAATCCGGGGGGGGGGATTTGAACAAAGGAAAGAGGTGAGGGAAAGGTGTGATGCAGCCGCCTAGTGGCGAGGGCAAGCCCATTCAAAGAAGGAGGACGCCTTCGCCAGCTTGACGAACCTGTCGAAGTCTCTGCCTATTGCGCGATTGACTGCTGCAGTAGGTGAGGGCGTCAGCCTCATCCGATGCCGCGGCTCGATCTTTCGGCAATAAAAGACATGGTTTGGCTCTTTTCGTCGGCCACATGAGCACGTCAGTCGCGCATCGTCGTGGTTGAACCTCTCGTGGTAGTCGGCAAAGTCCCCGTGACGGGTTCTGGCTGCAAGCAGGTGGTGGAGAAGCGGTCGGGGGAGTTTGAGCTCCAGGGGGCAGCCGGTCGTCGGCTTAAGGTGCAGTGGCTTGTACTGTTCGGGTGCGGAGGCTTCCCACCAGGCTTTAAATGCACTTTTAGGCTGCTGCCTAGCAGCCCTGCGCAGATATGCCAGTGTCGGGACAGCGCCTGCGGGCTCGGGTTGAGAGGTTCCTGCTTTCGCTAAGGCATCGGCCTGCTCGTTGCCTGGGATGCTGGTGTGGCCGGGGATCCAGCGGACCTCCGTGGCACCGTGTGCTGTGGCCAGGGCCTGGAACTCGAGGAAGACATCCTGGGAGGAGTCTGCCGGCATGCCTCTGAGGCATGTTGCCGCCGCGATGTTGTCGAGACAAACGACTACCCTCTGCGATCGTGGAGGCTTAGGGCAGCGCGCAGGCCCTCGAGCGCGCCTTTCGCTTCCGCATCAAAAACCTCAGCGGGCCCAAGTCGGCCGCAGCCACTTAGGACGGTTTGCCCATCCAGATGGATGGCATAGCCATAACCGACCGCTGCATCCGAGGAGAGCGATCCGTCTGAGTAGACGACCAGAGTGTGTGGTGGCACTGACCGGAGCCAAATGCGGAAATCCGCTGCTGACTGGTCTTTCGGGGCGGTTTGCAGAGGCAGCGCCTGATCGTCGCCGAAGCGGCGAGGGAGGAGATTGGCCGCCTGCTGCAAGGCAGCAGCTGGTCACTGCGTCGAAGTCGGGTCCGGAAGCCTTCTCGCGGCACCTGGTACTTCAGTTTGATCGACCTGTGGATGACAGGGGCTTGGGCCGGACTGTACGTTTCGCAAGCGGATGGGCTTCATCGAGAGACTTGAGGCGGGCCGCGAAGCGCATGCGACGCCCTCGAGCAGTTGTATCACCGGTGGAATGCCGCTCTCGATGGAGGGCATTGATCGGCGTCGTCCTCCAAACAGGCAGGATGGCTCGGATGGATGTGTGAAGCGACTTGTTCATCTTTCGGATGAGTTGCTGTATCCCGGATGGTCCTTCTTTGCTGGCTGGGTCCATCGCGGGCTGGTTAATCCGGGGTACCATGCCTCGGTGCCGTGGAGCAGCACCGGTTCGATACATGCTCTACGGCTCTGCGAACGGCACCGGGAAGAGGACCATGTTTGGTGTTTGCCAGACTTTTCAAGTGATAGGCCACGACCTGTGCCTTGGCTGTCCACTTTTCCACGTGTGTCTTGAACGACAGGGTGCTGTCGAGCCAGATGCCTAGCCATCGCAGTGCTCGGTCAGGGCGCTTCTCTGAGTCGCCGTGAAATATAGGCGGGCAACTTTAGGTTTGCTTCGACAGAAATGCATGACTTCAGTCTTCTTGGGGTCGAAGGCGATGCCGTTGGCGGCGCCCCAGGCCACAAGTTCGTTTACATAGCGCGACGCTCTCTCGGCTGTCTTCTCAGGGAGTTACCTATGCATAGGATACCCGTGTCGTCTGCGTAGCCGAAGCGCCCTTCGGCTTCCCTAGGCGGTAAATTGGTTCCGTGTACAACAGAAAAAGGATGGGCGAGACTGGTGATCCCTGGGGGAGGCCGCATTGGAGAGGCGAGCTGGGCGTGGTAGTGTCCTGGTATCTGACGCGCGCCGAGCGGTCATGCATGAAAGAACCAGCCCATCGAGCGAGATGTTCTGGCCACCCCTGCTCACGGAGGCGAAGGATCAGCCTGTTGCGGAGGACAGTGTCGAAGGCTCCTGGATGTCCATAGTCACCAACGTGGCAACTTGTCCGCGGGCAAACGCCTCTTCAATGTCATGCAGCAGAGCGGCAACAAGGTCAACGGCAGATCTCTTCGGAGAGCGCCAGCTTGTTGTGAATGGAGGACTCGTAGTGGACGGAGGCCCATGCCAGGCGGCGTGCGATGAGCCGCTCGAGACCTTTGCCTAGGCAGGACAGTAGGGAGATGGGTCGCCAGGCACGAGGGGTCGAGAGGTTCCTTCGGCCTGGTTTTGTTATCATGACTACTTCGGCCTCTCTGAACGGCTTCGGGTGATGGCCGATGGTGAGGCAGCCTTCGTACAGCCGCTGGACGTGGCTTCCGATAATATGCCATACCGCCTTGAGCATTTGTACCGTGATGCTGTCGGGGCCGGGAGACGTGTTTCCTGTCCGTAGGTTGCGTCGCGCACTTCCTCAAGTGGCGCCTGTTGCGTGAAGGAAAGTGTTTCCGTTGTGTCGACGGGGAACAACGGTTTTGGGATTTCGTCTCCCGCCGTGCGCCGCTCGTGTGTTGTCCGCCGTAGGGCATTGGCTTTGTCAAGCTGCGTCTCGTAAACTACATCGCCTACTTGTAGGGCGGAGGCTGAAAGCGCCCGGTGATCTCAGCCATCGGACCGCTTTGAATATGGAGGCGCTGTCAGTGAAGCTGTCGATCAGATTGCGCCAGTAATGTCTTTTGGCTCGCCGCACGACTTTCTGGAAGTCTCTCTTGCAAGCTGGACTTCCCGATTGAAGCCGAGAGGGTAGACTCTCCTAATCGCGCGGTATTCCGCCGCGGCGAGGGCGCATTCTTCTGTCCACCAGGGCGCGCTGCGTGCCCCTTGCGGACGGGCGACCGGCGGCCTTGGCTGCCAGTTGGAGAAGTTCCACGAGCGCCAACGCCAGGGAATCAAGCTCTTGGGGAGACGAGGCCGCGGCCGGGATAGCTGTTGCTCCGGAATCGACCATTTCGGCGAAACGAGCGAGCTCGTCGTCAGAGGTGAGGCGGACCTTTCCTAGCGGCACCGAGGCCGGAGCCAGGTCAGCGAGTGTCACGCTGAGCGTGAAGTGGTCAGAGCTGGTGGCCAGGTGTTCCTCCACGACAGCTTCGGATAGTGGTATGTTGGAGAAGGCGAGGTCTATTGTGTTGCCATGTGGGTTCGTTGGCACATCGGCAGGGTTGAGCAAGCTAAGGCCGTTCTCAGAGGCCCAAAAGGCGATGTCGTCACCTCGGCCATCGAGCCGGCCGGTTTGCCAGCTACTGTGTTTGGCGTTGAAGTCGCCTGCTACTAGGCACCTTCCTGGTGTGGTCCACTGGAGGAGCATCTCCAGTGCTTCATCGTAGTGCGGTTGTCGATAGAAGTTTACTACTGTTATGTTGTTGATGGTGAGCCAGAGAATGTCGCGGGTCGCCACAGGCCTCCTCTGATCTGTCATCAGGCAGGGACTCCGCCGGACATAGGTCATTACTCGAGGTCGGGTGCTGTTGTCGTCCCAGCTGTCGACTGGGAGAAGGTATCGTAGGCTGGGTGGGTTTTGTAAGACATCGGCCGTCCTTGGCTTCCGTCCACGGCTCCTGGAGGAGCACTATGTCGTATCGTTCAGAGTCGGCGAGGGCAAGGGCGCAGTCATGTGCTGGCGAGATCTTGCCTACGTTAGCTTGGAAGACTCGCAGGGTCTTCTTGTCGCTTTGGTTCACGCGGGGATGTCTCGTCATGGAGATAGTGCAATGGGGCTGATGCGTCGCTTCTTTGAAGGGGAAGCTGGTCTAGATTCGTTGCCCTCGCTCTGAGGCTGAGGTGTCGTGGTTACCATAATGAATGGCGGAGACATGGTCCTGGTCGAGCTTAGGACTGAGGTTTCGCTCCTGCCCCGTGACCTGTCATCTGGGTGCTCGGCTTCCTGGTCGTCGGGCTGAGCAGTGCTCGGAGCTATGGAATTGAGAATCTCGGAGGAGTCTCGTTCTAGCTGTTCGGGTTGGTCTATGCGCTCGAACTGTTGCTTCCGCTGAGCAAATAGTTGGGTGCCCATCTGTCGGACGAGGGTTTCTCCTCCTTCGTCAGGCGGCGAATGACGCCGTGATCGCTTGGGGCGTGCAGGGCATTTCGAGAAATCTGCGGAATGGGGTCCGAGGCAGTTTGCGCACTGCTCGAGGGCTACGCAGGTTTCACCGTCATGGCCGTTCCTTCCGCAACGCTTGCAGGACGGTTGTCGGTCACAGCTGTGTCGAGCGTGGAAATCCCAGCATTTGTTGCACTGGCTGGGCATGCTGGATCTGACGATGTGTCGGGCAAGTCGGCTGGAGCCAAAAAGTCTCCAAGGTCTCTGGGTAGGCTCGAGGAAGGACACAATAAGCGTCTTACTCGGAAGGTCGCTTGAATCGTGCCGGCTGGGACGGATGCTGATGGGTGTGAGCCCGGTCTGGCAGGCGATTTCGTCTTTGACGGCCGCCTCGTAGTTGACTTCATTGCCCTGCAAGTCCGTAAGTCTTCGGGGGCAGTTGGGCACGACGTACGTGTACCATTTGTGACTAATCTCCACCGAGGTCGCGTCTAGGTCCTCGGACCATTCCGACTGTCGCTGGACGATGAGGTCCCTGATGGTAGCGTCCGTTGTTCGGATGGCCCATCCGGAGTTTACCTTGAAAGCTGCCGGGACCCGGTGCAAGTCGATGCCGACTTTGGCGGCGATGTGGGTCCGAATTGCGTAGCTGCTGTGGTCTCGCGCCGGCGCTTCGGCATCGAGCCGCACGAAAACACGGAGGTCTTCTTTGGTGGGGCGGGGATTGGTCGTCCCTGGAGACGGGAGATTGGTTGTTGTGGTCGTTGCTGTTGCGGGGCTGCGGCGGCCGTGGGAGTGGCCCCGAGGGCTGGCTTGCAGGGCGACCGGCGGCGACGCTGCTGTAGGTCGGGGCGGGTGCGGAATTGAGGTCGGAGAGCGCCTGCTTCCAAAAGTCGAGGAAGCTGTTGGAAAATTGTTCCGCAAAGCTGTGTTCAAGGCCGGACGTGTATTGTTTCGCAGTCTGTTCGAACGATTCACAAAAGGCTCGGAACACTGTCATTTTGGCGTTGTAGGCATTTGTTTGTTCAACTGCGAGCTTGTTGGCAGCTTCAACGATCGAGACCGGCTGGAGGTTAACGGACTCGGCCGAGCCAGGCCGGTTCGGGGTGGATTCACGCTGCGCTCCTTCCGTAGCGGCGGCATTGGAGAGTCTGATAAGGGCGAGGACGGCGTCGCCGCCGGTCGCCGAAACGCGGATGTGAGACCAATGGGACGGCTCGCAATGGGGGAACTGTGTCGAAGCTGAGATGCACGGGCTAATCGCGCGAGGTTGGGCGGGGTATGGACACCCAGATCAAAGGGATCTGGGCTGGCATGCGAGCTCGTGGCAGATGCCATGGCTGCTGCCGAAGCCAGCGCAAAGCGCGGCTGGAATGATTAACGTGCAGTTGTTAGGCGAGTTGGTGGGAAATTGCGCTACTTTCTTAACAATTGCATGCCAAGAAAGTAAGAAAACAGGGGAAGGTGACCACGCGTTGAAGCCGTTGAAGCAGGAGGTGATCTAGGGTAGCATCTACACTTAGGTACCTAATCGAGTCGCGTCTGACGCGCGTGATTCGCGTGATCACCCTCAAGGTTAGCCTTAGTTACCGTATTGAGTGTTGTAGTACTTCCATTCCATACTGTTTTCAGATGTAACGAATGTATAAGTACCTGGGCGATTGAACGCGTTTGGGCTGAAGTTCCCGAGTCGCGTCGCAGAGAAACCTTCCCAAACGAATGCATCCCCTTCCTGCGGCCAAATGGAAACCGACGTTCCTACTAAGCCCCAGCGTGCTTCAGACGGAGGCTCATCCAGCAAGTCGTTTGTTAACATGGATGCTTTGCAAGACGAATGGAGCATCTTCCCATGGAACCATTTTCCAGGTTATACGATTTCCGAGCGTGCTGGCAGGCAGACTTCGTGGGTCTGGCAGCATGGTTTCGACATTCAACCTAGCGATTCTCCCACGAAAAGAAAATGGGTTTGCAAGCCCTGCCTCAAGAAGCCGAAGCAAAAAACATCAGACTTCTCTGCCGCTGGCACTCAGAACATCGAGAATCATCTGTTCAAAGAGCACAGGCTTGTCGATCTGTCCGGGAAGAGGGGCGCCCGCTCTTGGGAAAGGAACCAGGACAAGACCCCGTCAAAGAATATTGTGGAGATGTTGAACCTCAATGCTTCAGACCCCAAAGAGCAAGGTATCGCGAACGCCCTCATCCAGCGCTTCGATAAGGACCATTTTCAGAGACTTCTTCTCGAGTGGGTGGTCGACGCCAACGTCTCCTTTCGCCAGCCCGAGCACTGTCGCCTCCGACATATTTTCGAATACCTGAATCCATCGGTCGCAGTGACGAATGCCCACATCTCGCACGATACCGTTCGAAAGCGAATTGTTGACCTTTATACCCGATACAAGACGTGCGTAATCGACAATCTAAAGAGCACCCGGGCCAAATTCACATTGCGTTCGACGGCTGGCGTTCCAGGAATCGGCACGCTTTATACGGGATTATATGTTTTACATCGACAAGGATGGAGTTCCATCAAAGCTTGTCCTAGGCATGCCGGAGCTGAAGATCTCACACTCGGGAGAAAACATTGCAGCCCAGATCCTCGAGATCCTAGAGAGCTATGAGATCCTCGACAAGGTGGGCTATATTACACTGGACAACGCTGGCAATATGGATACGGCGACAGAGGAGATTGCAGAGGCACTGGGCTTTGATCCGAAGAAGCGGAGGGTGCGATGCTTCGGCCACGTGCTCAACTTGGTGGTCAAGGCGCTATTATTTGGACACAAGGCCGACGCGTTTGAGGCAGAGATTAACGGGGAGCCTGTTCTTGACGCGGTCCAGCATGAAATCTGGCGAAAGAAAGGCCCAGTCGGAAAGCTCCACAACCTAGTAAATTGGATCCATCAGTCCGATAAGCTGACGTACCGGCTTCGTGCGCTTCAGGAAGAGTCCTTTTCACAGTCGGACGACCCCAAGGTTCGAGCGAAGAACCCTGTGGACGTTGTCCTTGATAACCTTACTCGTTGGCTTTCGACTCTTTATATGATACGGCGCGGCCTTGAGTTGCGGCCTTTCTTGGAAGACCTGACTGAGAAGGTCACGCTTGAGTTCAGGAAAAATGCCGCAATGGGATGAGAAGGGCAAAAGAGATGCCTTTGTCTCTCCGCGAGGAGAGTCTTCTCAGCGATAAAGACTGGAAGGTCATTGGGTTGATGGATAGGGTGCTTGTTGACTTCGAAGAAGCACTCCGAATGCTAGAAGGTGACGCCCAGAGCCGAGTTCGAAAAGGAGGCCGCATTGAAGCATACGGAAATATGTGGACGTTGCCTCAACCTACGAATTCCTGATGGACAGACTAGAGGAGTGGAAAGCAGTAGCGGAGAAGTTCCCGATCCAGAGCACCTCAAGGCTAACATTAATCTGGGCTGGGATAAGTTGAACGACTACTATACGAAGCTTGACGAGACGCCAGCATACTATGCTTCTGCTATTTTAAATCCGGTTTCGCGTTGGGGTTATTTCGAGAATACATGGACTGACAAAGCACAGCTCCCCTGGCTACAGGAGGCAAAAGGAATGGTGAGAAACCTGTGGGAGGAGGAGTACAAATCGCTGCCGATCCTCCGATGCCTGACGAAGAGCGTCCGTACAAGCGACTGAAGGCAATGAGCGCGCTTGAGAGACACCGAGCCCAGAGGACTTCGTCGCTGCCCAACGAATCTTCCTCTTTGGAAAGTTCACTGAATCCGGACCATGATGAATATGACCGCTGGCTGTCGAGTGCTGACGCTGAGAATGATCCTCTCGTCACCAACCCATTTCAGTATTGGTGGCAGAGGCGGAAAGACTACCCACGGTTGTCGCGGATGGCTCTCGACTTGCTCTCGATCCTCCCATGTCCGCAGAGTGCGAGCGTCTCTTTAGTACCACTGGGCAAATGGTGTCACCGCTACGGACTCGATTGGAAGCCAGCACGATAGGGATTACGCAAACGTTACGGTCGTGGGTACGGAATGGCCTAATCGACGCCGTGGATACGTTGGTTGACGTGTCAGGGAGAATGCGAATAGCATTATATGGAGTCTAGGGATGATACTGGACATGCTGCCGGCTAGGGCCCTCGGCGACCCCATGGGCCGTACGTGGTTCAACGTCTTCAATTCAACTCCATCGCCCCCATCTGAAGGCAGGTGGTTCAACTCAACGGGACCAATGATGAATAAGCTGTCAACGCAACTCAATAATGAGGCCAAATTGATGGAATTGAATTGATCGCCACCCTGGTGGTAGTGAATCTGAGAGATCTACCTACTTGCTTCCGAACACAAAGGAAACAGCCCCTCCACAATGGTATCTCGACAGCTGTGCTTCCGTCCATATCACCCCAAGGGAAGACCAATTTATCTCAAAGTTGTCCCCTACAAAGACAAGTGTTGAGATTGCAGACGGCTCCGAGGTTCGTTCAAGAGGGAAAGGAGATGTGAGGATCTTTACGTCTCACAGAAAGGAAGAGCAAGGTCGACAATAGTACGTGGGTGCACTACATCCCGGAGGCGACGAGCAGCCTGCTATCAGTCGGTGAACTGGAAGACAGGGAGCATGTATTGTCGTGGACTCTCCGGGGAAGACAGTCACGGTGACAAGAAATCAGGAGGAGGTGCTGTTTGGCCACAGACATAAAAAGGTGTGGCGCTTGAGCCAGACAAGAGGGCACCGAGCCCATACAATCCAAGAAAAGGATGGCGATAACGGGGTAGCGCTGAAGTCAATCCTGAAGAGGCCTGAAAGACTACTACATGCTAGGCTGGGACACCCTGGAAAGCATATGGAGGGCAAACTGAACGCCGTAATGGATGATCTCGGAGACAACTCATTCTGCCCGTCATTCTGCTCAAGCTGCACCGAGGCCAAAATGACAAGAAAGGTCTCAAGGAGCCAATGTCTGCGGTGACAGAAAAGCTAGAGAGAGTCCATATAGATCTTTGGGGCCAGTTGAGCTATCACTTCAAGGAATGAAGTACATGCTGACAATCACCGATCAGGCTACCGGGCGAGTTTGGGTTTATTTCTCTAGAGACAAAACGAGAATTACCGACAAGATCAAAGCCTGGGTAGTTGTTGCAGAGGCAGAGTGTCGCGAGTACGGAAAAGGCGAAAAGGTCAAGGCGATGCGCTTTGATCGCGGAAAGGAGTTTCTAAACGAGGCAATGAGGGTATTTTGCACGGGGAGAGCTATTCGGATCGAACCAACAGTGGGCTACCACCCGGAGGGGAATAGTATCTCTGAGAGGAGCATGAGAACCATATCAGAGAGGGGGTCTGCTATGCGTCACGAAATGGATCTCCCTGCAGCATACTGGGAGTTTTCGAACGCAACAGCGGCCTATCTGAGAAATAGGGGAGTTGTCAAGGGAATGGCTAAAAGCCCATGGGAGTTATGGCGTGGAGAGAAGCCAAGATCAGGGCACTTGAGAGTGTTCGGATGTCCTGCCTGGGTATTTATTCCCAAAGAAAAGAGAACAAAGCTTCTGAAAAGAGCATGCCAAGGAGTTTTTGTTGGATACAAAGAGGAGACAGATAAAATCTATCTAGTCTGGAACCCAGCTGATAAGAAGGTCCACGAGGTTCGATTCGTGGAATTCGATGAGAGCAAGTATATGGACAATGAAATCAGCCAAGAATCACAATCGCAGTATGACGATGAGAAGGAAGAGAAAAGGGAGCAAGGGGGAGCTCACTGATGATGACTCTGATGCCGAAGATTCGGTCAGGGGATAGGACCATGGACCAGGAAGCTACAGAAGCTGGGGAGGATGCCGGAGAAGCAGCGGACGGGAACCCGACCGGCCAAGACACTGCAGATTCGGAGGAAGAGCTCCAAGGAGACACAATCATTGTCAATACAGGGGAGGCGGATATAACCTCTCCTGAAAGGAGTCTGCCGAAAACAAGATCCCAGATTCGACGAGAGACCGTGGCACTCAAAAGAGCAGAGAAGCAGCGAGCAGAGCTGGAACGGCGGCAAAGAGAAGAACAGCGCATGGCAGAACGTCTGAAGAAGCGAGGGGAGAGTGGCAGGAAGGAAAGAGCCATGGTATCAAGGACGCTTCTCCAGCCTAATACAGACCTGTACGACTTCGACCCGAAAAAGCTTACCTTCCGACAGGCGATGGAAGGCAGTGAGAAGGATCAATGGGTAGGAGCTATAGATGAGGAAGTTCAGAATCTCATTCGACGACAGACATTCTCGGAGGAAATCAACGAAGTTGACGTGCACGGAGAAGAAGTAGTTGATGCCAAGCTTGTGTTTGATCGCAAGAAAGACAAAGAAGGAAGATACTACGGTATAAAGCACGTCTAGTCGCGAGAGGGTCACACAGAAACACGGGATCAATTACGAGGAAACCTTCGCACCCACGATCCGGCTCGATGCGATGAGGATCATTCTAGCTTTAGCGGCGAAGAAAGGCTGGAAGGTATACCAGATGGATGCTGTGGCTGCGTTCCTTGCAGCAGACCTAAAGGAAAGGATCTTCATGAAAGTGCCAACTGAGCTCCAGCAATATTTCGGGAAATACGTTCAGATCCTGAAGAGTTTGTACGGATTGAAGCAAGCTGCAAGGATGTGGTATTTGCTAATATCAGAATATCTCAAGGAGATTGGTTTCTCACCGATGACAGTGGACCCGACAATATTCAGACATACAGAGTCGGAGGTAATCATCGGCGTGCACGTGGATGACTTTATGATTACAGGGGGGGGAACGAGGATGCCATTGAACGGGTCAAGGAAAAGCTGAAGGGAAGATTTGAGATGAAAGACCTCGGAGAAGCAGAGAACATTCTCGGAATTCGGATTCAAAGGCACAAAGGAAAGCTGATGATTGATCAATCACAATTTGCGAAGGAAATCGTGGCAGAATTTCTCTACGACGACTCAATGAAGCACGCAACCCCCATGGAACCTGGAGCTATACGGAAGCTCGCTGAGGAACCGGGACGGCCTCTGAACCATGACGAATGGTTGAAATACGTGGAATTGCTCGGAAAGCTGATTTGGCTATGCAATACGAGGTTCGACATTATATTCGCAGTTAACAGAATGGCATCTTTCACGGTAGAGGCATGCTGGAACCACTGGAAGGCTTTGCTACGAATATTGGGTTATGTCGGCAGGACTATTCACCACGGTATCACATATGGCGGAAATAATGAGCACGCACAAGGAGTCGAAGGCAGCGATATCGACTATTACTCCATTGACCACAACATCGAAGGGCACGTCGGCTCTGCAGGCCTGCAAGATGGAGAAGCGTTCTCTGACACCGACTACGCTACTGATCCAAGGGACCGGAAGAGTATCCTGGGGTTCGTCTTTATGGTCTACGGAGGCGCCGTCATGACGTATAGCAAGAAGATGAAATCAGTGGCAAGATCTACGACAGAAGCAGAGTATGTTGGGATGGGGGAGGCCACAAAAGCTGCCCTCTGGGGACGTCGACTACTTGCAGAACTGGAAGGAAAGGGGGAGCAAACAGTGCCACTACTGCTTGGAGATAATAAGGAGCTGTACAGCTGACCCGAGGAGTATCGAACACGTCGAAAATCAAGCATGTTGATATAGCATTTCATCACGTCGTTGATGAGGTCAAGGAAGGGAGAATCCAAGTCTACTGGGTTCCAGGGGAGAATATGCTAGCAGATGGGATGACCAAGCCTCTGCCTAGGGAGGCTTTCGAGAGGAACAGGAGGAGGATTGGAATTGGACCCATACGCTATGAATAGCGTTGCAGTTGAAGTCTGACAGCTCTAGGGGAGTGTTGACTTGATATGAGACATGGACCAAGACATGTTTAGGCAGCAGTTACAAGTGGTGAGTCACTGGATAGTGGCACGGACGTGCCACTATGTATATATGTATGTTGAGAGCTGTCAGACAGAATTGAATAGAAGTAAGTTCAATCGCAACACAGTGCCATGCACCAATAACCCGGATTATCTACCACACGCCCTCCTGGGGCTGTGCAGTAGCCTTATTATCATCGAGGAACTCGTCGTTCATTTTGGTTTCGGATTCATCCCCAGCTTGGTAAGTCTCCGCAAATCAGACTCCCCTTCTAGTTTCCCGATTTTGGTATCCTCAAAAGTATTCCGCACAGGTGGGCCGTACCAGGACCGGAGGCACTCGCTAGCTTCGATGATGTCTATCTTAAGTCTCGATCGCCGGTCGGAACTCGGAAAGCAGTATCTTGGCGCTGCTGAATAGCCGCTCACATTCATCCGACATTGGTGGAACAGCTAGAACGTCTAGTGCCATGCGTGCTAGATCGGGCTGCGTATGGTAGCGATCGTTCCAATACTTGATAACGTCAAAGGTTTCGTCCTCACCAAGCCGGATAACATCTGTCTCAAGGAACTGATCGAGAAGGTCGATGGCAGGCAAGTCGGTTGACACGACCTCGTGACGAAGCTTCAGCCGTTTATGGCTCTTGACAGCCGCAAAAGCCTTCTCCTTCCTAATCGGAACAGACGACGCTGGAGCGGAAGAAGCGGAGACCGAAGCCATTTTTCTGGAATGCCTGCCCCGATACTCGTCTAGCCAGAGCTCTCTAACAAGCTTCGTAACATCTGGAATCCATGCCCGTTTTTGTTCGTCTGCCCAAGTCTCGTTGTACCACTGGCATTTGAGCGTCGGATTCAGCGAAATGGCGGTATAATATGCCGGTGTTTCGTCCACCTTATTGAAGTACTGCTCGGCTTTACGCCAAGAAGCTTCTGCTGAAGCGGCAAGAAATGCAAAGTCGTCGGATTCAGCAGCAGCAGCAGTAGCAGCTCCACGACCGGTTTTCCTTCGAACAGCCGCCCTGTGGAGTTCCTCGAATTTAATCTTGGCCTGCTGGATCTCATTTAGCAGCCAGTCAAGCGTCTGAAAGTGGTCTGCTAGCGTTGACTGCCTGCCTTCCGTCGATAGGGTTCCGTCATAGAATGTCTCCAGCTGATCATGAAGGTGTGCAAGCTCGTGACAAGGAAGAACCTTTCGTTCCTCAAGGCATTCCTGTCGATGGCATCACCTGGGTTTATGTCACTTACTGCGGGGGCCGACATTTAGCTTGCAGGCTCGTCTAAAGACTGTTTTTGGCTAGTGAAGGAGGAAAGTAAAATAAAAATAAAAACCAGGTGAATAGTCCCGTAAGTAGAGTATCGGCCCAATGCTGGGTGTCGGGAAAGAATGGGGGTTGGCAAAAGGAAGAAAAAACGAGGAAATGGACAAAACTTGTTAGATCTCTGGCAAGGGAAGTATTTGGGGAAAGAACGAGTAAGATAGCTACAGCAGCTTCACGCCTTCTTTGCCTGGCTGCGTGCTGGTCATGGCGTAGCCGTTGCAGTCTTCCCAGGGGCTTGGACAAAGGACAGTCGGATTTGCATTTTACGGGTCACATTTGCCCCGTGTTGGTGGGAAATAGAACACTCGCCCCTGAGTAAACGTGATGAGTCGGTTGGTTAGCCGGACCGAGTCTTGGGAGCCGCTCGCTTTAGAGCCCTGCCTGTTTGCCAATATTTCATAACTGTCATATCCAACCAGTATTGCAGAACATCAGTACCTCGGCAGCCGCGGACGCAGGTCTCACAGAGGCTACCTTCTTCTTCCGAGGTGGATGCCGACGTGGGCAGCCCTTCCCTTGTCACGAGGCTTCCTTCCTGCGAGCTTCGCCACCCCAGCACTTCCCATGCCAGGACGAGGGAAGAGAAATCAACAGGCAGAATCCTGCGTCACGCTCACCCCTGACCCCACTGCAGGGGAGCTAAGGGCCAGTCTGCATGCATGGTTCGGAAGAGGCGGTCCGCCCAGTCACCCTAGACTCTAGAGATTCGTCCCGGTGCCTATTTGGAAGTTGGCTGCTGGTGGATTTGGGATGTGATCGACGCGTAGATGCAGAAGCTGGAGGTGTCCTGGTCAGGGATACACGGACTATTTGATGCAAGGGATGGTTGAAGACTTAGGCTGACTGGTAGACGTCCCCCCTAAAGGGTGGCTCACAGGCATCAGCCAAGCAACAGCGGACCACAACCCCGAAACAAGAGGAAGGTGCATGAGCCAACCCGGCTGAAAGCTGGCACGAAGTGGCCAAGGTCACATTGCGGAGGACTGGCGGGATAATTTGCTGGAGCTTGCATCAGGGGTTACAGACAAGCTCGACCCGGGAAGCCCATTCGCCCTGGGTGGAGAAGATGTTGTTCATCCCGCCGCCCGCCGACACCGTCCCCCTCTTGGCCATCGCCTGGGCCTTCTGGGCTATCCTGGCCGGGATCATCATGCCGGTCGCGCCCTGCTGCGGCGGGCCGTGGTAGTCCACGACGGCGACGCTGAAGGCGTTGTGGATCTTGATGCTGAGGCCGTACGACGACTTGTCCGGGGTCGGCTTCCCGTCGATCATCTTGGCGTTGCAGGTGACCGAGACCGCGATGGTCCCCAGGCACATGGCCGACTTGCCGTTCAACATCATCATGACGTCGTTCAGGGCGTTGGTGCTCTGGATGCGCCCGTCGTCGTTCATGTAGGAGAAGGTGGCGCTGAACGACGAGACGCCCCAGGAGGCGTTCATCCAGTAGTACCCGGTCGTGGCCGTGACCTGGGACAGGCACCCGTCGAACTTCTTCCCCAGGGTGTTGAACAGAGGCCCGAAGGCGTAGGCGGGCAAGCCGATCCTGGCGAAGTGGAACCCAATCCTCCTGCCGCTGGTGTTGCCGACCCTGCTCTTCTGCATCATCACGTTCTGGGCCACCCCCTCGACGATGATCCCCTCCGAGGTCCACTGGTTGACCAACCACTCGCCGCTCATGTCGGCCACGACCACGTCCGCGTAGTAGCGCGGGGAGCCGGTGGTGTCGTACTTCTCCGGTCCGATGCCGATGCAGTACCTGGTCGGGTCCAGGCTCGAGAGGTAGGCGTTCTCGGTGGGGACGATGGTCCCGCTCTCGTCGCGCCCGACGAACTTCATGTCCGGGTCCATGACGCTGCGTCTGGTGTTGTTCACCGGCTGCACCGGGAGGATCACCATCTTCGCGCTGGCGATGGCGTCCAGCTGCTCCCTGGTCCAGTCGGGCTCCCTCTGCTCCGCGCCGATGTTCCTCCCGGTGATCATCAGCGAGTTGGTCTCGGTCTTCATGGCCCCGAGCGTGTGCGTGCCCGTGGTCTTCCACTCGGACGCCTTGGTGGAGTCGAACAGCTCCACCTTGTTCATCGCCTCCGTGAGCGCCTTCTCCCTCGAGGCCTCGGCCCTCTTTCTCATGGCCTCCCTCCTGGCCTTCTTGCCCGTCTCCTCGCCGGTGGTCTGGTCCCCGCCGATGGTCGGCTGGCCGGTGGTGGTCTCGCCCTTGTCCTCGGTCTCCTCCGGGGTGGCGCTGATCTCCTTGTTGACGGTGGTGTCCACGGGCTGGTCCTGGACCTCGCTCGTGGTGCTGGTCTTCCCCTTGGTGGAGGTCTTCTTGTCGCTGCTGGCCATGGTGATGGTGGTGACGATGGTCTTGTTGATGATCCTGATCCTCTGTCGAGTGCGTCCTCCACATCGTAGCAGCCACTCCTGAACCTGATCACCCCGGTGAGCACGAGCATCACCAGCAGCCCGCGGATGGTCTTGTGCCTGGTTTTGGTCTAGATGATCCTCACCACCGCCTTGAGGCTCTCCAAGTCGACAATCTCCTTGCCCCAGTTCCTGGCCACGTAGTCGCGCCCGGCGTGGCTCAGCTCGAACTTGATGACCCTGATCCCCACTATGAACCCCATCCCGTGCTCCGGCTCGCACACCAACCTGGACGACCTCGCGGCGAAGGCCCCGACCAGCCTCTCCATCGACACCCCGGCCCTGGTCGCCATCAGGGCCGTTGCTGACCTGCACTCTGATGGTGAAGATGATGGATCGATGATCATCCCCGCCGTGATGTGGTTGACGCTCTTCTTGAACTCCGTCTCCAGGGCGATCTCGAGCGAGACCGGGGGCCTCTCGTAGCAGTTGGACACCGACAAGGCCAAGCCGATGAACTGCAGCCTGATTCTGTTGGTGATGGCCTCCTTGGGGAACGGCTTGAGCTTCCCCAGCCTCTTGTCCATCCGGTAGATGATGACCCTCCTCCCGATGCTGTTGTTGATCGACCCCAGCTTGGAGAACCCCAGCTTGTTGCTGATGCCGATGATGGTCTGGGAGAGGTAGGCGGAGACCCCCTTGGACTGGACCGGGGCGTTGGACGTCCACCTCTTGATGTTGTTGTGGTTCATGTCCTCCTCGATGTCGCACTCGTCGCAGATGATGAGCCTCTTCTCGGCCAACTCCATCACCGTCTCCGCGTCGGGCCACCTGGACCCCTTGCCGATCAGGTCCGTGACCGTCCATTTGGCGCCGGTGCCGAAGATCCTGCTGACGTTCATCGCCAAGACGCTCTTGCCCTCCTCGCCAGTGGGCCCCCAGAAGATGATGACCGAGGGGCTCTCGACCGGGTCCGTCAGGGCCTTCCCCATCCTCCACAGGAAGTCGAGCTTCTGGTCGTCTCTGAGCGGGAGTAGGATGGCGTTGAGCATCTCGCTCTCGAGGTCGGGCACCTCCCTGGCCGGGCACTCGAACGGGAACGCCATGATGATGGGCGCGGTCACGAACATGTACATCCTCCTGTGCTCGGGCCCCCTCTCGTTCTCGATCACCGTCTCGTGGGGCTCGTACTTCACTATCGGGCCGTCGTCCGTGTAGTCGATGTCGAACTTCAGCCTGTACGTGCCTATGCACACACTCTTCTTGATGGGGGCGATTGGGAAGGCCACTCTGGTCAGCAGCGGGTAGAACCTCTTGAGCGCCGTCACGTAGTTCACCGGGGCGTTGATGCCGACGACGTCCGACAACTCCTGCGCGGCCGTGGGCGACTCCATCTGCCACCACGAGGCCATGTTCCTGCAGTAGATGTAGTAGGTGATGTCCCGCACGACCACGGACCTGCGCTCGACCGCCCACATGACCATGGACTTGTCCTGCTCCGACAGCTCGTTGTAGGCCGGGCCCGAGCAGGGGAAGTCGTCGAAGAACCACATGTTGCCCCCGTGGCTGTGCATCACCAGGCCGCCGTTCTCCGACCTGGTCTCGGCCTCCTCCTCGGCCCTCGCTATGGTGGTGGTCATCTCCGTCTCCACCGCTGTCCTGGTGCTGGTCGACCCCGACATGCCTGAGCTGCTGTCGCCGGTCATGGTGATGTTCGTGCTCGTGTGATGGTGGAACCGGTTCCCCACCTACTCAGGCTGATCTAGCCGTCGATGTACTCGATCATCAACCCGACCACGATCAGGGTCGCCAGCGGACTGAGCCGATGGACCTGGACCAGTTGGCGAGGGTGTTCGGCACCCCCTTCGTGTCGACGGGCGACTACCCGCTCAGCGACCTGGACATCTACCTGGTCAGGACTAAGACCACCATCACCAACCTGGACGAGCTCATGGACCTGGGGTGGGTCATCATCTCGAGCTGGATCGAGGACGAGAGCATCAGCAAGTCGTGGGACAACATCATCACCGACGTGTCGTTCAGGTTGGCGAAGGGCAACTCGAGGGTGATCTTGGTCACAGATGTACCGATGGCCTTGGGCAGGGAGGTGGTGGTCAACCTGGACGCGGACGACCCCGGGGCCTCGCCGGAGATCATCACCAACATGAGGCAGTCGATCCAGAAGCTGAGGGCGGTCTCCATCTCGGGCTACAGCCCCCTCGCGCCCAGGGGGTTGGGGATGACCACCGTCAAGGAGGTGCCCAAGCTGTCGATCATGGGCCTGGACATAGAGGTGAGCACCCACAAGCGCAGGGGTGGGATGCCGCTCCCCCACGATCCCATCATCAGCATCGTCGTCTCGAACGGGGGCTGGTACGACAAGGAGTTCAAGGACAAGTGCTACTGCCTGTACGCCTTCGGGGTCTGCAGGGAGATCAAGTGGCCGGACGGGCGCAACGCCTGGGTCGCCAAGGTGTCCGGGAACGAGGAGGCCGTGAGGGAGACGTACAAGATCATCAACATGCTCTGCCCCGACTTCGTCAACGTCCACAACGGGTTCAACTTCGACTTGAGGTGCTTGGCGGCGTCGAGTGCCCTGGACCCCATGATCGGCCCGACCTTCTCCGAGAGGCGGTTGGGCAACGTCGGCCTCGGCATCTTCTGGAGGTTGGACAACGGCACCATGATCGTGGACTCGATGTACACCGCGGGCACCGAGCCGACCAGCAACTGGCCCTCGCTCTCCCTGGCGAAGATGTCGGAGAGGTTCGACCTGCCCCCGAAGATGGACAGCGGCACCATGTCGATCAAGGTGTCGGACACCGTCGACGTGACGGACATCGTCGAGTACAACGCCAGGGACGCGGACCTGCACGTGTGGTTGCCCAAGAACATGCTGATGTGCGAGAGGCTGTGCACCCTCGCCGGCGTGGCCAGGAGCACGATGTGGGACGCGATCGCCAACAACACCGCGGTGATGATGTTCTGCCTCCAGCAGTCCGAGGCCCTGAAGAGGGGGATGATCCTCGACTTGGGCAGGAACACCTCCGTGACCGACGACGCGAAGTACGAGGGCGGCTTCGTCGTGACCCCGGCCCCGGGCTGCTACGAGGGGGTGGCCATGTTGGACGGCAACTCCCTGTACGGGTCGGTGATGAAGCACTTGCAGATCTACGTCGACAGGTGCGTGTCGGCGCCCACCATCGAGGCCCTCCGCAAGAAGACGGCGGTCCACCTGCCTGAGAATGTGGATGAGGTTGAGACCGAGAAGGTGGTGTGGAACAAGGAGGTGATAGTCATGAGGACCAAGCGCACCTACATCTCGGTCTTGCAGGGCGAGGAGACCCTCCTGGGCGAGATGATCGGCATGCTCATCCAGATGAGGACCAGCGCGAAGAAGGAGGCGTCGAGGTACCCGACCGACACCATCGAGTGGCGCAGGTGGACGGTCCTGGGCCAGTGCTACAAGCTGTTGTTGGTCAGCGTCTACGGGGCGACCGGGGGCAAGCACAGCATCCTGTCGTCGAGGGTGTGCGCGGAGGCCATCACCTGCGCGGCCAGGTACTACGTCAAGAACATGATCTCGGTCTCGGAGAGCAGCGGCTGCACCGTCGTGTACGGGGACACCGACTCCATCTTCCCCTGGGTCGGGGGCAAGACCAGGGACGAGTGCGACGTCGCCGGCATGAGGCTGAAGGAGTTGGTCGACAAGAGCCTCATCGGGACGCCGTTCGAGAACGTGAAGGCCGACATGAAGGGCAACTACAAGCACATGCTGATCACCACCAGGAAGAAGTACTCGACCGTGGACTGGGACGGCCTGGTGGAGACCAAGGGCATGACCCCCGTGAAGAGGGACACCCTCCCGATCGCCAAGTACGTCACCAAGAACGTGCTGGCCATGATCAACAACACCAACCCATTCGAGACCAAGAAGAGGAATGTGACCGAGTTCCTCGGCAAGGTGATGACCACCATCAACAGCGACAAGTTGCCGGCCAACCTCCAGATGCTCGAGACCAAGATCAACTGCCAGCCCCACTACAAGTACCTAATAGCAGCAGGAACAGCACTAATAGCAGCAGGAACGGCACTAGCTGTGGCCGAACGAATGTTAGCGGAAGGTTGGGAGGTAGCTGCGTCGGCTGCGGTAGGCGAGAAATCAGCGTATTGGGGTTCTCGAGGAAGGGTGAATGGCTGCGCGTTATCTTCAAAGAGAAGATGGTGAATCGAAAAGTCCGTATGAGATCGAAGCTCTTTTATCCATTGATCCCAATCTTGGGGCTCCGAAAGAATTGTTCGTCGTGATGCTAGGTTCTTCGACATCTTCGCTGACTGTACCGGTATAATTTGAGAAGCAACAAAGATGAAGAAAGGCTGGTTGCAATCTGCACACCGGAAGTTACAGAAACTCTGTTTCTCCCGGGCTCATAACTCTCACGAAGAGAGGATGCAAGTGGGCATTGATTGTGTAACAATGGGTATGATTTGTTGTATTCCGTTGTGTCTGTCCCTCTTGCAATGCCCTCTTCTAGGCTCCCTATTTATATCCCTTGGTTCCCTATTGATATCCCCTTTTCAGTTGTATAGGTACAATATCTAGGAGGCTGGGCTCCTTTCCCCAGCCCCCCCCTTTGCATACTGACTTTCCCTAGTCGCCGAGGGCTCTTTCAGCTTCCCCCGTATATGCAGTCTCTCTACAGGCTGTGTGGCTGCCTAATGCGGTCTCCTAATAGTCTTCTGCAGCCTCAGAACTCTCTGCAGGCTGCCTTTCTGTCTAGCCCGTCGGGGCCCTTAGCTGTATACCCCTTATGGTCACCCCGAGCTCAAGATCTCAGACGTGCTTCGCGACATTATTACCCATCGCTTTATCTAATATAAATACTATACTCCCATGAAATACTTTTTATTTTAACTAAGCAATTCTCCTTCTTTTATAGGTTTAAATTCTCTCCCCCTCCTACTAGCTAAAAAATATTCCTACTTTTCTTCTATATTTGATGGTAGGCACCTATGTGCCTACAGATACGCATGCGCACAAGCTGTAGGCTGAGTCACAGTCACGACAGGTAGGGTAACCGGTGATGACTTCAATTGTAACTAACTAGGGAAGAGGAAGCTATTCACAAGAAACGGAATGTGCACCCGGTAATGGCGGCATGCAGCCGGGGCTGCGTGCCCTGATCGCGGGGTAGGGTGTCACGTGGGAGTCGTGCATGAACCGTGATGGTATTGCTACCGATGCACGGCAGTCTTTTCTTTTCGTGATGGAATCCGAAGGCTGCCGTGCCTGCCCTTCATTCCGGTCTCAATGAAGGGAGGCTCGTCATCATGGAGTCGTTTGTCGTTAGGTGGTGTCTGCGGTCACGGGTCGTTGTACATATCCTTCCACTCGAATCGTCAGCCTGTTCGTCTCAATCAACCGTTCCAAAGCACGGTTGGGTGCTGCTTTGGTCATCGCATCAGCCGGGTTGTCATCCCCATTGATCCAACGGATCTCTGCCATCTCGCGCTGCTCGTAGGACTGCCTTAGCGCCATGATATCAATCATGAGTCGCTTCTCTTCGTGGTCCCGAGCTTTACGAGGCATTCGTATAGCGAGTATGAGTCGGTGCAGACAATGAGGGGAGTCGGGGGTAGGTCCAGCTGCTTGACAATAGCCTGCAGGGTGGTCGCGATGACAATGGCCATATCGAAACCTTGGACCATGCCGTAGATCTCCGAGGCTAGCACGCTCCGGGTCACTCGCTTGCTCTTCGTAGATGACCAGTGCAGGACATTGCCTCTGATCGTGAAATCAGCAGGGCTCTGTTCCTCGTTGGCGAGCACAATAACAAAGCCCAGTTGTGAGCTTAGGTCTTTGTTGTTCGCGAACGAACCGTCCGTGAATACCATTAGCTTCGCAGTCGAAAAGGCCAAGGGAACATAGCGGAGTCCTCGTTGCAGGTTGTCGGTCTGCCATTGTATCCGCTTGTTCAGGGTCTTGTAGTCCGGGGCTTCCGGCTGCTGCACTTGTGCTGCGACTGAGTAGTCGAACGTGGCCTCGGGCTGGCAGATTGATGCGATATATGCTCCGCGCGCGCGCTGTTGGGCGTATTGCTGCGCGCGATCCGTGGAGGAGAGAAAGATGGTGGCTAACTTCTGGCCTTGGCCCTTCTGCTGGATGATAAGGTCGTCTTTTCGGCTAGAAGTGTGCAACCATTAAACTCGAGGGGAGTCGCGGCCGATAGCTGGCTCCTTGGTTTCGAGCGGAGCTTAGCCTTCTGGATCTCTCTTCTGCGGCCGCGAACTCAGGGGAGGCGAGGAGGAGGGTGTCATCCGTCTGCATAGCGACCATGCCGAAGCCGGCGGCTTGATCATTGGAGATCAACAAGCAGGGGTCAAAGGTGGAATGTGTCATACCGAGGCGCTCACGATGATGCCTATAATATGTCACGAACCAATGGAGACCTGACTCTGCTATGCCATACAGGGAAGGATGACATGGATGATGGTGTCTGGGGATAGCGGGCACTAATTCCGCTGGGAGGCGTGCGAGTATCGTACGATTCAGGGGTTTTGACTGAATATATGCTTGTGTGATATCACGCAGGAAGACGGAGGCTTCACCTGCGAGGAGGGGCAATTGAGAGGAGTAGCCGCTGTGCTGCCCGTTGCACGGTCGGCGACTGGGTAAGGATATTCTCTTTATCACGATCGTTATAGCCTTGAATGACGAGACGGGATTTCGTAGGCCTTGTGGTTGGTCCGAGTCCTTTAACTTCGCGGACCATGCGTGCTTTAAAGAGTCTTTGGCCTTTGTGGGCCACGGGGTCGAAACGAATGAACTCAAACACACCCTGTGCGATTAGGTTGTTAATCTCTTGGGTATCGGACTGTTCAAAGGGGCACCTGGTGTGGTGATGTGCCTTCGCGGCGCAATTGAACAGCGTGATCATAGTGATTAACTTCCTTCTTTGACAGGTTGGCTACGCCGGTCTTGGGCTTGTTCTTGGAGCCTTTGGGGCGTCCTCGTCGGCGTTGTTCAGGTAGGAGCACAGGGGCAGGGGCATCATCTTGATCGGGGTTAGGGGGTGCATTGGGGTCGACTCGTCGGGGACGGCTGCGAGTCGTCGTGGGGTTGTGATGAGGGGCCTGAGGATCACGGTGGTATTTCTTGACCGCTGTGATCCTGAAGTTGCGGGGCCATTGACATGATTGATTGTTATTTCGTGGCCGTTATTGCCGATAACGATCCACGGGCCGGTCCAGCCGTCAGCCTCTCCACACGAGGACCTCGCTCTGCAGGGGAAGCTCTGCAGCGCGCTCTACATTTGGTCCATTCCTCGTGTTGAGGGCATCTCTAACCTGACGGGCAGCGGCAGCACGGTGCAGAGCTGCCATGGCTTTCCGAATAGCCTCTGCGCGCTTGATCATAGGGGGAGAGGGCGGTGAATCGTGGTTGATTCGTGGGTATGCGCCGAAGACGAGGAGGGTAGGGACAAGGCCATCCGGGCCGGCTGTGTCATTGACTGCCTTTACAGCCATTTGGAGGAGGGCATCTGGGCTTCGACTCACCCAACTCTGCTTGGAGGATATCGTAGGCGCGGCGGAGGGGGCCGTGTGCCTTTTCTACCTTTCCAATCGAGTTGTGGGCTTCGATAGGTACCTGCCTGCAAGTGATACCCATCAGCGATGCCTCTTTTTGGAACTCCTCTGCTGCAAAGTTAGTGCCGGCATCGTGGCGCATAAAGTCCGGGGGGCCTTGGTAGGTGTCTATCCACAGCATCCGTAGCGTTTCCCAGGTGTCTCGGGCGGTCATCGAGGGAGGAACCTGGCGCCTTGGAACGCTGTGGCTTCGTCGATCACGTGTAGCACAGGCTTTCCGCCTATTTGGACTACATCCGCGGTTATCTCGAAATTGAACTCGCGGTCGTCTCTAAGGGTAAACCTGAAGCGTTGGGGGGAGGTGCCGTTGATTTGACAGTGGTGGCACATCCTCGTGATCTCACGGATTGACTGCTCATCAATATCATCATGCCCGGCACACCTAAGCAGTCGGTGGAGTCTAGCTGTGGCCGGGTGACCGAATCGTCGGTGAAGTCGTCGCAATTCGCGTTCGGTCAGGAATACTCGCAGTCTCTTCTTTACCTAGATGGAACCATGCGTGGCCCCATTTACGTACTGCGGGAACGCGAATGTCATCGCGGACGACTTCGTTGGTCTGATTGTTGAAAAAGCCTCAGCCGGTCCATATCGGCTAGGGAGAGGAGGAACGGGTCTTAGTGGGAAGAACGTGGAAATCAACGGGCCCGAATGCCGTGCGAATCGCGGTCGCACCGACAGACACAATCCGGGGTCCATCTCCAAAGGAGATGCCTGTCTGGCCTGCGCGGGTGGTATCGAGGGTAGCGCAGTGGTCTTCGCGCTGCCAGGCATGGAATTGGTCTAGGCCAGCGGTTGACACGTCGGAAGCACCTGTGTCGAGCATGATGCCCTGATAACGCGTTGTGTAACGGTCATCGACAAGGAATTGTTGTGCCGGGGCCTTTGAGGAGCGCTATAGGCATCTTCCTTAGTCAGACGGTGTAGAACAGCGTAATCTGCGAGGAATGATTGCGTGAAGAACAGCGAGCCAATCGCTGGGTCTTCATCGTCAATTTCATCAGCAGTATCATAGTCAGGGACAGGGGTCTCGTCAAGTTCATGACCTTCGAATTCGGCGAGGAACATGGCGAAGTCCGGGGTCGTGTCGGAGGCATTGTGGGCATTAAGGAAATACATCCGTGATTGTTTCCGTTCTTCTATGGTATGCTTGGTAGACCAACAGCCAGCTTTGCCGCAGATGAAGCACACCTTCTTTCTCTGCGGCTGTCGTTTGGGGTTCGCGCTGTTATTGTTGCGGAAGGGGGGTCTATTCTGTTGATACTTGCGGTCGGTATACCATTGGGTGCTACCGTTGTCCGTGATCGCAAGTTCAATAGAGGCGCGGAGGTCGGCAAAGAGTTGTTCGCAATGGGCGGGGCTTTGTACAAGGCTTGCTTGAGCTCAGGCGTTCCACGGCAAGCGCGGATGACTGCGTTGCGGAGGTTGCTTTCGCCAGCTATTTCCGGCCCAATCGCTCGTTGACACAATTGGAGCTTGTCAAGCATTATATCAAGCACAGCGTGGAGGTCCTTGTCACTGTGCTTGCTACGGACACTGTTGAAGGTGATAGTTGACCAGTCCGTATGGTAATGCTCCAGATTCACGTTGGTATCGAAATGTTGCTTAAGTTGTCGGTAAGCGGCGGCGAACGTGAGGTCTGGGTCAAGATAAAGGTCATAGTAGGTCTTTGCTCGACCTGTAAGGGCGCGGGGGAGAAAGGCGTGTAGCTGACTCTCGGGGACTTCAACCGAACGGCAGGTGGTTAGAAGTTCCTGATCTTATCGTCAAGGAGATCGTAAGGTTGACCTGAGTAGGTATCTTCCTTATTCCAAATCTTGACGAAGAGGGCGAGAGTCTGGGCATTGGTCGGGGTGTTCGGCACGTCTCGTGGTGGCAATGTGCGGTATGGGGTGTATTGTGGCGGATCTGACTTGGCTCTTGGGGGAATCGCCACTGAATTGGGGTAGGTAATAGGGGGAGCTGGTGTTACCTGGGGAGCTATCCTTGTGCGGTGAGGGAAGGTGTAGCTCGTCGGAGCGTTTGTAAAAGCGGTTGGGGTGACGGATTGAGTGGCCTGCTGGACAGGTTGTACAGGCGGTTGGATAGGGGGGGAGGGGGAAAAGGATGGCCGCGGGCACGGGGTGTGCTCCTTCGTCGATGGGGGCGACCGGGGGGTCCTGGGTTTCCAATATTCTTCGGTGACGAGGAAGCGAGAAGATAGTCATGTCGGCATCTTCTCAAGGGCCAGTGATCACTTCTTCGTACGAAGATAGTTGACGAATGCAGCTCGAATCGTTGGCTCAATCCTTCCGAAGAGTGCACTATTCCATCCTTCGAAGTGCTCTTGGAACATAATAAGAGTGTCGATTCTTCCTACATTGGCTCTCTCATAGTCGGTCCACGCACGGGCGAGTTGTGTGATCAGGTGGCGTGGCGTTGGCTCTTCCTCTGGGTTCACAGGGGTATGCCAGAGGATAGGTCAATGTCTGACATGTCGATCGGTATGCCAGCATATTTGTCCAGCCATCCTTGCACTCTCTCCTGGCTTGGGGATCGCGAGCAATATAGATAGTAGGGACGGGGTATTACTACTGCCTCCCGGGGCACTGCTGCTAGGTCCTGCAGACATAGTGTCGGAGGTGAATTGTAGTGATCAATTGTACCAATTAAGCACAATCGCGAGGAGTCGGGATGCGTTGCTGACGCAGCTAAGCTATGTCTTTTCCTTTCCTTCGAACGGTCGGTGAGTTGCTCGGCGGAACGGCAGTTAGGAATAGCAATAGGTTAGCCGTAGGTTCTGCTTCTTTCTTCCGAACGGCACAGTGAGTTGAAGGCGGATCGGAATAAGGAGTGTCTCCTGCTCTTAGCACAAACTTGTCGTCTTCGAACGGTCGGTGAGTTGCTCGGCGGAACGAATCACGGAGTTTGTCTCTTCTACCCGTAGAGGAAAAGTATCACTTTCTCCGAACGGCACGGTGAATTGCAGGCGGATCAGATCGGTGACTCTTCGTCACCTTGCTGCTCTGTGGCTCCTTCGGGACCTGGAACCACTGATCAGTGATGGTAGGCACCTATGTGCCTACAGATACGCATGCACACAAGCTGTAGGCTGAGTCACAGTCACGACAGGTAGGGTAACCGGTGATGACTTCAATTGTAACTAACTAGGGAAGAGGAAGCTATTCACAAGAAACGGAATGTGCACCCGGTAATGGCGGCATGCAGCCGGGGCTGCGTGCCCTGATCGCGGGGTATTACCTTAGGGTGTCACGTGGGAGTCGTGCATGAACCGTGATGGTATTGCTACCGATGCACGGGTTACTCAGCAGGTTAGCATTCCAACAAATAGTCGACTATTTTAGTGGAGTTTAGTGGAGATGTGGCGGCAGTGCGCTGAACGATACGCTGGAGACCGCCCGAAAATCCGACCCATTTCACGTTTCCGGACACAATATCACAACCACGCAAACTACGGATACGCAAGTTAGGTCAAATGAATCGTCAGACGCAGGGCTTCACGTAGGTACAATTTTTAGTGTGCCGCGATGCGCAGCCGTCGGGCGCCTGCGTCGCGTTGCCGATATCACCAGGAAATCCGGGATATTACGGGCTGGGCTGTCATCTGCGGGGTCATCCGCCGATCACGCACTAAAAAGCCCCTGCGATATCCGCCAGATATTAACATAAGGGGGGCTTTGAACGGAGTAGAAAAGACTTTGGGTTGGCCTGATAGCAGGAAGGGTTTGCTTGCTAGAACGCCCCTAGAAAAGAGAGGACAGACAAGAAGAGGACACACGCATACGGAGACCACCCGGAGACCTTCAGCAAAAAAATACAACAGACCCTCTTGCCTCTGCTTTTCCAATCACTTTTGCTGACTGTCTTCGCGACAGGTCAAGGTGCCTTTTCTTACTCAGTGTGCCCCCCCTCCTATGTGAAGCCTAGGAGGGGTTTATGCCCGATTTTGAGGCCCCCCAAGTTAATTCGACTGATCAGGATATTCAGCTTTCTTGCGGAATTTAAACTCAGATATTCAGCTGATCATGGGCTGTGTCCGGCATAGTGGACCTGGTTGTACCGGATCCGGAGGGTCATGCCCGCACCGGCCTCGCTCTGCGTTCGCTGCGACTCGCTGCGAAAACATTCTGTATGCGATTTGAGTTCAAACTCGAGGCTTCGCCTCGAGTTCTCCTTCCTTTCTTCCTTAGCTCTAGATAGACATTACTTAGGCACCTGCTTGTTGAATAAACTCCGGGCCAACCTCTTACAATTGGCTGTCCTACGGAATGAAAAGCAAAGCAAGATATTGCCCCACCGCGCCGAGACTAAGACCCCTAGTCTCGCGCTCCAACCGGTGTTTGTAGCTTCTTCTAGACCTTCAACACTGCGGTCCCTGCCAGCCTGATCGTCACCTCCGAACCTTCGTGCACATGCCGCGATAATCGGTCCGAACTTTATCATGCGCGGGTCACATGCTGCCTACCTGGTTTAGTTATTCATGCAAAAGGGGCCCACTGTAACTTAAAATAATAGGTGGGTTGTGGGAATGTGGAACTGTCGCGAAGACCATCGCGCCATGTGTTAGATCCGGTAGAATCCGGGTAGATGCAGCTACGATAGCATCAGGCTACTAGTGGCAGCGCCAACGGTAGCGCAGACGATAGCGCACGCGTAGCGCAGCTAATGAGGCCACGAGGACATCTATGAGACAGCTACGGAAATATGACGTTATGGCATGTCATAGAGATTGAGGCCATCGCCCTTTGATATAGGGCTTGGGCAGAGCACCCCTGGGGTGCAGAGACACACAGACTTTTCACACCACGGATTTACCCATTGCAATTGCAAGGCGAATTCAGTGATTCTGAGACCTGCCAACATGGGTGCTTACTGTGAAAGTACCTTCATTTTCCAAGCGGGGATCGTTCTTCAAAGTACCTAACTTAGTGGATTCCACTGGGCTGCAGGCCAGTTTTTCACCTTCCCCACATACAGCCGGGAGCTTCCTTGCGATGACCCCAAGCCCACTACTCAGCTCAGCACCGTCATGATCCAGAATATTAGCCATTTCCCAAATCACACTGTTCAAGGGTAATCGAGTGTCTATTCGGGCAAGACATAAATACATGTAACTTACCGTGATCCGTACTCGAAGCAAGTTTCTGCAGCGTTCGACATAAGTAAAGTAATTAATTACAAGTAAATAACCAAGCAAGTAAGTAATAAGTAAGGTAAGCAGGCCCTACGCCCAAGTAAGTAAGTAAAGCCTCCAGGGGCAAGTAAGATCCAAGTAAGGAGTCAACTATAATTACGCTACATCTGTCAATTTTGGCGTTTTGAACTTTTGAAGGAGCGACGAACCTCTTGGCCGACTTCTTCTACTATTCGTAGCCGAAACGATTCCGTTTTCTTGAGCCAATGTCAAAGCATCACGGAGGACCTCCGAAGGAAGGCCTTGCACTGTTACTATGGAAGCATTGCAGTTGCAATGCCTCAGAGATTGGGCTCGCGGTGGTGTGATTTCCCGGACAAAACCCAGAATGGACCGGTCGTTATACGAAGTACCCTGCTGTAAGATGATTGGCTACATTGCATAATCCACTTTGGAAGTAAAGCAAGTAATTCGGGGTCGCAAGTAAGTAAGGAATCTGGCTAGTAAGTAAAGTAAGAAAGCTCGAAAATTTACTTGTGTCGAACGCTGAGTTTCTGAACTTGGGCCCAGAGTGGGTCGATAACCCAGCAAGATGTGGAACCACTCGACTAGTGGATCTTACGGTGCGGATCGACCAGGGACGGCCGGCGGCGGCGTGAACTTGTCGACAGAAGGGCATGATCATCGATCTT